TGCTTTTATTTGCCTTTTGCCATTGGTGAATTAGTTTATGTTGGAGGTTGGGATGGTTTGTCATTTGTCAATGACTTGTAAAAATTATTTTAGATTATTTAAGGTTATTAAAACTTTGCCTATGTTGCAAGTATTTTCCAGTTTGTTGTTTGCCTATTAAGGGTAGTCATAATGGTTTTTACAGCCAGAAGTACTTTTTTAAAGAAGGAAAAGGGATCAAATAAGAAAGAATTAAGATGCTAAGGTGTGTTACGTACGTGTGTCAACTCCCAACAAGGAGTGTAAATATTATTATGTACTACAAACACGACTACTACTACTAAGAAAAAATATTAACACTAATAACTACCTTACGGGGGATTTATGGCATGTAATCTGATTTGGAGAGGGCTCTACCAGTAGGTACAATTTATGATTTCCTTTTCCTCCCTGCCTCCCTCCTTCCCGCACTTCCTTGTGCTGGGGATTGAATCCGAGGCCCTGTGTGTGCTAAATATGTGCTCTACTCCCGAGCTACACCCCGAGCCCTGCTTTGTCTTTATACTGGGAAGTGTCTTTTCCATTTTAAGATCAGACAGGTAGTCACTTTTATTCCTAGTCACTTCATGTCATTTATGCTATTAAACTTTTTAAACCATCTGGAACCTTAATGGGGGTGAACTATGAAGTGGGCCACTAGCATTGTTTTACCCTGATCTTTAACCATTTATTGAGCAGCTGTCTTCCACTGATTGTTGTATAATAGGCCAGAGTCTGTTTCAGACCATTCCATGGTATTTCACTGCTCTATTTGTGTATTTGTATGTTCATAAAATACTATTTTATGTGACTTTTACTGCACTATGTGTCTCCCCGCTCCTCTTTTAAAAGTATTTCCGGCTGTTTTTTTCTGTTGAGCAAACTTTAAGGCCACCTTAATTTCCTTTAAAAAAAGGATTTTTACTGGAATTGTATGAAATGCATATATTAATTAGGGAAGAACTAACATCTTTAAAATATTAAGTTTTCATATGTACACGTACAACATGTTTTCCCATTTGGTTAGGTTTTAAAAACATCTTTTGACAAACTTTTATAGTTTTTATTACATAATCCCTGCACATTTCTTTTCAAGTTTATACTTAGAAATTTTTGGTTTTTGTAGCTGTTATGATTGGAATAGTCTCCTCTATTATATTTTCTGGCTGGCTCTTAGCTATTGAAGAAAACTCTTGGTCTTTGTATTTTTGTACTTTTTCTGTTTAATCTGTGACTATCACCTTCACTGAGGTAGCTTATTAGTTCTACTAGTATTTCAGTTAGTTCTGAATATTCTAGAAAGGCATTCATGATGTTTGCAAAGGACATACTTCTGTCTCCTTTTTCTCAAATGTTAGTCATTCTTATTTGTTTTTCTTGTTTTAGTACATTGGCCAGCACTTCTAAACCCGTGTAATAGTAGTAGCAGTAGTGGAAATCTTCACAGGAAGTCCCAGGATGGGGCCAGATCTGACCCAGCCTCCTGCTGCTGTCTCTTGGGTGCCCATTCACTCATTTGCTCATTCATGAGCTATTCTGCGATGCCTTTTTCTGCCCAGGCCCTGTGCTGTGTACTTGAGATCAGAGAGAGCTTATACAGGGAGCTTCCAGCCCAGAATCTCCCAATCCTTTATGATATACTCCTCCTCCATCTCAATGTCTATGGACTCAGCCCCTTGGAGCCCTCTCTCGTGTCGCGTCCCAGCCCTACCCGCAGGAGCTATGCTGAGCACATTTCCTATTCCACAATGGTCTTAGCAGTAAGGTTTAGGCTTGCCTTCCTATAGTCTTCTAGTCCCATAAAAGCCTACTGCCTAGCCCAGGCACAGTCTACCATTCCCTGTGAAAGTGGCTTGCTCAAGGTCACCCTAAGATCTCACTGGCTGGAGAGCTAGGCCTGGAGACTAGATTTTTGCTCTCACCAAAGTCTGAATTGTTGGTTAGACTTTATACATTCTTTTGTCTCACACCGGGACATTTGCAGGAGACTGGCTAGGAAAGCATATAGTCTTCTCCAGCCCCCAAATCACCCCTTGGCTGACCAGGGATACCTTGGACATCCCCTAAGCTATGTCTTTATGTGGCTGCTCCTTGATTTGCTCCAGCCTCCTCTCAGCAGTGACTCCCTGCAAAGATGTATCTGTCTCTGGGTGCAGTTCTCCCAGGCGCCTGTCTTCCATCTATCAGTGATGTGTAGTTTTTCTCTGTGCTCTGCTGAAGTGTGACCAGACTGCCTGAGTAAACCCATGCATTAATTGTCTGACCTTTGGCACATGACATACAAGGGAGGACCAAGATATGTGGCTGATGTTTACATTTTCATTTTAAAAACTTACTACAGTCAAAGAAATATTGCCATGAATCCTTCTCAGAATACACCCTCTTGCTTTGAACACACTCATCCCGTTTCTTTTGCCATTTTCTGAAGCAGTTCTGGAAGTCCTCTTTCATCAGTATCTTTATGAGGTGTGAGTGGCAAATGTTGCTGCCGAGTGCCACTGTGAGCCTTTTAAATCTGTTTAAGACACTGGGGCAGCCACCACGGCACGGCTAAGATACTCACGAAAGAGAACTCCTAGAACTGCTTCTCGTGTGGCCAGGACGATGGGCTGAGTGTGTTCCAAGCAAGGAAGAGTACCTCGATGGCGGTTAAAGACAATGTGTCTTACTGTCAGGAATATTTAAAAATGTAAACTTTCACTGTATCATTTGGTCATACCTCACATCTTTGCTCTGCTTCAGCTTCCTTTCCTGTAAAATGGAAATAGCAATAGTTGCTGCTTCATAGATTTGGAGGATTAAACACAGGACTTGGAGACATCTGCAATAAATGTCATCCTTCCTGGTTTGCCTGGCTCCCTGCCAGTTCCCCAGGGGCAGCAGCAGTGCTTTGCTCTCCGTCACGGCACTGTGTTCTTCACCACAGTTGGTGTATAGTAGGTGTTCAGTAAGTATCTGTCCTCCTGAACGTTCTCAGGCAGTGACTGTGTTCCAAGCACTGTGCAGGCTGCCTGGGATACAGAAGGAATGATAAAGGACTAAAATGCCCCAAATCTGTCACTCCTTTGGGTCTCAGTTTCCCCTCTGCCATCAAATGACAGAATCGGATGTACAAAGACGCAGCCTTGCAAGCTTTCTGTGCCAGTTTCTCTGTCGGCTGCAGGGTGAGGTGGGCAGGGGCAGGCTAGGAGAAGCTCCATCCTTTTTTGGCCATGTGAATCCTCACTAGTCCTGGTCCTGGCCTTATACCATGGACATAAAAGGCGTGGAGCTGGGTTTGCGAGTAGTGAGGGTGGAGAGTGTCTGTCAGGGCAACTGCAGTGCCAGGTAGATCGGGGGTGGGTTCTGCGGAGGTAACCAGGAGGGGCCCAGGTAGAGCTGGCCTTCGATCAGGGGCAGGTGGCTGGGGAAGGGAAGGAATGTGGGGAAACATCGGGCCTTCCCATGTGCAGATCGGAACCCAGCCTCTCATCTGCTGGGTCAGCCTGGGCTGTGCCCAGCTTCCCTGAACCCAAGTGAACCCATGTCCTTTTTGCTGGGCCAAGTGTCTTGGTGCACAGAGAGTGACCAGCAGTGTCTGTACATAGTGGGGAGGCAGGGAGAAGCCATCTCTGTCCCTCCAGGAGGCTCTTTCCAGGGCACCAGTTTTTGGCAAAGAGTGACTGAGTCAGGATTTGGGAGGTCAGAGTTCTCACGAGGAAAAAACTCAAATAGGAATTAATTAAAGTTGGCCAAGCCACCTTTCCTGTGTGTCATGGCCTCTTGCCTGGAAACCCCAGAGGTCAATGTGTGTGTGTGTGTGTGTGTGTGTGTGTGTGTGTGTGTGTGCACGTGTGCATGCTCATGCACAATTGTACTCATGTGACCCCATGTTAAAGGTGAGGAAACCAAGCTCAGAGATGGGGATGCACTGCCTGAGGCTCCTCCATGAGTCTGTGGCTGGAATGGGGATGCACCCCAGGACTCGGCTCAGCTGAGAAAAGGATGGGAAGAAGCTGGCCTGAGGGGGAAAGGGGACAGAGATTAGGAACTCCTTAAGAAAGCAATGTCAGGGTGGAGGACTCCAGAATGCTGGGCTCGAAGAGTGGTTGCCTCTGTCCACCAGGAACTTGCTTCCTATCAGTTTCTCCCAGGTCACTGTTTTAACAGATTGGCTTCCAGGACATCCTAGAACACAGGTCTGGTGTCACAGGGTACTAGTCTCAGTTTGCCAATGCCCACCTCTGGGACTTCCAACAGTTCCCTTTCCTGGCCTCCATCCCCAGATGTGTTATGGGGCAGTCACACTCCCTTGCCTATGTCCTCTGTCTGTTGTGGGAAGGAAGGGAGATGAAGGATGTCAGTGGCTGTTGGTGCAGTGCCTTGGGTGATCAGGAAGCAAAGAGATGAGCATGAGCTCTCTGGGGAATGGAAAAGAACCTATGTGCCTCGTTGCTCGGAAACCCCTCAGAGCTCCAGGAGATGGGCAAGAGCCGGTCCTGGCAAGATGCACAGGCAGACCAGTCACCTTGGTGGCCCGGAGCTCTGCAGTTGGCCAGGAAGGACACAGTGAGCTGTGTCTTGCAGAGAAGGTTGACAGCCATCGATCGGCTCTGTAGGTGGGCGGCTGGCTGAGCAGGGTCTGCCCTCGAGATGTGCAGGCCATGACTGAGAAGCGTGCTGTGCTGTGGTGACACAACCCAGGCTTCTCTCTGTGTGCTTGGCTGGTGGCGGGAGAGTAAGATTTGGACCACATGGCTGGGGCCAGACTGTGGGACTTGGGACACTAGCAGGAAGAGTTTGGACTTCGCAGTCACTGGGGAGCCATGGCAGATGCAGGAGCAGGGATGTAATGGAATGGGAGAAAACACCCCTGGGGGTTGTGAGTGGGAGGATGGAGGGGACAGCACTGACACAGGAACGCAGAGCTTTGAGCAGAGCCTGTGGGGGAGACATCCTCTCTAGGTGACTTGGTGGCCAAAGGAGAATTATTTTTGTTTCAGGGACAGAAAGGGGACCTGGGGCTCTCACCAGGACAGGCCCACGATGGGGCAAAGGTAGGTTCCAGGGACTCTAGTGTTGAGGGAAGGGGGAGGTAGACCATGGTGACACTGCCATCCTGTGGGGAGCAGACCTGGCTGTGGCCATGAGTGACAGGCAGGAGGAGGGCAAGTCTGGGAAGGTCACAGTGGTTGGTTTTTCCTAGAAGTCCTTTGGGCTTTCCCAACACTGAGCCTTGGCCATTCCTGGTGTTTTCATCCTGGGGTACAACCACTAAAGCAAGACACAGTTTGCCTTTGGGTACAGGGTGGCGAACTGTTGCCCGCATGGCCTTCTGCTAAGTGACCCTGGCATCCAGAAGCTTCTTGGCAGCCCTTGCCCATGAAGCTTCCAACAGACCCCCTCCCCACCCCCCCAGTTCATCCAAGTAGACAGGTGTGTGTATCTCTCGAGGTGGGAAGGGCTCAGGCTCCATCTGAAGGCCCCTGACCCCAAGTGCTGTGAAACAGAGAGTTTGCCTGCAGAGAAGACATTTGGGCTGCAGGACTCCTTCCAGCCCTGAAGTATCTTCCCCAGAACCGAGCAGGAGGCCTGGAGAGAAGGCAGGGCATCAGGGGGCCTGGAACGCCCAGCAAGGTTATGCTGGGCCTCACACACATGTAACCTAAATGAACGGGCATGGCTGTCTAGCTACCACTGGGACAGCCAGGGCACTGGCTCTCAAGCCAACCTGCTGTGCCTGGCTGAGTGGCTGCCTGAGGGGCTGTTCCTCCTAATGTCCTTGGGACACTGGTGGGACACTGCTTCACATCCTCACTGCTGACTTTTTCACTCTGCAAACACTTCCTGGGTGTCCTGGGTCCAAGATAGCGTTCACATATATTCCCACCTGGGTCCTCCTTGTACCGTATAAGCCAGGGCCCATGGACTCTGCTTGTAGATGAGCAAACAGAGCCCCTGAATGTGAAAGAGGCCTTGCTGGAACCCTCACAGTCAGTAAGTGGTAGCGTGGAATCAGTGCAGGGGCCTAGGCTTCACTGTTCCTCCTGTGTGGCTGGCTTCCGGGTCTGGTGGTGGTTGTTGATGTGCCTAGTGACCACTGTGCCTGCCATGGGAGGTGTCTCAGGAATGTGGGGGAGAGCTGACTGGTATGGGTAGACAGGCACACGTCTCCTGGGTGTGGCTTTAAGCTATGGTTTTAGCCTCAGAGCCCATGCTCTGGGCTCTTCTGCCCCTGGAGGCCCAGTACATAAAATAGATCCAGCAGAGCCAGTCCGTTGGGCTAGGTGCCCTGCTCACCCCTCTGCTCCATTCCTCAGCTCAGGCCTCCTAGAGTCCACTTGGAGGCTTCACGAACCCCCAGGGAGTAGTTGGAGACAACCAGCCAGCAGTGGTCACACTTAGGACTTAACAAATGTCTCCACCTCACCTGCCTTGTCTGTGTCTCGCAGGGTGACATGGGCCTGCCTGGCCTCTCTGGGAATCCAGGACCTCCAGGACGAAAGGTATGCTTCGGTTCTGATACTTGTCCTCGCCTTCTGGGCTCAGGGCAGGAGCACTGTGGGCCGCCTGTTCTTTCTGGCCCATGCCCGGTTCCCTAGGGACCAGGAACAGTGGTGGGAAACGTGTGAGATTTGGAGGGTTGTACTTCCGGGAGAAGGCGGCACCTTGACATGGAGTTGGTCCCCACTGTGGTTAATGTGACAAGAAGGTGCCTGTACTAGTTTGCTGTACCTCCTCCTAGGCTTGGCCACTCCTGAGGAGGCCTCCCTCTTTCCGGGGTGCTGGAGGTAGTGAGGAGCTGTCCACAAAGCCAGCAGGGCCAGGCTGGGCTGTGTGACCAGGAGCCAGGCCTGCAGGGCCGGAGGGAAGGGGCTTTCTGTTCAGTTGGACCTGTGTTCTGCTCCTGCCTTCATGACCTGGGGCGCGTCTGTCACCCTTCTAAGCCTGATACCCATCCCAGCTGCTGTGCTGTAGGTCAAGACAGTGACTTCTCTCTGTGTTGCTGTTGCCGGGCTACCCTTCCCCCTCCCCTCTTTAGCCCTGATGGGGTCACACTCCTGAATGTCTCAGTGAGGGGAAAATCTGCCACTTTCCTGGATAGGGCCTCTCGCTCCGTCCTCTGGCTTCCTCAGAGTGTCTCCCATCCTTCAAGATCCTGTTCTAATTGGGCCTCCTCCAGGAAGCCCTCAGAACATGCCTGCTCCAGGCCGTCAGCTCCGCCTGCTCAGGGACTTTTGGCCCAGCTCAGCTCGGCTATTGCCAGCCCCGAGTCTCACAGGCCAGCCAGTGACACACAGTGACGCACGGGTCTATCACTGTCTCTGCTGAGCCTGGCACGGGGCTGCACGGAGCAGGTGTTTGGGACACTGGGAGAGTCATCCAGGCCTGGGTTCCTTCATCTTTTGCAGGAAACCCTCACTGTACATGAGCTGTCCAGGGGACACGTGAGCCCGGGGCCAATCCTGAGCTTCAGCCCGGCTCCCAGCTGTGGCTCCAGCTGCTCTCTCTGGACTGTCTGGTTCTCATGTGGACACCCTTGGTTTCTCCTGGGCCTGTCCTGTCCTTGCTTCAAGGCCCCCAGGACACAGCAGGACTTGAAGGCCTGCACTCCACCCCCATCCCCGTCTCCTCTGCCTTCCACGGTCAGAGCAGCCGTACTTTGGGTCTCAGGCCAGCCCCAGACAGGAAGTGTGGCTATCTGTGAGCCCGGAAGCATGCTCTCTCCTGGCTCAGACATGTCCCCTCTCCCCTCTGGGCTCTAGTACTTTCTGATGGATGAGGTATGAGTGGAAGAGGCTCCTTCCAGCCTCAGCTCCTCAAGTGGCTGTGTTCTGCTTGGGATGGGAGTCTTGCAGGGGAGGTGGGAGATGGGGAAACAGACTTGGACTAGCTCCTGCCTGGGGTCAGGAGAAGCTGGCAGCCAGCCCCTAGCCGAGTGGAGCCAGCTCCCTGAGCAGGGGGAAACATCCTTCGGACACTCCAGCTTGGCTTTTCTGCATCGTCTCTATGGGAGCCCTGGGAAGAAGGAACATGGGGGGCTGTAATGTGGGTCCACTTCCTCCCTGCTCCCCAGGGCAGGGAGCTCTGGTGGCTCCATTCATTCTTTGATTTAGGGAGAATGTATTGGATGCCTACTCTGTGCCAGGCATGGGGCCACACACATAGCCAGAGATCCCGCCTTACAGAGCCTGTAGCCTTGGGAGGTGGTGAGTAGAAGGAAACTTGGTAAAAATGGAGGGTATGTTGGCAGATGGAAATGGCTGTGGAGGAAGTGGGCAGGAGGAAGGCAGTCTGGGTTGGGTGTTCCAGGGGCAAGAAGGGTAACAATTAGAGGGGGCAGAAAGGATGGCTGCCCCTCCTCACAGTTAGGCAGCACTGTGCCCATTTTATAGCTGTAAAGACTGAGGTCTCAACAGATCTCATTTATTCATTCATTCATCTAGGAAGTGAGCAAATATACACCTCTGCTCTGGTTCCTGTGAGGACCCTGGTATTAAGTGACCAGAATGGTCAATGAGAAACCCAAAGGGATCACTGCAGTGTCAGTACCTGATCCTGTGGAGAATTACAACTGGCTGGGGCACTGGGTGTCCCCAGTGGGGAATACTGGGCTGGGAGGGGCACTTGCATCAGTAGCTATAGAAGCAGCCAGGTGACTCATCAGTGGCTAAGAGGGAGGGCCACCGGCTTAATGTACATCACCTCCCACGAGTCACCCACAGCAGGCCTGGGATTTGAACCCAGGTCTTCTGACCCTTCGTCCCTTCTTCTTACCTCAAGCCTGACAAAAACAGCCTCTTAGCCGAGAGAGGCCCCACCAAGTGAACAAGAATCTCCTGGAGGTCTGGCTCAGATGGACCCAGATGGATTCCCAGCTCTGTCCCTCTGTGACTGTGTGTGGGTGGCTCACTGGTGTCCTCGGCCCGTTTTTCCTGTTGGAGCCAGTATTGGAGGACAGAAGTGTGTGTCCCTCCATCTCCGTGTGGGGCTCAGCCTCCCACTCTCCTGCCTGGTCTCTGGCAGACATCACCAATGGATCTTTCATGCCAGCCCCCGACAGCCTCAGAGTCCTGAAGCATTGCCCTGGGGAGACATGACTAATGGAGCGAGATGTGTACTTAACTTGAGGCCCATGAGCCCTCTTTCCAGTCTGACTTCCTCTCCCCTTGTGGCTCATTAGATCTCCTGCACCACCTGAGCTGGCCATTGTCCATGGGAAGCCAGAATAAAATGGGAAGGTCACCTTACGTGTTTGGGGAGGATGTGGCTACCTGAGAGGGTCCCTGCCTTTGTTTGGACCTGCCAGTGCTTCCCAAGGGTAGCAGAGCTCCCAGGGTGAACTTTCTCCAGTTTCTTCCCTGCTGCTGAGTGGCTTTGGGCTTCAGTGGCTCCTTCCTGTCAGTCTGTCCTGTCCCCTCCCAGCCTCGGTTTACAGTGCTGCCTCCCTGGGTGCATCTGCCCCTCGAATCTTCCCTTCCTTCGCTTCACTGGTATGTGTTCAGTGCCCTACTTCGAGAGGCCAGCTCTGGAAACCGAGCTCCAGAGATGTACAGGGTCGTAAGCAGCATCATAGGACAAGGCTTTCTCCACCTGGCATGTTTCTTCTTTCACCTGCTACTCTCCTGACTGTCAGGGTGGCACTGGGTGGCTGGGTGGTAGGTGAGTTTGGTGGGAAGGCTCCTGGGCGCTAAGCAAGACTGGCAAGGTCCAGTTTGCTGGAGGGAAGCCGAGGCCTTGAACCGGGTAAGCTGGGGCCTGGGTAAAAATAGCTGAGCTCTGGACCCTCAGGCAAGGACAGGACTCCCTCCCTCCCTGCCCAAAGCCCAAATAGCACCCCTGCCAGCCGGGAAGCCTGTCTACAGCAACAGTGAGGTGATGTCTGGTTTCTCCCTGTGCATTGTAAGCAATGATTAATCTGGCTCCCAAACCAAAATAGAGTCCGAGCTGTATTATAAACATGGTTCTGCGGAGACCCGTCGGCTGGGCAGCCAGCGGCCCCGGAGCTCCCCTGTAACACTGCCCACCTCTTTGCGCCCACAGGGCACCTATCACCACTGGGAAATCACTGCCCCTGGGTCCACCTTGCTGTCAGTGCTGGCCCATAATTGCTGAGGCCCTGGAGAAGATGATGGCGTGGCCCCTGTGAACCCAGGCCCCTGTCATTTAAAGCTGTTTGTTGGCCCAGCTTGAAAAACACGGCTGGGTGCCTCTGGGAACACAGCACCTCCACTCTGCCACCTCGAACTTTGACTACCCTCAGTCTTGTGCCGCTTCTGGAAACCAGGAAAAATGCAGAGTTCCTGACATGTTCAAGCCCCTTGAATTAGCCCGCTCGGGTCAAGCACCCTGGCGACCAGTGTAGGCTCAGCCCTAACTTCCTGAATAACCCTGGGCCAGCCTCTGCTCTTCTCCCAGCTTCTGCTGCTTTATGTGCGTGGTGGACAAGGAAGCTATCCAATGTGTTAGGTCACTTCCAGCTCTCATATTGCAAGGCTTCATGACTGACCATGTCATGAAGACCCATATCTATTGCAGTGATCTGAGACCTGTCCCTTGTTGCATCTCTAAGGGGATCTTTTCCAGGCTGACCCTGTGACTCTTCCAGGCAGGGCCTGGGCCTCCGCAGTTTGGCACTTACAGGTGTAGGGACTGAGCCACAATCCGGGTGCTGCCTTTAGAATGCTACGAGGCTTCAGGAGTCTCTTTCCCTCTCCAAGTCTCGGTTTCCTTGACTGGTAAATGTGCCTGGTGACTCCTGCGAGGAGTCAGGAAGCTGGTTGTCTGAGGCTTTGCCTCATTGTCTAGGGCTGTGCATTCCTCTGAGGCCACACCCCAGTCCTGAGCGAGGGCTCACCTGACTGTCTGTCTGGACTGCACAGTAGATGCCTCTGCTTCCTTTAGGGAGGAAGCACCGAAGAGCCGGCTTTGGGAAGGTGGCCTGGTAGTTGTGGAGGAAGCCCCAGGAGCTGGTGATGGCTGGGGCTGCTGGACATGTCTTTTCTGCTTCTCCCAGGTCCTTGCCTCTCTTAGTCCATGGGCGGCATCCTTGAGGCGGGGAGGATGGTAGACTTGGCCATGCCTGGTCCCATGGCCAAGAGTGAACAGCTTGGCTCATCATGTTCCTGGGAAAAGGTGGAAAATGACAATAGGGCTGACCATGTGCATGCTGTGTCCCTTGCTCAGAGTCCTCCTGGACCTCCCATTATGTGTGCCCTGATCTCCTGTCCCTCTGACCACACTCATTTGCCCTGCTCCAGGTGGTTAGGCTTCTTTGTACTTTGTTGAGCTCATTGAGAACATTCCATCCCCAGGGCCTTTGCACTTGCTATTTCCTTTACTCAGAACACTTTTACCCAGATAATGAGCCCTGTTTCCCTTCTCTTACCTCACTCATCTGCTCAGGGCAATCTTCTCTGGTCACTTTTCCTGCAGTCACCGCCTCCCTTTCCCAGCATGGCCACTCTGTACCCTAACTTTACTTTTCTTCATCCCTCTGATCACTAATAGATGTTAGGTCTTTCATCTTAGTTTTATTTTTATGATGGCAAGAATATACATACATCTTATACATTTTAAGTGTGATTTAGAAGTGTTAAGTATATTCAGTGTTGTGCAACAGGTCTCTGGAGTCTTCCTCTTGCAAAACTGAAACTGTAGGCCCTTACACAACCTTCACCTGCCCCCACCTGGCTTTACCTTTCATACTTATTTTGTTTTTATAGTTCCTTAATAAGAACGCAGACCCCATTAAGGCAAAGGGTGTTGGCTGTCTTGTTCTTCTGGGCCTAAAACAGCGCTGGTATGTGCAAACTCCTCAAACTTTGAATGAAAGGAAACCAAAGGCCATGGCAGTGGCAGCAGCTAGTTTTCTCAGGGTCTTGAATTCAGTGCCAGGAGCTGTGATTAAGCATCTTGAGCACAGATGGGACGATCCACGCAGCAACCCTCATGTACCCATTTTACCATCAAGGAGGGTAAAGAGGAGGCTCCAGAGTTCGCAGCCAGCTGGTAGGCAGAGCTGCACTGGATTCCAGGTCTGTTTGAGGCAGAGATCTGGTCCCTTGCTGGCTGAGCCTGGTGCCCCTTTGCCCGTGGGGAGAAGAGTTCGCACCCCACATGCACACTCCTCAGGCAGCTGGGTGGGAGATGGAATCCGGTTGTGAGGAGGTGCGGAAGGAATGCTTGTAACTCCTCAGAGCGCTTGGGTCAGGCCGGCTGCTGCTGTTTATAATCAACAGCGCCACTGCTCCTCGGGAGTGGGGGAGGGGGCGTGTGCATGCCTGAGGATGGTGGAGAGGAGAGGCCCTTAGTGAGACTCTGCTCATCTTAACCCCTGAAATGAAGGTGCCCCCACCCCTCACCTCAACCCCGTGTGACTCTGCAGGGCTGTATGAAGTTGTGTACCCCGCGTGTGATCCCCACTGAGCAGCCGTACACAGTGGGGTTTCCAGGGGCTTGTGGGGGTGCATGTGTCATGGGAGGTGTGCATTCCCACACATATTCTACTCTTGATCTTGAGCTTAGTATGTGCATTTTAGACTCTGATGTTCTTAAAACTCTTGCATTCCAAATCAGAGGTGAAAAGGACCCGGGATTCTAAGACCCCTTCTGTGACCCAGCATGGGGCAGTGGCCACCCAGAGTTGCACCAGTCAGCGACCATGTCTAAACCCACCCCCTAGGGCGGGCCCAGGGGAGCCCTGTCTTCCTAGTTTTCACTGCAGCTTCAAGCTGGCAGGGCTGGAGTCAGGGCTCCCCCACAGCCCTCCTGTGCCATCTGACATCACACCCCTAGTTCCACTCTCTGGCCCTAGACACCCCACCTGATAGCTGGGCCGTCAGGTCGGAGGAGCAAAGTTGGCCCTGGGGTGTCACCAGAGTCCTTGTCAGTCACACATTTGGGTGTCCTCTTCACTCCTGGTGCGGGGGTGGGGACAGCTGGAAGAAGGGAAGCTTGTTTCTGGCCATTGTGTATGTGCTATCTTCTCTGATAATGGCCTTGGAGAAGGCACAGTCCCAACAGGACAGGGAGTCCTGGCCTCTCCCTCTCATAGTGGCTGAGCATGTCCCATCTGGGGTCCTTCTCCGACTACTGGTGACAGACAGCCCTCCACCCCCAGGGGCTGGCTCCATGGCTCCTAAAGGGATGCGGCATCCCTGGACCACAGCAGCTCTGTCTTATGGAGCTCACAGACAACCCAGACTCGCACGCCACTGGGAGCAGAGAGGAACCTTAGGCATCCTCCAGCCCTCCCTTAGTTGTGGCATCCTCTCAGGCAGTGTTCTCTGAGCACACCTTGCGTGCCCCCCCCCCCGCCCCAATGTAATGGCTGAACAAGCAGTCAGGGAACCAGGCACTGCTGTCCACTGTCTTCCCTGCCTGACATAGACTTTCCCCTCCCCCACCCCACAGGGACACAAGGGCTATCCTGGACCTGCAGGGCACCCTGGAGAACAGGTGAGACCCTCGCCCACTTGCGCTGTACTCCTCCTCCTCCCACCCCTGCCTCCCTGGACCTGCCAGGGTCAGGTGCTCCTACCTCTGCATCCCAGCCCGCGGGGAGCTCCCTGCACAGCCCTCCCTACTGCTTACCCAGCCACGCTGGCCCAAAGGAGTCCATGCTGGCCTGGAGCTGGCAGGAGCCACCCTACTCCAGTTGGAGCCATGAATAGCTGGCCTGTTACCCGCAATGTTAGGGGACATTATCCATGCGCACGCATGGGTTTGCAGGAATTTGGCCACCCTGGCCCAAGTCAACATTGAGCGGCCCTGCCAGATCCAGAGCTGCCAGGCCCCCTAGAGCTCTCTGATTCTGGCTGCCAGCAGAGGTGTTGTCCTTCAGAGCTGGTCCGACTGGTTTTCAAGAGGGGTGGGCTTGTGGGCCCCTGTCTCACATTCCTACCCTTCTCCTTGTGCTTTATCAGACCCAGGTTGAGCTAGGTACTGCCTCTCCCCCCTCTCCCCCTCTCCCCTCTCTCCCTCTTCTCCCTCCTCTCCCCCTGTCTCCTCTCTCCCCCTCCCCCTCTCCCCATCTCCCCTCCCCTTCCCTCCCTACATTCACAGTTCTCTCTGTTTCTTTGCAGGGGCAGCCAGGACCTGAGGGCAGCCCAGGGGCCAAAGGTTACCCTGGCAGGCAGGTGCAGTATATGGCTTCTGGAAGCTCTGGCCCCGGCAGAGAGGGCCATGGGTGCCCCAGGCAGAGGGGGGCTGTCTAGGTGGCCGCACCCAGCACCAAAGCCCCTCTTTGCAAACACCAGGGCTATGTGCTCAGCCAAAGGAATTTGGGTTCCTGGGAGGAGCCCGAGAGAGTTCTTCCATCCCTGAGACTTTGGGGGCTCAGGCCAAAGACCTTTAGTGTAACCCATCCCAGATGGGCCGCTGAGGCCGGAGTAGGATTTGCCTGCGGTGTTGGCAGAGGGGAGGAAGCCTCCATATGTCCTTGCCCCTGTCTTTTGTGTTTCAGGGGTTACCTGGACCCGTAGGAGACCCTGGCCCTAAAGGCAGCCGAGTAAGTGGTCCTCAGCCAGTGCCCCACAGGTGGCACCCTGGGTGGGCATCGCCTGTCCCCACGGGGGACGTGATAAGAGCTCAAAGCTTTCAGCAGGTCTTCTTACTGTGGCTCACCAGGGAGCCAGGGCAGGAGGAGGCCAGCTGAGGTCTACGGGCAGGCAGTTTAGTTGGCCCAGGCTCTGGGGTCTGGCCATGCCCAGCTGCCAACAACCAGGCATATTCTTGTCTGTCCCCTGCTCATTTCTTGTGACCAGGTAGCCAAAGCTGGGGCCATCTGAAGTGCCTGCTGTGGAGCCCTCAGAGGCTTCTCTCCTTGACTCAGCTGCCCTCCAGCCTCAGTTTGCCTGTCTTTACTACAGGAGTCATGTTCCTTCCTCCCTCTCACATGCTTGGGGGGGGGGGTGCCAGGAATTTGACAGCTGGTACTTTTGAAGGGGACATGCAGGCTAAGGGAGGCAGAGAAGGTCCTCTGTGCACTGAAGGAGGAAAAATGAAACAGGAGGACTATGAGCTGGACTGGTGGCATCTTCTTTTCTGTCCACAGGGAGCCCAGGGTTAGGATGGGCTCCTCTCCCCTCTCCCACTGCAACACCCAAGGTGGCTCTGGGATGGGGATCCCAGTGTCCCAAGGCCTACAGGAATACTTGGCAAGTAGGTCCCACCATCCTCGGTCAGGGCAGGCCCAGTGTGATGCTCCCTCCCCTCCAGAGCCAAAGCTGTTTAGCCTGTGGAAGGGAGAGAGCAGAATAGCTACCATGTCAGGCCTGTCCAGCCTGAGGGAGGCCGGAGGGAGCTTGTTCCAGGACCTTCTTGTGATGCGTGGGGCTTGAGGAGCTGCCTGTCCTGGGTCCTGAGCCTTCAGCTGCTCCTGTGAGCTGTGGCATCCAGGGTCCACCTGGACCCAGGGAGACAGTCTCTCATCCCAGCCCTGGTCCCATCTGCTGGAGGACAGCTCACGCTCATGATGTCTGCAGCTGCTTGACGTGTACCATGCTGGTGGCATCTTGAAGCCACATGTAGGGAAAGGGCCTGTCTGGGCCATGCAATCCGGTCCCCTACAGGTCACAGGTCCTAGGGCACTCAAGCTGCCTGCCAGCCTCTGTCACTGCCTGCTCAGTGTTTATGAGGCAGGCAAAGCACAGCCCAGGCTACAGAGCCACAGGGACAGCCCTGCCATTCCCCAGCTGTGAAGCCCTGGACAAATCCCTGGACTTCTCTGAGCCTGTTTCCTCACCTGTAAATCTGGGACACAGACCCGATCTGGAAGGGTCAGTAAATGTCACCGTTGGGATTATGAGTAACACACATGCTGGGTGCTAGACCTTGGCCTCTCAGCTGTCAGGGGAGTACACACAAGGCTGTGACCATCCCTCACTGTTTGTCTGTGGGGACAGTGGAGTATGCTGGTCAGGCTAACACGGAGACAAGCATGGGTGGAAGATGCCTGAGAGAAGGGGCAGTGTTAGGTGCTGCTAACTGGGCTGCAAATGGGGCTCTTGGGGCAGGGAGATTGCTCAGGCTTGGACACCGGGGTGTGGCCAGGGGAGAGTGCATGGAGGTGGCTCTGCAGGGTTTGGTGATGCAGTCGTGAGAGTGGGAAGGGGACTGGTGCAGGGCACCAAGGGGACAGGCAGGAAGCAGGAAATAAGACATCCTAGGCCCCGGCCAGGCTTTCACATGATTAAAGCCTAGGTAACCTGCAAGCTGGCTAGGAGGTGGCTAGTGGGACTCCCAGCCCCACCACTGACTGTGTTGCCTCTGTGTCCCTGTATGTCCCGTGAGGGCTGATAACCAGGCTGCAGGCTCCTTCGAAAGCTTAAGGCAGCAGCACGTGTGCCTGGCCGAATGGCTGCACGCCAGGGTGGCCGCTGCTATGACTCTAGCACTCAGGGGGCAGGGGGTGGCCATCAGCCTCATGGCCAGGACCTTCGAGGCCTCTGAGGAGCTGCTGCAGGAGTCATAGGCTCACTGGAGTGGAATGGGGAGGACTTGGGGCCAGGCTAGCACCTGACCCGGACTCGAGCTTCCTTCCGCAGGTCTGGAGCCCCGTGCGGGGCGGGCCTCCATCCACGAGCGCCCGCGCCCTTCCCTGGCGTGAGGGTATGTGCCTTTGGACTACATCGTGGAAGCCAGCACCATGCAGTCCATGGGCATATACACTTGCCTCAAGGCCTATGTCGTCCATCCGTCGAGGAGCACAGGAGCTGCTGCCGCCAGCGAGGATGAGGACCCTGGTGGAGGGAGGGCAGCGGGGTGGGCCAGACAGGCTGGGTCGCCCACATCCCAACACTCGAACCCTCTGATCCCCGTCTGCTTTCTCCTAGGGCTACATCGGAATCCCAGGGCTCTTCGGCCTGCCAGGGTCCGACGGAGAGCGCGTAAGCACGCTGCTTGGGCTGTTCACCCTGCCACCCAACCCCAGCTGGTGTAAAACAGCCTGCTAGGCACTGGCCCCCAGAGTCACATGATTCCTTTGGGTGGAGTAGGAGTCTGCAAAGGGGGAGAGTCAGGGTACATGGATTTCAGGCTTAGGGAGCAGTGTGTACAGAGTCAAGGGCATCTGACAACTTGGCAAGTCAACCTGGTCAGACCCCCAAGTGAGAAGTTGAGCGAGCAGAGGAGGCTGCAGGGGCCCTCCGGGTAGGCGGGATCACACACGCACAGGGACTGAGGTGAGGAAAGGGATGCTATCTGGGAGTCCCCCAGGGCTTGCAGCTAATGAGAAATGGGCCGGCTTTATATTCTGGATAAGAGCTCTGTGAACCGTGGCCAGTAGTCTGTTTTATAAATAAAGTTTTATTGAGCGTGGCCATGCACATTTGTTTACTATGGTTCCTGGCTGCCGTCTCACTACAGTGGTGGAGCTGAACAGCTGTGACAGAAACCAGATGGCCCACAGAGCCAAAAATAGTCACTATCTGCCTCTGTGCAAAACGGCTGCTCATCCCTGGCTTAGCCAGCTTGGTCCATATACTTGAGTGACATGAGACTGAGGTGGGGTGGGGGAGGCAGGAAGACCTGGTGTCCCTAGGGACAGGGTGGCATTGTCTGCACGGGAGAGGGGGGGCAGGATGGCAACGGGAAAGTGGGGAAGGGGGAGCACCACAGAGACTGGGCCTTAGCTTCCAGGGAAGCTGACGGGTCTGACTTAGAAGTGGGCAGGGACTGAGCTTCCATGCAGTGCTCTGTTCTTGCAGCCTGGGGGCCTGTGTCAGGAGGTCTGAGGCAGGGACAGGGGCTGCCCACGGCCCCTGGTCCAACCTTGATGCCTTGAGGAGCCCTGGGGCGGGAGAATGGCCCACTCCCAGTCTGAGCCTGTATTTGGGAGCTCAGTGTGACCTTGACAGTAAGCTGGGGACACAGCACTTTAGGATAGCAGGAGGGGGGTACTTTAAACACCCACGAACACTGGGAATACTGGGTGCTTTCTTTAGCCATTTCCTCAACCAACCAAAGGGTTGTCCCTCTGATGGGCACATAATTAGTGCCACTGGCTATATAGCTTGTACTTCAAGCCTGCTGGGACCTGCTGGGGGGGCTGTGGGGTGTGTTGCTGGCCCCTGCTGGAGTGCTGGGCTGATCTCTCCCCCTTTTCCACCTACAGGGCCTCCCTGGCGTTCCTGGCAAGAGGGGCAAGATGGGTAGGCCGGTAAAGATTTTCCGTGTCTATTACGCAGACTCTATGGGTGACCCCTGCTTCCTGCTGGCGAGCTGCCCTTGTGTGTGGCCCAGCTAGGCCTCGTGCACCTCTTTCTGCTCCGCTCTGTGTGTGTGTGGCTGTGAGTCCTGCCCTGGCAGGGGCGCGGCGGCTGCTGCCAGCCAGGGCTCCCAGGTGCCCTCTCTCTCTGTGCATTTCTGTGTCTGCGGCTTCTGTCCAGGATGTCTGTGTCTGTGGCCTGCCTGGGCTGGGACACCTGGGTCTCCATGTCTTTTTGCTGGCACCTGGCTCTGTCTTTTTTACTTGTGCACACACAAGGCCAAAGGACAGAGGGGCAGGGCAGGCCACTGCAGGTATGGCCAAGAGGGGTTCAGTGGTGACCCCTACCCACCAGCTTGCTCTTTGCTTCTCGCTGTTTTTTCCCTTGTTTGGGAATCCACCGGGGATAAAGCAAGAGCCAGGCATAGGGAGATTAAGCAGCTTGCCCAGGATTTCATAGCGACAGAATGGTGGAGCCAGGACTGTGACTTAGAGGGTTTGTCCCCAAGGCCTCTGACCTTGGTGACGGTTTGAGGTGGTCCCTTAGGGTGACTAGTTGGTGTTCATACTGTAAAAGTAGAATCTGCTCCTGCAGGAAGGTTGCTGATTCTGGCTGTCTCATTGTTCAGAAGGAGAAACTGAGGCTCTGAGAGGCAGTGTGATAGGCCCAGTGTCCCGATGCTGGGGTGCAGAGCCAGGATGGTCCCTCTGGCATCTTCCTTGAGTGCCTTGGCCCCCGTATGTGGCTCAGGCTCTCTGCTGCTGCCCCGAAGGTTCTCCTTGAGCTTGGGGGAACCAACAGCCCAGCTCTGGAACTCTTATACTGGTCAGAGAAGGGGGAGTGGGGAGGTGGGGACCAGAGAGGGGCCAGAGCCCTTGGGATGCTCAGGGGCTCTCCATGATGCTGAGATTGTTGGCCTGTCATTACCCTGCAGAGGGAGAGAGGGAGGAGCTGAACCCTCCAGGGGCCAAAGGGGAGAGGCAAGGAAAAATAGGATCCAACCTCCTCCTCAAGGGGCATGTAGAGGGGTCTCCATCATCAGCACTCTGTGACCTGACTTATTCTGTGCTCTGGCACAGTGCCTGCCATCTAGACATGGGCAAGGAGTGGCCCCTGCCATTCTGGGCTCAGGGCAAGGCCCTGGGTCAGAGAGGGCTGCGCTGGGCCCCAGTCTGCCCCTCGAGCCAGCTGGTCTTAGGCCAGGAGATTCCTTCATTGAGTGACCACTCATTGTGTGCCTGTTATGAGCCAAGCATTATGAGAGAGATTTCCCACTCTCACGAGGCAGATGGACAGTCATCAAATAGAGAAATGGAAAGAAGAATGCTGGGTAGTACAGAATGCCAAGAGAGCAGGACAGGGGCCACGAGCACTTGGAGTGGGTTATTGGAAAAGCTGGCCCAGGAGGGCCTCCCTGCTTCATGAGAAAACTGAATGATGTGAGGATGGATACCACATGGCTTTCCATGGAGGAACATTCCAACTTGAAGTAATGACAGGTGCAAAGGCCCTGGGGTAGGAGCATGCATTGGTTCAAAACCTTCTAAGTTCATCTGAGAAATGGTGACAATTGTGTCTACCTTGTGAGATTGTTGTACTTGCCATGCAGTACCAGTTGCGATAAGCAGTGGCAAGTCATTGCTCCTATCTGTGGTTTCCCTGTGGGTGAGGGCTTTCTGTGTTGTGACTGAGGCCAGTGGCTCACGTTCTCTGGGTCTGCGTTCTACAGTTCAAGCTGCAGGGAGGTGAGTTGCCCGGGTGCAGCTGTTCATCCCCACCACCTCTGAGGGGTTGCTCGGATTACCCTGGGACCCCCGCAAGCCCAGGCTCTGTTAACTTGTCAGATGAGGCTGGGGTCAGGAAGGCAAATGGCTGGGCCACAGGCACGTGTCTGTTGAGAGCCAGAGCTGGATTCAAACATGGCCCATGCTCACGCCGCGCCCCCTACAGTCTGTCCAGAGCGCAGTTTCCAGACTTGCAGGCAGGAAGAGACCAGATCTGAGAATCCCTGGCTATGTTAGTGGTGAAAGAGGAGGCCAAGGGAGACCAGAACCGCAGGAACCTTAGCATGGCCTGGCCTGGCTTTGTCACACTGATAAGCAGACAGCCTCCCCACCCCCACCCAGGGCAGGGAATTGCTCAAGGTCATACAGCCAGGTGGTGGCAGACCCAGGACCCCTGCTGGCAGGTACACATCACCGCTCTTCTGTCTGCCCACATCTTCAGCCTCTGAAGCGAAGCTGGCCCTGGCCCTCACTCCCTCCTCACGCCCACTAGAGAGAATGTGGAACGATTTGCTGGGCAGCGTCTGGGTCTAGGATGGTGCTGGCTTGGTGGGAGCACAAGGCTTTCTCCTGGTTAGCCCCAGCAAAGGTCTCTCCGGGCCAGGGAAGGTGTGCAGCGCCTCCCTGCATCCTGCTTGTACTGAGTCTGCCAGGGTGCTCGTCACCAGCTGCTGCCAGGGCAGCTCTCGGGCCCTGCCTGGCCAGGGTTAGGCAAGCCAGGAGGTAAACCCTTTAAAGCCAGAGTGGACATTGGAGCTCCCTGGGACATGGCTGCCTGGGGTGGGGGCAAGAGTGGCCCAAGGCTCCTAGCAAGCTCAAGGCTCTTTCCAGTTCTCTGGGGAGCTGGGAGCCAAGTTACAGAGGACTCACCTTTCTGCATGGGGAAACCAAGGCCCAAACAGATTCAGACTTTTATTTGGACATGCTGTGAGCTGCAGTTTGGTCTCCAGAACCGTCCCAGGACTGTTGATGACCCTGGAATCCTGTGAGACCTCTGCCTGTCTCCCCTTTCCTTCCGTGTGGTAACATTGAAAAGGGCCTCCAGGGGTCCCTCCAGGTCCGAACCTCAGGATGCATGCCCACCCTGTCTGGGAAAGAATTCGGGCTTCTTTGACTGAGGATGAGGTTAGATGTGGCAGGAACTTCCAGACTTGGAGAATTTACACTTCATTAGATCTCCAAGATATTTCTGCAGGTTCCTCCTAGAGGTTACCAAACATGCTCACTGCTGGTACCAGCTCTAACTAGGGGCACAGTGGCCCAACAGAGTTTACCAGATTCCTGTCCTCCTCAGCCCAGCCTGGCCAGATGAGGCAGGATCACCGGGAGCAGGCCAGGGAGCCTCGCCTGGAGCAGGGCTTGAGCCTGGGCACTCCAGGCCTCCCTGCCCAGCCCCTCTTGGTGCAGACCTGGAAGCAGAGTGCTCTGAGGTCTCTGCAGCCTTCCACTCCTACCGTGCCTGTGGGTGAAGACTGTCACTGTCCTTGCCTTTGTTCCTGAGTTGTATGGCCAGGAGAGAGTAGGAAGTCTCACTCCCCAGTCTCTCTCTGCCTCTTCTGAGCCCGGTTCTGCTCAGAGTTCCCAGCATTTAGCTCCTGGAGAGGCCAAGGAGAGCATATGGCTGAGCCCTGCAGGGACTGAGCTCCGGCCTTGGGACTTGGGACTTGGGCCAGCCTGCTGCTGCCTGGAGCTCGGGCTGTGGAGGAGGTCTCCACTGCAGGCGGGCTGTGGTGTTGTGTGGTTACCTTGTACCAGCAGGGACAACCAGGGAATGTGTGGAAGCGCCTGTCTGGCTTGGAGCTGAATCTTGGAGACCCAGAGAGGCCAGGCGTCAGAGACCCTGGGATGCCATGAGGGAGTGGGGGCTGAGGCAAGTGAGTGGCATGACAGGGCCTTCTCGGCCTCAGTTTCCACACTGGCTCAGTGAGGTGTCAAATGTCAGAAGCACGCAGAGCCCTTCCATCCCGGATCCTCTATTCCCATCAGAGATTCGTTCCTGTGCCTCGAGAGCTCTATCCTTGGCCTGTTTTGTAACTGTAAACCCTAGATCCCCAGAGGGCACCATCTGTAGGGAGACAGAGGATGGACACAGGGCAGGCACGAGGCCACCCTGCATGTCCAGGCAGAGCCAGCCCTCCGCCCCCTCATGCCTGGCTGTCTGTGCCTTAGCCCAGGGCTATGATGAGCCTTGCTGTAGTCTGTCCTGTTTATCCTGTTGTGTCCTAGCTCAGAGAACAGCTCTGGGATCACACTGCCTGGACTGAAATCCCTGCTCTGCACTGCATAGCTGTGCGCCTTTGGACAAGTCCCAGAACTTCTCCACATCCCTATTTTATCATCTCTCTGATGGGGCCATGCCAGGCGTGGTGGCACACACCTGTAATAGTGTGAGTTCAAGGCCAGCCTGAACTTCATAGCAAGACCCTGAAGTTTGAAAAAAAAACATTTACAATGAGGCCAGTAATCGGAGCCACCTGCCAGGTCTGCTTGGTGTCACACTGTCGTCACCACCCGCTGGCCATCCCCAGGCTGCATTAGTCTGCAAAGGTGACTCGTTCTGGGACACGGACTTGTGAGTTTGACGAGTGAGTCTCCTGCTGCTGCTTCACAGATTCCGGTACTGCCGTGTGGGACGGGCCCCAAGTCTTGTCCCCGCAATGTTTCCCTTGGGACTGAAGACAAAACTGAGGCTCTGAGAGGCTGTTGAGAGCCAGAGCTGGATTCGAACATGGCTGACAGAGGGAGGTCACCTGGCAGCTGGGCCAAAGGGGATGTGGAATCAGCCTGAGGCCACCTCCAAATGCAAAATCATGCATCTGAGACCCACCTCGTGCCACTGGGGGAAATACTCTGTTCTGCACAGCCAAGATGGCTTGGGGGCGATTTGTCCAGGCTGGGTAGTATCCCTTGCCTGGGAGAACAGCCTCCCTTCTCCCCAGCCTTGTCTAGAGGTCAGATCAAGCTGGAAGGATCTTTAGCAAACACCCCCAAGCAGCACAGGATAGGGGGTTCAGTGAGTCTGTGGTCACACAACCAGCCCAGAGGAGGCAGGGCGAAGTCTGGTCATGTCTAGACACAGCACTTGGGGAGCCGAAGGGCCTCTCAGGGAGGGAGTCAGCCAGGTGCCCAGCAGGGGAGCACCCTTATTCCCTGAGGACCTGCCTTCCTCTCCTGCCACACCTCAGTGCTGCAACCTCCAAAAGCCAGAGGTGGGAGCCAGTGTCCTCAGAGTGTGCCCCCGATTGCTGATGTCCCAGTCCTGCAGGGTGTGACAGAGAAAGGTTGGAGCGGGGTGAAGCCAGAGTTTCCCAGCAGAGACTCCTAGGACATGAAAAGAGGAAGCTTGGGTGGGGTCAGGTGTGCCCCACAGAGGGACAGCCTGCGCCCCCGTGCACTCACACACAAGCATACACCTATCTGCCATCCTCCACTGCCTGTTGGACACAACCCAGCAGCTCCCGTGCACCGGGCTTTACCTTGCACAGCTCATGGGCACACAGTGGGTTAGAGAGATGGGACCCAGCTCAGCTCTGCCAGAGACCTGTGTTATAGCCTTGGTCAGGTGACGTTTCCTCTCTCAGCCTCACCTTCCCCAACAGTTAAATGGGACCCCCGAATCTTTTCCTTCATAGTGACTGTCACATACAAGTGAAGTTTTGCATGCAGGGTGACCAGCTTGGTCCAAATCCTAACACTGCATCCTCCTCGTCTCCTGGTGTCTGAGCGAAGCCGTGTGGCCCCTGCCCTCCGACCCAGGAGGGCATCCTGGCAGAGGCTGTAAACTTGTGTGGCTGGCTGTTGCAGTTTTGAGGATTAGTCTTGGGACTGAATCTGTATACTGTATCCTCCACCAGTGCTGAAATCAAAAGCAAGATTATCTTCTGGGGTGGGTGTGGGGAGTCATATGGTCTGAACCTCAAGGCATCCTCTCAATCACAGGAACATGTGCTTTGTGTTTTTATTAAATTTCCTTAGGAAAAGCAATGATTTGAATTTGTGGAGGGGGGAGAACAGGTCTCCCCAGCTCCAGGCTGGAGGATTCGCCTTTCCCTTTGAAGTAGGGATGGAGCTGTCCCGGCCCCTGGAGGTGTCTGCAGCTGATGTTTTTCCAGCTGTCTGGCTCCCCAGAGTGCAGTGTGGGCTCCGGAGTGCGTTTGGGGAGGGACCAATGCCTCTGAGCTGCCAGAGCTCACCTGTGCAGGCCGCACCCTGCTGCTCGCTACTGCGTGACCTTCTGTGACTCTCTATGACCTTCTGTGACTTTCTGTGACTGTGCCTCCTTCCCTTTCACAGCCTTGATATATTTGTAAAATAGGGATCCTGATTCCATAGGCTGGCTTTTGAAGGGCAGCTCACAAAGATTTGAGCCAGGAAGTACCAGTGGGGAAACTGAGGCCTATGGGGGGAAAGGATGTTCTTAAAACTTTAGGCCAACTAGTGGCTGGTCTGGGCTTAGATCTACCCAGCTGCCTGACTCTATTTAGGTCCTTCTCATGTCTTGGAGAGCAGGTCCCAGATTTGGGGGGGTTGGCATCTATCCCTGTTCTTTCTAGACTTGACTAGGAAAGAGAGGGCTGCCTGGCTGTTGCTCCCCCCGTGGCCTGTCCCTGCCCAGTGCAGTGTTTGTTGATGGCAGGGGGTGGCCGCAGGACCCCACTGTCTCCCAGATCCAAGCAATGAGACTGCTCAGATACTGTCCTTGTGTCCTCCCTGGGGTCTGGATCAAAGCCACCTGCAGCTACAAGCACTAACCTCTTTCCTGTCCACAGGGCTTCCCCGGAGACTTTGGGGAAAGAGGTCCGCCAGGACTTGATGGAAACCCTGTAAGTACTTCATGTGTTTAGGAATAGGAGACTCCAAGTGAGCCCAAAACACAATTTGGGGGTCAGAGAGACCTGGGTTAAATCCTGATCTGTGGCCTCCTAGCAGGATGCCCTCTACATTACTTGCCTTCTCTGAACACCAGGTGCTATGACACCCTACCCCACCTTGGTCCCAGGAGAGTCCTCAGCTGTACCTCGCCCCTGGGGATTGGGAAGGTTCATGGGTGACTGCCTGCTGTAGAGGCTCCGGCTGCACCGTTACAAAGTGTCAGCAATATTTATGGGCCACAGTGGCCTGGGAAAACAGACGGTCTGCAGGCTCTGTGCAGGCAAGAGCCGAACTCCAAAGGAATCTCCACGGCAGGCATGTTTATAGAGTCTGTAAGTAATCCCAGGCCCAGGCTCTGTGCTGCCGAGAAGCCAGGTCAGCTTGCCCTGGGGAGCTGAGTTTGTGTTCCCTTCCTGCCCAGGCTCCAGGCCCTGGGGAAGAAAACAGTCATCCTTGGGCTGGGGGGTACAGAACCCACCCAGAGCTCTCTGGGACACTTGCCATGGTCCTCTGTCACTTTCTGGGGCTTCCTGCCTGAGCAGCTTGTATCCAGCTGTGTCCTCTGCAGAGGTGGATGCTGCATCTGCAGTCAGCATCCAATTATGTGTTAATTGAATTCTGCAAATTTTCTCCAACCCTGACCCAGCCAGGGTCTCTGGTGTCCAAACCCTGATGTCAGAGCTGGACACACCTGGGCTTGAATCCTGTTCAACCACCTGTCAGGCCCACATCTGAGCCTCTGTTTCCTTCTCTGCAGATCAGGGACCTGGAATGCCTGCCCCGGGGGCCCATTGAGGGCATAGGCTGAGGGTAGCAAAGATGTTACAGTGGATGCAGGTGTAGAAAACACCAGGTGTCAATGAGGGAGGTAGCATGGCCACCTTCCCAGTCCATGCACAAGACCCAGTGTGCTGGGTAGTGTGAAAGGAGCGGGGAGGAGCAGGGAAGACCCCCCCAGGGGACGATGCATTGGATTTGGGATGAAGAAAGAGAAGGGATGGCCAGGGCAGAGGAAAGGGCATCAGTGAAGCTGTGGTGAGGGGATTAGGGCGTTCCCCTCAAGCAGCGCTTACCAGGTCTGCCATTGCATTGTGTTTGGACAAGCCCATTCTGGAAGTTTTACTGGGCAGGGGCAGAGCAGAACAGGTGCCTGATGTCTGACCCCAGCTACCGAGAGACCTTGATTCCCTAGAGCCTTAGATTCCCAGTTTTGAAGCCAGGGCTGCTTGTTACGCTTGTCTTCCCGTTGGTGTCTCTCATGACACCCACGCATCTGAGCACCCCCAGATTGCATGAGCTGAAGCATCGGGGGATGCTGGCATTTCTCATGGCTCACTATACTTTCCAGAATCCTGTTTTTATTCACAACCTAACACTGAACTGGACTCAAACCCTTCCACTTTACTTTTCTGGTATAACAGAAGACTCATTTGCAGAGCTGCAGTGACTGAGGGTTAGAGGGCAGGTCACACACACTGTTCACTCCCTGACTCCCAGACAAGAACTCTTCCAGTATCTTAGGCCGTGGAGAGAGGAAACCAACCTGGCTGGCAGCCAAACAGGGCTTTGTTACATCACTGAGCCTCTGGAGGCCCAGTTTTCTTATCTGTCAAAGGCAGCACCCCATGCATCTTACTAGCCTATTGCAGTTCTGCCCGCATTTTATACCTACTGAAAGATACTAGATGTGGGCCTCCAGCTGCCCCATTGTACAGATGTGGACCGCTGATGGCAGAGGGGGAGGAGTCTTGTTCAGAGACCAGGCCAGGTGTGGGACAGCGTTGATCAGGAAAAGGAATGTTCTGCAAAAGGTTCCGACGGCGCCCTGAGAAGATAGCATGGAGGGAGCCCGGGAGGGAGAATGGTCAGTAACTGCCTGGCTTTCTGTGTTTGCAGGGAGATCTGGGCCTGCCAGGGCCCCCAGGAGTTCCCGGCCTCCTTGTAAGTACACAGGTGCCCCGAGTGGTGGTTGGGTGGGGAGGGAGAGAGGAGCTGGAGGCAGGCAATGGGCCTTGCTGGGGTGGGGGGTGTTGGAAGGGCTCCCTGGTCATCAAACCTCAGGAGGAGATGAGGAGCAGGACAGGACAGCCTGGGCAGGAGACTGAGGGAGGAAAGCCCTGCTGTGTGCCTTCAGGCGGGTCACCTGCTTGCTCTCTGATCCCGCTTGCTCGTTATTTAAATGAGGCTGGGTGGCAATGTGTTTTTGCATGTGTTGCCCGTCCGTCCTTTGCAAAGACGCCTGGATGGTGATGGCTGCCGTGTGGGGCTTCAGGGCCAGAAGGAGGAAGTGGGCAGCAGAGGGCTGAGACTGCACCATGCAGATCAGTCTTCTCCCTTTCGCTTGAAGTATGGCTTTGAAGCCAGACTGTCTGAGTTCAAGTCACAGCTCTCCCACATTCAGGCTGTGGGCGTGGGCCGAGTCGCTTACCTCCCTGAGCCTCAGCCCCTCATCTTTAGAGTGGAGATGAGAGCAGGCTCCTCCTGGATTCTAAGTTGTGCGGTTAATCAAGGCTTAACTTGCTCACACAGTGCTTATTTAGCACATGAGCTAATTTTTACCACATCAGTGGTAAAAATTAGTGGATAACTGGACTTGAGTAGTGGAAAATACCATGGTATTAGTTATTACCCCTGAAAAGCCTGGACTGAGGGCTCTGTTCCTGGGAAGGCCAGAGGTGATCAAACCTCTGACTGCATCTGGGCTGGGAGCCTGAGGGGTAGTTTGGTTAGGCAACACTGAGGCTTGTGGTGGGAGTTTTGACTTTGGTGAGTTTTGACTTTGGGCTGGGCCCCATGGGCCTGAAAGTTGCTAGAGCTTGGCAGTGATTGGAGTAACCACCTGTCACTGCTCCACTGGGGGACACAGAGCCTGGTGAGATAGGGCACAAATTAAGGTCGACCTGTGTCCACTTTCTGACTGACTCTGTGAGCCTCAGCAATGACCTCTCTCCTCTGAACCTCAGGGACCCCTCAAGTACCTACTCCTATTAGGAGCACAGAAACACACAGTCCAGTCTAGTGGCTAAAAGAACAGTCCCAGGACCTAGACCACCTGGGATTACCTGTACTCACTTAATTGCAACTTTGAGCAAATTCTTTAAACTTTCCTATGCCTCAATTTCTTCATCTGTAAAATGGGATAAGGTTCATGCTTAACTCAGAGGATTGTTGTAAAAATTTTAATCAACTAAGTGCTTAGGACATAGTAACAACCATTGTTACAGGTGTGTATGTGCACACGTGGTAGTTTTATGCCAGGTAGCAACTCTCTGGATTGTTGCACTAAATAACTAGGAAAGATTTCAAAATCACATTGGAATTCAGTGGGAGATGGTGCATCAGTTGATTAGCAATGTCTGCCTTGGCTGGAGATGGGGAAGTGTTAATATGTGAGTCACACACTGGTTGATCCTGATGTCCATTCAGCAGGACTTTGCTGAGCATCTTTTCTGGTACATGGTGCTGATCTAGAAAAGCAATGTCTGCCATGTGCCTTTCCAGTTAGAGACCTCTCTGGAAGTCTTTTAGTCCACTTTTCTCTAGGCCCAGCAGGAATCCTTTCTGGGGCAGCCTGGTCATATGGTCATTAAATTCCAACTTGAACGCCTCTGGTGTTAGAAATCCGTCCCTCTCTGGGAACTGGTCCATCCTAACAGAGCCCTCATTGTTCAGTGTTCCTGTCCTTGAGCCCAAGTCGTCTTCGCTGTCCCTGGGAGAGGCTGATCCAGGGGTAAGATGCTCCCCGTCTGTTCTTCCCAAGGTTCCTTCTCTAGGCTAAACAATCCTGATCCCCAACCCTTTCCTGAAGGGATGTTTACATCCCCTGGCTGTCATCCTTGGCACAAGTTTCTATTTGTCATTGTCCCTGTGCTTACTAGGTTGGCATCTGTTTTAGTTGAATAAATTTAGATTTTGGAGACATATATGATGCCCTGGTCCTTGGCCCTCTTGATTCTTGAGAAATCTCGTGCCCGTCTCTGGTCTCCATGCTCAGGGTCGCCAGATAAAATAAAAGACATTCATTTACATTTGAATACCAGATGAAATACTTAGCACTCACTTATACTAAAATATCATTCTTTGTTTATCAACTACTAAAATATACCTGGGCATCTTGTCCTTTCATGACCTAATGCTTGACAGGCAGGCACTTTTGCTGCTGAGCTAAATCCTCGGCCTTCATCTTGTCCTTTCATAAGGACAAGATGCTTATGTCTCAGGAGAATCCCACGTGGCAGATGGGAAGACTGAGACTATTGGCTAAGGTCAGACTATTGGCTAAGGATGTAGGCACAGTCTGAGACCACGAGTCCCAACTGCTAGGCCAGAGCACGCCTCCTACTGTTCCCCCGCTCATAGCCCACACTCGGGGCAGTCTGGGCATTCCTACATTTCTCCGACTCCGAGACCCTCTGTGCAGGGCTCCTTCCAAGGAGCTGATCTTCCCACCTTGTAGCTGCTTCTTCCCCCGGCCATGTCTTCCCCCAAACTCTCTTTCCTGTTTTTAGATTCTTTTTGCTGCTCAAGTGAACTTCCATTTGTCCTTGCTCCTGAAGTCTCAGGGCTGGCCCTGAGCCCATCAAATTACCACTCTGCCCCATGCCAGTGCCCCCTCTCATTTTGCAGTTTGGGAAACAGCAGCTTTTGTGCCTGGGGAAAAATTTCCCCAAAGAGTTAGAAAGGAAAGGAATTTTCTATGCAACAGTTGCAGAGGAAGAGGCACCATGAGTCACCCATGGTTTTCCAAAGGATGTGGGTTTTTAGCTGAGCAGTGGGAATTCCATGTATTGATCATCATTTTAGTGGTGGTGTGCGTTTATTCAGTGCCTTCTGTCTAGTCAGCTGGAGCGATTTGCATACAGACTGAGGCCAAGACTTCCTGTCCCTCAGGTCATTACAGTAGCGAGGAAGGGCGAGAGAGGACAAGCTAACATTTACGGAGTGTCTGTCTGCTCTGCGTGTGCTGTGCACACCCTCGGCTCTGGAAGCCTCGGGATGCCCTGGGTCAGCGGCTAGGGAGTGGAAGTGCCGGCTCATAACTCAGGTCTGGATGTCCCCCATCCCAATAAGCTACTAGTGGCTCCCTGCAGGCTCAGAGGTGAGTGCCCAGAAGTAGCCCCTTTGAGTAATGGAAACCTTTTGGCATAAGAAAGCTGTGCTGATTCCAGAATCTGCTCAACAAAGACAATGTCTGTCTTTCTTATTCAGAGTGATACAGAGGGAATTTTGGCTCCCTCATCTAATAAGACCCAAAGAACATGTCATGTAGCCAAAACCCCAGCATGTGAGGTGCAGTGGACCAGTTCACTATATTCTGCCACCAAATGACCACCCATCTGGCTGTTTGTCTATCTATACAGCAGGGTCCGAGTGACCTGCTTGCTGCCATTCGCCAAGCCCTTGTGTGCTGACTGTCCTTGGTGTGGAATTGTCACCACTGCCCTGGAAGGTAGGGGACAGGAGCACCATTTTGCAGGGATATAAACTGAGGCTCAGTGAGGGAAGGCACCCACCCAGCGTCTCACAACCCCAGCCTATCTCTGGGGCTCAGTATCTTGCTTGCTGCCCCATATCACAAGCTCTGTGAGACATGTGTGCTGGGCAGAGCCAGCAGAAGTGGGGGCTTGGGCTGGGTGGTGCTGGGCAGCTCCAGCGTGAGAGAAGGCACTTAGGGAGATCATGTAGAGCTAAGATGCACCAGGGTCTCTGGATCCTGGTCCCTAACTACCAGCACCCTAGGATACCCTCTCCGTGTTCCTGGAAAGAGATGTGGCCTTCAAAGGCAGGTCCCCAGAGGGGCTGCAAATGAGCCACTTTCCTTGCTTGCATGCTGTTTGTTAAGCCACTTTTATCAGGCACCTGCTTATGGCCATGCCCCTTGATAAGGTTGCCAGATTGGGCGCCGGCCCTCAGTCTGATGGCAGGCCAGGTGGTGGCCTCGTGGGTACACACATGAATGAGGTAGTGGGGACAGCTATGAGGAAAAGAGATGGGCTCCAGACCCAACAGTAGGGCTGCAGCAAGGGGGAATCTGGGGAACCAGGAAGTGATGTCAGCCCTTGGAGCAGAGAGCTAGATGGGCAGTGACTGTGGGAGGGGCATAGTGCACAGGCCCAGCAGGAGGCAGAGCCAGGGGTCAGCGTGCATGAATAACTGAGTACCCGTCAGTGGCCGAGGATGCCACTGCTGAAGAGAAATGAGGCAGGAAGCTGGGACAGGTGTGACGGAGGGAGGGTATCCTGCCTCTGCCCCCATTAAGTTCAAATTAAGTTCATTACTTAATTTGAACAGGTGACTCGTCTTTCTCTAAGCTTTGGTTTCCTCATCTGTAAAGTGAAGCGCGTCTGATGGTGCTGCTGGCTATGTGGAGTTACTGAGTGACCGAATGTCCAAGCCACCAGCAGTGCCTAGAGGACCACTTGCTGTTGTTGAGCACAGCATGTGGCTGCTGTGAGGAGGTGGCCCACTGTCCGGGCCTCTGAGTAGCTCAGATGTGCTTGGTGATGGTCTTGGTGGGTGTCACGGGCTGAAGGGCCAAGTGCTGTCTGGGGCCAGGAGGGTTCCCAGTCCCTGCTCATTGTCATGGGGAAGTGACACTCCAGGAGGCGCCAGCCCAGTTATTCAGAGTGCATCTCAGCAACCTGGGGTTCCTATGTTCCAGCCCCTGCCCTGTGTGTGTGTGTGTGTTGCTGGGAATTGAACCCAGGGCCTTCATACTGAGCTGCATCTCCAGCCCTTTTTATTTTTTGATACAAGGGCTTGCTAAGTTACCCAGGCTGGTCTTGAACTTGTGATCCTCTTGCCACAGGCTCCCAGAGTGCTGGGATTACAGACATGTACTACCACCCCTGCTCCTCCCCCTGCTTTTATAGGGGTCCCACTGACACGGAGACAAGGTGCTGTGTGACCTGCCATGGGCTCCCTGGGTACCCTACAGCCAGGTCCCTTAGCTATGGATTTCTTGCCCTTTTTGCATTGATTCTCACACAGGGCCCTGTCCCCACCACACACAGGCCCCTTGAGGCGGTAGGGGCCCCTGCCAGCCATCGTCCTTCAGCCTCTACTGACTGACACCAGGCCCTCCAGGAAACTGTCTTCAGGCCTGGAGCGCAGAAGGAGGCTGTGTTCCTGGGGTCCATCCCCAGCCCAGGCTGCACCCCCTCCGGCAGAGCCCGTTGTGAAGCTCTGAGCAGCCAACTTCATCCTGGGAAGCTGTGGGGAGCCACAGCCCAAGGGGACGTCCTCCTCCTCATACTCCCTGAGCCAGCAACTCACCCCCTCCACCCCTTTCCTCCTCCTTGCAGGAGGCAACTTCAGAGCTGCCTAGAAACCCTGGAGATAAGGCTGTGTGACTCCTAGCTCTGCCCTGGCTCCGGGACTCTACTGCGGCTGTAACTCCCAAGCCGTCCGTCTCTTCTCCTATGAGATGGCAAAGCAGAGTCCATAGCTAAGGGATGTTGCTAGGAGTGCCTGGGCTGAGGCTTGGGAAGGGCTTGGCTGCTTATTCCTGGTACCTGGGTTACTGTTCTGAGTGAGACCTTTACTGGGTAGTGACTGAAAGCAGAATTTACTAGCAAAGGCTCAGCTCAGAACCCAATCAAGTGGGAATCCTGGAGCCCAGGGAGGGTGAATGTTGGCCAAGGTCACACGGCCAGTCCTGCAGGCCAGTGGCCATCTCCAGTGTTCAGGGCTAGGAGGAGATGTCTGTGTGCCCTGCACCTGCCTTCTCTGACCCTGGGGGTGTTTATGGCTCAGGCCCTTCCTTCTGGGGTCACTGGGAGAGATGACTCTGCCTTCTGTCTGGCCTCTCTGCAAGGGTTCCCACCTACTCCCACGGGAACTTGAGTCTGTCCGCAAGCTGGCCACCTGGGGAGCCTCTGGGCCCCAGTGCTTCAGAGCAGCATCCTAATCTCAGAGCCCTTGCCAAAAGAGCCTGAACTGGAGTGGCAGGACACTGAGGTATAGGGGGATCCCGCCATGTCCCTTTGGTTGGGGTCATACAGTGGCCAAATGCTCAGATCAGTTCCAGAGGGTGTGTGGGTGTCCAGGCTTTTCCTGTCTCTGGGCATTGGTTTAGCGTTATGACCATGGCTGTGAGTGGCTGTGATGGGGGAGGACAGAGCAAGATTTGAGGGAGAAAGGTGAGCTTGTTAAAAGATTTAGCCACACTTTTTCGAACCAGATTTTGAGGCTATTTTGTGTGCTTGGTTGCTTGGTGTTTTGGTTTTGATTTTGGTGTCAGACATCAAACCCAGGGCCTTTGCACTGAACCACATTCCTGGCCCCTTTTATTTAGTTTGGGACAGGGTCTTGCTGAGCTTGCTGGGCTGCCCTCAAACTTGAAATACTTCTGCCTCACCCTCCCAGAATGCTGGGATTACAAGGCATGTGTCACTATGGCCAGCTGAGAGTGTTTCTTGACCTTAGCACTTTTCACCCACTAGGCAGGAGGATTCTTTGTTGTGCAGTGTCCTGTGCCTGTGGGATTTATGCAGCCTCCCTAACCTCCTCCCCACAATACCAGTAGCAGTCCTTCAGTTGTGACAACCAAAAATGGCCTCGGGCACTGACAAGTAGTCCCACCTGCTAAATCAGTAATTTCTCAAAGCAGCCCCAAGAGGTGCATAGCACTGCTACTCCCACTTGTTATTGAAACTGAAGCCCAGAAAGCTGGGGACCTCAACCAGGCCATGGCCCAAGACAAAGCAGCCAACCTCAGCCTCCCACTTGGGCCGTGACCAGCACTGAGGATCCCAGGATGAGCAGCTGTTCTCTTTACTTGCTGTCCTGCCGAGGAGATGACTGGGAGCAGGAAAGGCGCTGCCACCTACCTAGAGGAAGCGGGACTTCCCCTTATGCTTTCTGTAGCTCTCACAGCACTGTAGGGCTTGGAGGTCATCATCCCCATTTTATAGAGGGGAAGACTGAGATGAAAAGTCTTGAGTTCCCCTAGCTGAAAGGGGACAGAAGTAACTAATATGTAGCACTGATAGGGAAAGGACCAGCCCAGACTTGGGCCTGGGGCAGAATCCATGTGCGATGGATTCCAGCATTTAGCCTGTTCCAAGATCAACCCAAAGGAGTTGCATCCTTGAGAGCCCAGCCCTGACACAGGCCAGCTTCCTGGGGCCACTCTCATGAGCTTCTCTTCTCTTTCTTTTCCCAGGGCGACATGGGAGCTTTGGGTCCCCTTGGCTACCCAGGACCCAAGGGCATGAAGGTAAAGACGGGCTTCCCCCAAGTTGGAGCCTTCTGGTACCCATAAGGCAGGGCACCCCTCAGTGATATGAGTGAGGGAGGCCAAGGGTCTCTCTGGGATGCTGCAGAGAAACTAGGCTGTTAGGCGCTCAGTTCTTCCCTGTCCTGAGAGCTTGTCATCACCTGATTGCCATTGAGAATGGATGTCATTGTGAGCCAGCAGTCTTTGAGCTGAGTATGATTCCAAGGTGATTCTGGACTGGGGAACCTGAATGTCATTGCCAGGGCCATCAGAACCATCATGATGGACAATGAACCCAGTCCAGCTGAGAGAGAGGGCATGTGGAAGACAGGCTAGCACTGCCTGGCCAGACCCGGGGGTGGTGCAGCCTGGCCCCTTCCCTCCTGGCATCAGTGCCTTCCTCGTATGCTGTGGTTCCAGATTCACCCCTCACCTTGCTCTCCCTCGACTTCCTACCTAAGAAGGTCTTGGGGGTGGGGACCGAGCTCCACGTCAGCCAGGCGCCTGACTCCTGGCCCTTGTCTTGCAGGGACTGATGGGCGGCGTGGGGGAGCCTGGACTGAAAGGTGATAAGGTGATCGGAATACTCCCTCATTGCACCGGGGTTTGTCTGCATGCCGCCCCTCTCCGCCTGGAGGCTGCCGCTGACCACTGGCCAGGTCCACCTCCCTGTGTGCTCCCTGCGCCTCTCCCCACCCCACCCCGCCCCTGAATCTGTGCTCCTGCTTCTCCTGGTCCCTCTGGGCAGGGCTCAGTGCATGGTCCCAGGACCTGCAGATCTTGGCAGACAGGGCGCAAGAGGCTGTTGAGGATAAATCAAGGCAGGCCTCCGAATCTGCAGAGTGGGCTTGGAGAGCATAGCCCTTGAGCAAGGGCTGGGTGGTGGCATGGGACAGAAACACGGCACATAGCATGATCCCCAGGCTAGTCTCTGAGCCCTGACCTGCTTCTGCAGCTTCCAGCTATAGGGGGTAGGGAGCACCCCCTAAGTTCTCACTGTATCACACTGTGTCAAGCCAGAGTAGGAGGAAGGAGGTGGGTCCTGGGGGCCAGAGAGGGTCAGCACCTGGCCTGGGTCAGAAGCGTCAAAACTATAGACACTGAGGGAAGTAGCACCCCTTGTGGGCAACTTTCTGCCCCACTCTCAGACTATGGGGAAACCAGGAAGCCCAAAGGGGGTGTGCGTGAGCTGGAGCAGCATTCTGAGTATCCCCACAGGCCTTAGAGCCTGCCTTTAGAGGGCTATGTGGTCTACCCCCTGGAGCAGGTGCCCTGTGCCCTGTGCCAGTGCCGTGCCCTGTGGGTCAGCCCATGCATCCCGCAACCCCATGCACTGAGGGGCTGGCCCAAGACCACACTGCTCTAGAGGATCAGGATTCTACCCTAGGCCCCTGGCTCTGGGGACTTCCACCACCCAGCCAATGGTGGTCAGAAGGTCCAAGCAGATGAGATTGGAAGGTCACTTCCCGTGCCTGTGCTTCGCAGCTGGGGAAACTGAGACCCAAAGAGAACAGAGGGAGAATTTGTCAAAGCAAGTCTGTGCTTTATCAGGGGAGCCAACCCTCGTCTCAGACTCTTAGAAAGTTAGAATTGCTGGATAAACACGGACACCTGGCATGTTTGGTGCAGGCCAGCTCCAGGTAGCCAGTGGTGCGGTGCTCGCCCGGGCCTTCCTCTACCTGCTGCCTGCCATCTCTTCCCGTGATGCCTCCCTGCTCCAGCTCCCCTCAGCTCTGCTCTGCTGCCTGCGCAGCACCTCCAGAGGAAGGGGCTTCTTTTAGCCAAAGGAGTCCCATGCCTGCATGTTTATCCTGAGGCTCAAGCCTTGGGTGCTGTGGAAAAGCTGAAGTTGTGGTCAAGGGGGAGACGAGAGCATAGGCAGCAGTAAACTTGTCACAGTGCCCGGTCAGAGCTGGCCTCCTGCAACCAGGGCCCCAGAACGTGGAAATACTGGTGTCTACAGAATCGGTTGCTAATGGGGCTTCTTGGGACACTTAAAAAGATTAAGCGCTGGAAAAAGGGGATCGGAATTATTTTCATTCACACAGTTTTCAAGAAAGTCAAGTAAGTGAGGATGGCAGGAGAGATGTTGAAATTTCTTTTCTGTCCCAGTGGTGGGAAGGGTCTTAGTCCTGTGCTCTGATGGGCCGCCCACACATACCTGCCCCGCAGGCCTCCCTGGGAGACAAAGCCAGCCTTTCATCCTGGATGCCTGCCCAGAATCCCAGATTTTCCATGACCCTCCCTGGCCTCGGCCCCACTTACAACCGCTTGGCTCGCGCTCTCCGTGTGGAAGCGCCTTTTGGAACCAGGCTCCCGCTCGGCCCAGCTCTTTCCGAGTTTATTATCCTGTGTTCCTAGGTGCCTTTTAAACTTTCCTTTCCTCTTATTTTATAAAAAAAAATTTTTTTTGGACTCTCTCTCCTTTACTTTGGACATTAAAAAATAGATGTCCCTTGGATCCCAAAACTCTTAGGATGTACTGGATTTTCCAAATTGGAAAAACCGAAGTAAGTTTTTAAAAAAAGACACTTTCTTTTTTTTCAATTCTGGCTTTTGTTCTGCTAAGGAAGTTCTTCTGCTGGATCAGAGCCATAGCTGTACAACATGGGTTTTCCAAGATTCCGCATCTTTCCTCCTGGCCCCAGGGCTGGATGCCCAGCATGGAGAGGGGCTTTGGGCAGGCTCTCAGCAGAAGGACCTCTCTGTGCAGCCTGTGACAGCTCATTTACTGGGCAGGGAGGGAGTAGAGGAAACCTCTATGGTCAAAGTGTGTCCCCAAGCCTGGGTAATACATCATCTTAGGAAAGAAACAACCAGGGGGCTGGGAATTTAGCTCAGCGGCATAAGCGCCTGCCTTGTAAAGCAGGCAGTTGTGAGTTCGATCCCCAGTACTGATAAAAAGGAAAAAGACACAAAACAAAACAAAACAAAACAAAACAAAACAAACAGGAAAGAAACACCCAGATCTAACTCAGGACGGGGCTTCTCATGGTTTACACACAGTTTAGCAGTTCAGATTAAAAGCAGCCGGTTTGCTGGCCAAAAGGAAGCAGCACAGTCCATAGCCCAGTGATGAGAGAACCACAGGGCAGGGCAGTCACACAGGCTGCCCTGGCCGCCCGGGCAGTGAGTGGCAGGGAGAAAGCAAGCGCTCCAGGAACCGTTTGCCTCATGTCCTCTGTGTGTGTCTCCTCCCAGCAGCAGCTGCAGGCAGGCCAAGGGGGCTGCAGCTAGGGCAGCCAGTCCCCAGACAGAGCCCACCAGGTGGCCCGTCCTTGCCCCGTGCCAGGATGCTACTGGCCAGATCCCACCTGGGAACAGTCTGCGTGAGGCTGTGCCTCGCTGTGGGCTTGGCGGTCGGGAGGCCTCTGGCTCTGCTGCCTCCCTCACAGTCTTCTCTGTGCTGTGTACTCAGGGTGAGCAGGGCGTCCCAGGCGTATCGGGAGAGCCCGGCTTCCAAGGAGATAAGGTAACTCCACCAGATTCTCCCTGTTTCTCGGGCCGGGTTCCTTACTTCCTCTGAGATGGCTCCCTTTCAGACAACACCGTCTTCTCCAGCCTCCTTCCCCCTTCGCCGTCTCTTCCCTGTAGAGTGGCCTCCATTTTACCTCCAGGTCCCCAGCCTCTTCTCTCCCACTCTGTCTTCCTCAGTACTCCCAAATTGCATTTTTGAGGGCACAGCTTTGCCTGGTGAGTACACACATACCTGGCACGCTGCTGCTCCCAGAGGGAGGTCCTGGCTCCCTACCCAGTCAGCACGTCCCTCTGACACACTCTGCCCCTCCCCATGGAGCTGTGCTGTGGCCACACTGTGCCCAGGCCCTTTGCACACATTCCTGACCACCTAGAACACCCTCCTCCCAGCTTCTGCATCACCCTGCTCAGAGGCCAGTTTTCCTACCTCCTTGGAAAGTGGCCATTATCCTCTCAGATGCCCTGGACAGTATATTCGTCCCTCTAGGTGGAACCACCAATATCCCCTGGTTCGGGGGACTTGTGCTCAGCCCCCTGCCATGGTGAGTTCCCTGAGGCCAGGGCTCTGGATGGCTTGACTGTGAGCTCTGCTCAGCATCCAGCACTTTTCTGTGAATACTGGGACAGGAAGGAGGAAGGGAGGGAAGTAGGGAGGGGAACTGGTCTTATTGATAGATGACCCAGAGTGGCCTTGACTTCCAGAGGCCGTATGTGGCCTGCTGAGCCTGTCTCTTCTTTGCCTGTGTCCTGCACCATGTGGCCACATCTGGACTTCTCACAGCAGTGGGCCTACCGGGCCCAGATGTTGGCCTCCTCCTCCCACCTGGCTGGGCTGGCCTGTCCTGGCCTTTGTGTCTCTGGACTGAGACTCCACAGGCCTTCTGCTTCTGTGGGGCCCAGGCCTAAGCAAGGGGCAAGGCCTGCTTGTCCCAGAGTCCCAGTTCACTTTGACACCCCAGGCCCAGCCTCCGGGGTGTGAGCAGGTGTGGTCAATCCTGCGCCTGGGGTGGAGAGGGTCAAGGACCTGGTCCTCCTCAGAGGCAGGCCATCTCTGGGCTCAGGCCACACAGCACTTCACTCACCTTTCTGCCCCTCGCTGACCCTGCCTGCTCTGTGTCTTTTCCAGGGGAGCCAGGGGTTGCCAGGTGTCCCAGGTGCTCGGGGGAAGCCAGGGCCCACTGTGAGTATTTTCTCCAGAAACCAGCCCACGGCTCTCAAGCGGGTCACAGGAGGTGGCTGGGGAGGCCCTTGTGGGGAGGCCCTGGACCGAGGGCACTGTCTCCTCCAGGCCTGTGGCCTGCAGAGCAGTGCAGGAGGGTAGCAGGAATTTATCCATTGTTTGGATGAGAGGACACTGAGACACAGGGGACAGAAATCAGCCCACAGTGTAAACAAGCCTGTTCCTGCTGGACTCTGATGGGAAATGGGTTCCTTGCCTATAAACAAGTCAACTCACTTGTCACCACAGGGCATGTCATTTATGGAGTTACTGTGTAGCAGACTCAGCTGCCCACAAGCCCAGGAAGGAGGGAGTTTCTACTGCTCCCATTTTATAGGCGGGAAAATAGATTTGGGAAGTGTTTTGCCCTGCATCTCTTTGGCATTTGAATCTCAGCTCCTTGTGGCTGTCCAGGCAGAGTTTATCCAGACTCTAGAACTTTCTAATCACTGCGGCAAGGGACAGTGCAGGGTGTGGGTGACAGGTGGAACCTCCCTTCTCTCTGCCTCCCCTCTTCTCTTCTGCAGGGCAGAGTTGGAGACAAAGGCTCTCTGGGGTTTCCGGGGCCCCCTGGACCCGAGGTATGTGACTCCTATCTCTGGATCTGGCTGCATGCAGCTGGGACTGGGCATTGCCTTTGGGAAACAGAGGCTCAAGGCAGGGAGGGACTTGCTTAAAGCCACACAGCCAAGGGGAGGTGAGGCTGAAGTGGACATGCCTAGATCAAGCCCTTCCTTCACATCTGCTCTTCCCATCCTATCCAGGGGCTCTGGAAGTGGTGGGGAGAGAAAGCTGGTCTCCCTGGACTTTGCAGGGAGATGGTGACCTCGATGATGCTGTGGTTTATGCAGAACAACCAGGAAAGGTCCCCTGGGTCCTGCCACACAGGTCCCTCTTGGGAGCTGCCATGGTCTCAACGCAAAGAGGTCCACTAAGATCCTGAACCTGTCCCGATGCCAGTGGCCCCAGAAAGCCTCAGGGACCTACAGTCCTATATGTGGGAAAATGCTCAGAGCCAGGCATGGAGGTGCACATCTGTACTCCTAGCACTCTGGGAGGCAGAGCAGGAAGATCACAAAGTTGAGCTCAAACTCCAGAATTTAGCACAACACCCTGTTTCAAAAACAGGCATGGGGGTTGGGAGAAGCACCGTAGCTTTGTGGGGAAGCCCTAGTTTCAATTCCCAGTACTGGTAAAAAAAAAAAGGGGGGGGCGGGGGACAATGCTCAGGTCTAGGATTTGAGTGGGGAATGAGAAATGATGAGCTCAGCATGGTGCCACATGCCTGTAATCCCAGCACCCAGGAGGCTGAGGCAGGAGGATTGCCATGAATTCAACATCAGCCTGAACTACATAGCGAGACCCTGTCTCAAAAAAAAAAAAAAAAAAAAAAAAAAATTAATAAATAAAAAAGAGAGAGAGAGAGATGAGGAAGGGGGATTGGGTAGGTTTAGCAATCAACACCCTAACTCAGGGAGTTCATAGAAGGCCTGAACTTTGCTGATGCAGGTGATAATTAGCACGGTGGGGGAGACTGGACCCTAATTACCAACTCACATCTACCTGCACACTCCTGGGACCAGGGCTGTCCTCCCTGTTAGGGTCCTGGACACCCAGGCCAACCCTAACTAGGACCCCCAACGTTCCCCCAAACCCTGGCCCGCAGTCTCACTCATCCCCATGGTCCCTGCAGCCAGTATGAGAGCTGAGTCCGGGTTCTCTAGCTCTTCCAAAGCTCACCCCCCCACCCCACGCTGCTCTAGGAGAGGAGGCAATGTTTCTTAAAAGCCGCACGGTCTGAGTTTCCTCCATGTTGACTTTGGCTGTGCTGCCGCCCTATCTTTAGACAAATGGAGCTGGCCTGTCCCCCCAGGGCCTTCATTGCCTGCACCGGTCACTGTGGAAAAAGACTTCTGAGTCCTGGTTCCCAGCCGTCTGGCCAGGGAGGGTGGAAGGCACACTCCCTCCCATTTCCCCGGTCCCTCTTAGCATTTCAGGGACGACCACTTGCTGTAACCCCTTCCCCCTATTATGGGAGGGAGAGACCACTGCCTCAGGTACCAGTGAGTAAACTGAGGCCCAGAGCAGGGAAGTGACCAGCCTGTGCAGTGGGCTCTCCAGCCTCCGGCGACCCACCCAGCTCTGCCTCTCCCTGAATGGCAGCTCCATCACCAGGAGGCGCCCGCCATGACGAGGGGCTCCGAGCTTTGCCTGCACTGGGCCTGTTGGGAGTCTCTGGGCCTTGGAAGGGCTCCAGTCTTCAGTGCTCAGGGGATTTGTTTCCCTCCCTCACCCCTGGCCAGAAGTGAGTCAGCAGCAAGATCTGAGCAGCACCCAGATGTCACATTCTCCCTGAGAGAGGCCACTCCAAGCAGACTTGGTTTCCCCACACACCTCGACTCCCTGGAGATGCAGGTTTTTACTGAGCACTTAACCAGTGCCCAGAGCCAGGCTAGCACATTGCTTGCATCACTCATTTTAAACCTCAGCACAGCCCAGCGAGGGAGGTGCTCTGATCACTACGTTACAGGTGAGGGAGCTGAAACCCAAAGAAGCGGAGGGATTTGCCCCGAAACAGTGGAAGGTGACAAGCAAGCTCATCATCTCACTGCGGGGAGAGACACAGGCTTTGACTCAGGGCTTAGAGTGCCAAACTCAGGTCTTCCCTTGCTTTTGCCAGTAACACAGTTGAGGGGATGCTTGAGCCAGGATTTTACTGGAGGGGCTGAATAATTAAAAGGGAAAGAAAGAAAGAGAGAACTCACTTCTAAAGGCAAAGAGTAGGGAATTTTTGGTTACATTTTTTAAAAAAAGGCTTTGGTTTCTAGTTAGCAGAAAACTAAAGTAGTGAGACTGCCTAAGAGCTAATGATAGGTTAGGCCACATTAACAAAGATATGGCACTTAAAACTAGGAAGGGGATGTTTGCATATTGACTCATGCACAGAGAAGCATGATGGCTGTCTCAACCTGGTGAGGGAATAGAGAGAGAGAGCCCTGTGCCTGCAAGACCCTGAATGCGGACGCTGGCTAGAGGCTGGAGGTGGGGTGTAGGCAGGTGACCCTGCCAGGCCCAGAAACTTTAGGCCAGGGCGTGTTGGCAATTTTGGCTTCTGGTCCCTGTCTGTGTCGTGACAAACCAAAAGTCACATTGCATGGGAAACTCAAGACAGGTTTCTCCAACAGGGCTACTGCACCCTGTTGTGTATTTTCTCAGCCAGTCTGCGAGATGCCACGCTGGGCTGTGATCCCTGTTTGGAGATGGAGTGGTGGCCTCCCCCTAGCCCCGGCCTGGGTGGTAGGACAGCATGATACAAACAAATGACATAGGTTTTTCTTTTGTCTGTGGTGACCCTGCTTTCTGCTTCCCATAGGGATTTCCGGGAGACATTGGCCCCCCTGGAGACAATGGCCCAGAGGGCACGAAGGTGAGTCCGTGCTCAGTCAGCTATGTGGAAACCATGGATGCTGGCTGGGAGGGCAGGGTCCTGCTGGCCTGCATGGGAGATGGAGGGGCCACCTCTGAGACTCCTTTTTTTCCCTTCTCTCAGGGTAAGCCTGGAGCTCGAGGTCTACCGGGACCCCGTGGGCAGCTGGGACCTGAGGTGAGACCATCGGGCCCTTCCCCTCCTGTCCTCCCCCTGTCTACCCTGGCCTGTCTGCAGCATTCCCTCAACGGGACACAGCAAGGGGGACCTCAGACTCTCAGGCAGTTCATCCTTTTTAAAATTTTATTTTATTTTAATTTTTTTTAAGCCAGTCAAATTTAGCAGTAGGGGGGTGGTATACCAACTTTAGTGACACTAATGTTAATAAGTTCTGATAACCCACTGCCATCGGACCAGCCCAGCAGTTCATCCTTTATAGCCTGGCTCCTGGGAACCTGGCAGGATGAGCCACCCCTCCTTTGCTGTCCCCTCTTCACTGTGCTGGGAATTGTTTTCCTGGAGTGGCTGCCTGGGCTCATTCATGGTGGCTCCACTTATGGGGACATCGACAGGAGAGGATGGGAATTGTCAGCTCCATTTAGACTTGCAGCCAAAGGAGTCTCAGGGAGCTCAAGGCTTCCAGGGCTGTTTACCCGGAAGCAAGAGGAGGAGCTGTGGGAGGCTGCAGCCTTGGAGGGGGCCCCTTGATCAGGTCTGGCCTGCCAGAGGGACTAGCGTGGAGGCTGTGGGCCAGCACCTTCACTCACTCACCAAGCTGCCAGACACTGCCATCCTGAGTGTCAGCTGGGGAGGTGGCACTGCTGTCCTCCAGGGATCCAGTGAAGTCTATCACTGTGCTTTTGGAGGATCTCTGCACTCTGGAGAAACTGAGGCACCGCAGGCCATCGAGCCAGGCGCACCTTCTCTGTGTCCAGGAGGGCTTCTCCACCCACTGGGCACTCCTCTGGATGAGTTCTCCAGATCCCTGCCGATTAAGATACTTCTTTTTCCCTCTCTTGTGTCTCTTGACTCTAGGGAGATGAGGGACCCATGGGGCCACCAGGGGCCCCTGGTGTGGAGGTAAGTGGCACCGCTGAGGTGGGGTTTGTTGGAGCTGAGCCAGCTGAGCCAGCATGACCAGTGTTCCGGAGGGCAGCGGCTGAGAGGGCCTTGGGCCAGGCAGAGAAAGGACCTGACGGACCCCAGAGGAGAGAGACAGGAAGTGCCCAGGGACTGGCCTTGCCTCCTGCTGGGTGCAGGGTGCTGGGGTCACTTTTCCTGGGGATTTTCCCAAGAGCAGCATAGAATCTTCCATAGATGCTTTCCATAGATTCTTCAGAGAGCAGCAGTGGGGCTGGAGGAGCGGAAAGGTCAGCCCTGTGTCTCCTACCTGGGAGGTGGGGATACCCTGGCTGGAATCAGCCTCAGTTCCTGCCATGGCTCTTACAGCTTCTGGAAGGCACCTGTGCTGGCCCCACCTCACCCCAGTGATTGCACAGAGCCTCAGCCACTGTGGGTCTCAGTGGCAGGGTCTCTTCATGCTCTTTAAAAAGTCAGAGGCCCCAAAGAGCTTTGGTTTTTATGGGTTACATGTAGACATTAGTCATTAAAACACTTTAAATATATTTGTGAATTTATTGGAAATTAATAAATGCATATCATATAAACTACATATACTTTTTAAAAACTCAAAACCACATTTTCCAAAGCGAGTTAACTGCAGTGGCAGTCTCTTGTCATTTTGCAAATCTCCCTGATGTCTGCTTCAAAGTCACCTGGAGCCTCAGCTCGGCTTCTGGGTTCAGTGTTGATGATGCCTCAGCCATGCGACGAAGGCACATGGCATCTTAGTGTCAGGATGAGAAGGGTTTTGACCAGCAGACCCTCTTGGGAGGGCCCCACCACACTTTGAGACCCACAGCAGAAGCTCCCCGTTGCTTGATCCTCTGTACTCCAAAGTGTAGGTGTTGCTCTGTTTACACTAGGCGAGCAGCCTGGGAGCCAGGAAGCTTCCTGAGCTGCACAGCTGGAGACTTTCTGAGGTGCTTGCAGCTGGCTGTCTGGTGGCACCAGGGATCTATGTCCTTGTCCTCCCTGGACACTGTGGTCCTCCCTAGCCCACAGGGACCCTTGCCGGGTTCCCAGGTTCCCTGTCCAATCAGTATCTTTCATTCACCTCTCTCTCTGTTGCAGGGTCTGCCTGGAAGGAAGGGATTTCCTGGGAGGCCTGGCCCAGATGGCTCAAAGGTGAGGGCACCTAGGGATACTTGGGGAAGAAAGGGGTCCAACATATGAAAGCCCCAAAGCCCATGGCCAGCTGTGAAAAGGGAAAAAAATCTAGTCCCTATTTGTCACAAAGCACAAAAACAGATGGACATGACCTCCGTGTCCAACAGAGGGGGATTGTTCTAGTGGTGGGGTACCCTGCAGCTGCCCAAGATGATGCTGTGCAGTGTTTTACAGTGTGGGAGGACTGGGTGATGAGGTGGTGAGGTGGTGGAGAATAGGCTATAAATGGGGGTGAGATGAGAGTCTTACCGAGGTGGGCAGCACCCTTCTTCACACACAGCAGAGTCTGGAAGGTCCTCTCTTAGCTGTGGAAAAATAGATTTCCATGTTCTTCTCCTCATAAACAATAAATGTGTACTACATTTGTTAATGGGACTTTAAAAGAAACTGGCCCAGGGTAGAATACTCATGCTTGTCAGCGTATGGGCGGCCTCCCTGAGAGGCTCCCCCTGCCCCTGTTGGAGGGGACAATGCTAGAAGAGTTGGATGGACTTAGTCATTCTAGACAAGTGTTAGGCCAGGTTTATAGATGGGCAAAGCCAAAGGAGGCTGGTGCGGAGTGTGGGGACCCAGTGATCCTACCCCAAGGGAAATAGTCCACAAATCCACCTGGCCCTTCTGGTTCTTGAGAACTTGAGGTCTGGGGGAGAAGCCAAAGGGGATTTGAGGCTCCAACCAGGATGCAGTCCACCATATCCATTTTTGGCCGAAATTCTGACTTGTTGGAGCCTGGGTTCTACCCTCTGAGGTCTCACTGCTGTCTGTCAGATACCAGTTGGGTTCCTGTGATGGGAAGGTGACACAGTCTGGGTGGACTTTTCCCACTGGCCTGCTCGCCTCTCTCCAGCTCATGCTGTGAACACCAGAGCAGCTGTGGCCACCCATGGAGTAGGAGCCACCTGAGTGTGGCCGGAGCTGCCATGTCTGGGAACAGGAAATGGCCAGTGAGACCAGTGAGTCTGGTCACCTGTGGACAGTGGGAACCCAGGCTCCCTAAGTCCCCCCAATTTCCTGCTCTTCCTGAAGTGCACAGCCTGGTGCAGTAGAGTTGGCGATGCAGTCAGGCTGACCAGGTTTCTATCCCAGCCCTCCTAGCTGGCTGTATGGCCTCAGCCAGTCGTCCTACCTCTCTGGTCCTGTTTCCACCTCCTCAAAACGCAGTGCTGCTGAGGGACCTGAATGAGACATGCACCTCAGAGGCTGAGTGCCAGGTTCCTGGTCCGTGGCCTCCATCTCCCGTCCCTATCCATCCTCCTCTTTATTGTTTGCAGGGGGAGCCAGGGGAACCTGGACGGCCAGGGCCCATGGGTGAACAGGTAAGTCAGCCAAGGTGTTGAAACACTGGCTGCTTTTGTGCAGCACTTAGCTGTGTGGAGCACTTTGCTAAGGACCCCACCAGCACTGCTTCGTTTAGTTCTCAGAATGGCACCAGCGCCAGGCTGGGCCTCTCCTTCCTCCCGTCTACGCAGTGACTCTTGGAGAGGGAAGCTCTCTGCATGGGAAAATCTCTGTCACCGCTGACTCTACATACATGGCTCTGCTGCGTTTGCCCAAAGAGGTTCTGTGATGTGGGTCCTCGAGCTGGAGTTAGACCCCATAGGTCAGGCTGCTCCCCCAGAGGAAAGCAGCCACAGCCTGCCGAGAGCGGTTGGCCCAGGATCCCCAAACGGTAAAGATGAAACTCAAGCCAGTGGTGGGCTGGCTGGGAAGCAAGGCCCCTGTTCTGCAGAAGAGAGGTGGCTGCAACTAGTCATTAAGAATGAGGTTTGGGAATCATTCCCTCAATTATCAAAGTCCACAGAAACAGCTGAAGTGCTGAGTGGATGGGCAGCTCACTCCCTCCCCAGCCCCTGCAGCTCCTGCAGGCTTATTCTCTGGGCCCGAGGCGGAAAGTGGCAATCTCGTCACCACTTTAAATAAGCGCCCATAGCTAGTGTGGAGGAGCATGCCTACAATCCCAGCATTCTGGGAAGCTGAAGCAGGAAGATCAAAAATGTAGGATAGCCCAGGCAACTGAGACTTAGTGAGACCCTGACTGAAAATAAAAAAAAAATTTAAAGAGTAGGGAATGTAGTACATAGTAAAGATACTAGTTTTAATTCCCAGTTTCATCAATCAATCAATCAACTAATCAGTCAATAAAGGTGTCCTGCATTAGGACCCCAGGAAGGGGTTTCTGGAAGCCCAAGCCAGGAGAAGAGATGGCACCCTGGACCCAAAACGGTCCGGCTGCACCAGGAAACACCCTGCACACAGGGAGAATCCGCACACCAGGCTTCCTCACTCGCCTGCAACATCTGTTAGGGGGAAGAAAGGAATGAAAGCTGGGGGAGGCCGGATTGTTGAAACTTTTCCAATGTCATTCGAGTGCATTCTGTGGAAAGCCCAGGAGTTGGGAAAGGCTGCGGCAGCCTGGATGTGTTTCCTGATAGGAAAAAAAAGAGGCAATGTGAGCCCCAAATTCAATTTCATAGTTATGCTAATGGAAGGGCCCTAGGGAAATAGATACTCAGAATCCTGGACTATCAGGACACAAAAGGTCTTTAGAAATCACTTTATCTAGGGCCTTAACCTTTTTTTGTGCCATGGATTCCTTTGCCAGACTCCTAAAGCCCAGGGACCCCCCTTCTCCAAATAGTTTTTAAATGCATAAAATAAACACAGGATTCAAAGGAAACCAATTCCATTGAATTATACTGAAAACTACGTCTGAGATATAATGTGCTCATATTGATTGATGTGTTCAATTGTGAGATTTAGCAGGAAGTCCCACAATGACCTCAACTTTGAAGTGGTGACAGGCCTCAGTGATGTATTTTATGATCCCTGCAGCAGTGAGATCTCCGTCTGTCAGAGGTCCATGAGGGGAAAACGGGCTCAGCCAAGATGACTACAGGGACAGTGGCAGAGCCGGGGCCTGTTGGGTAGCAGCCCAGACAGCTTGGTCAACAGAGCCCCCAACTATCTGTCTGGCCCCCCAGACCGTGGCAGCTCAGACCATGGCAGGAAAGAAACAGTGTCAGGCTTTCTGGGCCACGGTGGTCCTCTGCGTGTAGCCCTGGGTCCCCTCCCCACATGGTCGTGGGAAAAGGGCAGGTGTTTCCTGTTCCTGGCAGAACCAGAGGAGTCCCAGGAAAGAGACCTAAGTTCATACCACAGGCCCTCCTTATAATCACAGTGACAGTTACATTTAGTGATCCCCTGTTAGGTTTGGCGCAGTGCCAAACACCAAATGCATGAGTGCCCACAGATGCCCCAGCAGCACTGTGGCCATTGGTGTTGTTATTCCCATTCTGCAAATGAGGACACTGAGGCCCTGAGAGGTTAAGTAGCTTGTCCAAGCTCTTATAGGTAGTAATGTAACTGTCAGAACCCAGATGGGCACTTAGATCTACAGGATTCTCAGGCACTGCCAGTCACAGAGGAACTAGAAACCTCTCCAGCCTGCTAAGCCCCAGCATCTGTGTACCAGTGTGAGAGCTCTGTGCTGGGCCCTGTCCTAGGTGCTGGGCCAAGGCATGAGCCTTCTCTTCAAGAGGCTCAGCCTCCGAGAAGCAGAGCCTGCCGACACCACTGTTGGGCTGTCTGGTTCAGCTGAGACGGTCTCAGGTACCCCCAGCACAGGTGTATGCCATGAGAGGAGACAGGGAGAGGAGGGACGTTCCTCCTCTCCTGACCAGCCCAGCCTCTCCCCAAACATGGGGACTCAGATCCTGCCTATGTGACGCCTGCTTAGGTAAATATCCCCCTTTCTCTCTTGCCATCCCGAAAAGAGCTGGCCGCGCTTCTGGCTTTCAGAGCCGCTTCTCCGCCCCACTGAAAGATAGAAGCTCTAGGCCTCCAAGGCTGGCTTCCCTGGACCAGCTCAGCTCCACCTGCAAGTCAGGCGTGCCAGGATGTTCCAGGACAGCACCAGGGGAGTCTGAGAGTGAGGGTGCAGGAACAGGGCACTTTTGGTATGCCCTGTATTCATTAGGATCCTGTTTGGCTTCTTGTGTGAGGTTTATGACCCACCTGCCTTCCAACAACTCATAAATCGAAAGTAGCTATGAAATTTCTCTTGCCCTGAGCCAGTCAGGCAGGGCCTTTTGACAGAGCAGTTTTATTCCCTCCATTCAGCGGCTTCTAAAGGGCTGCCTGCTCCCTTGTGGGGAGCTTGTGCCACTGACTTAACTCTGCCCTTTTAAACACATGAGAAGGGGTGGGTGAATACGAAGACCAAGTGCCTCTCCAGGCCTTGCAATAGAGGGGATACTCAGAACACTCTCGGAAGGTCAGGAGTGCCTGGTACTGTCCCCCTTCTGCAGTGATTTGCCCGAGGTCTGCAAACCTGAATGCTGGGTGACAGTAACAGAGAAGTGTGAGGTACAGGGCTTGACATATGGTAAACGCTCAACACACAAAGCCGTTGTCTTTGACACCACGGTCACCTTGAATATGTTTCAGTTTGTCTTTTAGAGTAAGTTGCTGCAAAAGTTAAACACGTACTTGGTTGTTCATGGCAACAGCAGCAGTGGCTTTACACACTGTGTCACATCTCTTGTACTTTATGCTTTGTCCAGAGGAAACCAGCTTGAGCTGTCCCATGAGCGGCTGATGGTGCTAGAGATCAGGGAAGTCAGGTCGTCCTTAGGCCCCACCTCTCCAAGTCTTGGGGAAGAGGGGAAGGTGTGTGGGATCTAGAGAGGCCTCCCCAAGCTGTACCAGCAAAATCTATAGGGTCCTTGCTAAAGCGGCCACATCAAACCCTTTGGAGAAGGAGGAGTGGGGCTCAGAGTCAGCCCTTTGGAATCAGGCGTGCCCTCTCACCCTTGCAGCCTGGCAGGTGGCCTGGCTTTCCCGTGAGCACATGAGCTCCAGCCTGTTATCAGCTTGTCTCAGTCTGGCCAGAGTTCAGGGAACAGGAGGTAGATTTTATAGGACAAACCCACTCCTCCCTGTCTTTCCTCATTCCCCTGGAAACTCTTGGCTGTACATCGGGGTTCTTCCAAAGCCACGTTTGCTCTCCTGACCTTCCCAGAGCCCCCTCCGCTTGCATTTTCCTTAGCAGGAAAGAGTTGGCCTGAACCAGAATTGGCTGGCTGTCTTTCTGGAGACTTCTGCAGGTATCCACCTGCCCCGTGCACATGTTTTGCCCGTTTAGGGGACAGCAAGGCCTGTGGCCACCTAGAAAAACTTTCTGGAACCCAGAGAAAAGTTGTCACCCAGTGAAGTAAAGAGGAGCCAGAGAGAGAGGGAGACAGAAAAAGAGAGAGAAAAGAGGGGAGGAGAGAGGAGGGGGGAAGAGAGGAGAGGAGCGTCCTTTCCGTAAGGAGAGAGAAAGTCTTTCAGGAGACAGTAAAGAGGCCCCTGCTTCCCAAATTCCAATCAGGTTTTTGGCCGGGCAGACATGCTGGCTGTTACGGTATTTCTATCCCAGCCAGCACGTTTGCTTCTCTCTTTGAAACAGCCCCAGAGCCCCGAAAGATGGGGGCAGATGGCCTCTTTCCAGTGCAGCTTAAGCGCCTCCCCCTGCTCCCTGCTCTCCAAAGGCAGCCACCTCCCAGCCTGCTGCTGGCGCGGGAAGAATGTGTGGCACTCCCAGGGATGCTGGCAGCAGCCCTGCTGCTTGGCTCCCAAATCAGAACCATCTGGTGGAGTGAGGGAAGTCAGTACGGTGCCCAGAGAGAGGCAGCGTGCCTTGGTGGCAGCCCCAGCCTGCAGGATTACTGGGCACAGGCAGGATGCTGGGACTCAGCTCCAAAGAGGGAAAGTGCCAGCTGTTGCCTTGAAAACTCAGCATGTCACCAAATTCATGTTGCTTCCTCTTGTTTTTGTAAATGTTCCTCTAGGGGCTTATGGGATTCATTGGTCTGGTTGGGGAGCCAGGAATCGTGGGAGAAAAGGTAAGTTGTTGTGGGAAAGATCAACCAGTGGAACACATGATTTGAGATCTGGAAAGTCAGAGGACTGGTGGATCCTGGGGTTTTAGGACCTTTCCCCACCGGCTTTTGTACACCTGTCATTCCACCTTCTCCAAGAGCCTTTCCCAGCATTCCCTGGGCCCTGCCCTGATCACCTGTGAGCACTTGGAGAAACAATTTTAGGACTTTCTCTTGACAACCAGTAGATGTATGTGACCTGGGCTCCTCGTGGCTGCCCACTGACACTGCCCAGGGTGGGCAGCAGGAGAGAGGGAAGATTCATCTTGAGGAAGGACAGAGGGTGAATGTCGCCTTGGTTGCCTTGGGAGCTCTCTGCAGCTCTGCCTTGCTCTTAAGGTGCCTAGGGCCCCTACGAAGGGGGTGACTTGATTAAGGTCATCCAGACAGCAAGTGACACACTTTGCCCACTGAGCCATTTAGCCTGGTGTTGGCTTCCCGGGTCCCACTGTGGTCCCTGAACCACCCCTCCCAGTACCCAGATCAGGTCCTCTGAGATAGCCAGCACAATCCCCACTGGAAAGATGGAGAAACTGAGGCTCACACTCATCTGATCTCACCAAATGCTTGGTTCATCATGAGCTCATGCTTCATTACTGTTTGTATCCTATACTCTCTGCCCTCTGCTCTCCTCTTTCTTGTCTTTATTTTAAATTTAAAATTCACAAAATATTGCAAAAAATGGGACAGAAGGCTCCCATGTGCCCACACCCCTGGTTCCTCCAATGTGAACAGCTTACAGAGCCATCATGTGGTGGCGAACCCAGGTGTCCTTCTCTTGTCGCTCGAGTGTCCTGTGTCCCTTTTCACCTACAAATGGTGGCCTTGCCAGGAACACCTTTCCCACCCTGGTACCCCTGCACACACTTTTGCTTGAATAACTCGAGTGACCATTTAGCCCTTAGTTCAGACAGCTCTCCCTGAGGGATGCTGGTCGTGGTAGCACAATCTATAAGCCCAGCACTTGGGATGATGAGGCAGGAGGACTGCCATGAGTTAGAGGCCAACTCTGGCTACCTAATAAATTCAAGGCTAGCCTGAACTGCATAGTGAGACCTTGTTTCTTTTTTTAAAAAAAAATCTTCCCTGGGCTGGAGATTAGCTCAGTGTCATAAGCACCTGCTTGGCAAGTGCAAGGTCGTGAGTTTGATCCCTGGCACCAAAAAGAAAAAAAAAATCCTCCTTGAGAAAAGTCACCCCCCAACAGCATAACACCTAGAGCCTCACCTCTCTCCTGCTGCAGGCTGCATCTTCTGGAGATTCATGTCATCTCCCTGCCACCCCCGAGTGTCTCACCTCCTGGGAGCCCATCTGTCTGTTTCTACTTCGCACAGGGTCTGAATATTAAGGCATATAGTGTCAGGCACATAGAAGCTTCTCGATACATTTCTGCTAGCTGGGTGGACATAAGAAATGGGACCTCATGGAAAAAGAGACAGGATGTGAACTCACAGGCCCTGTCTTCCAGCCATAGCTGTGACTGCCACCCCACCCTTTCTCCCAGCCTGTCTGGATTGGTCAAGAAGGAGTGATTCGGGTCTGATCCTCTAGCACCTCATCTAGGCGTGGCCAGAGAGAAAAACAGGCTGTGTATGGTTGTTTCCACCTCAGCAAGCCCAGCCCAGGGGATGCCAGCCCTAAGGAAGACTGCATGATGTGGGCCGGGATCAAAGGGGACGATGTGTTAGTGTGCTCTTGATCAGGACCTGCCTGGCCTGAGGGAAACCAGCCTGTGGTCTGCTGCAGGGGCTGCCGAGGCCTCCCAGGGCTTGCCCAGGACTTGGTCTCCATAGGGTGAAATCCTAGGTCCCCATCCAGGTGCAGCTATGAGCCAAGCAATGGCTGTAGACCTTCGTCAAGTCCCCGCTCCTCTTTGGGCCCCTGCATCTGCCTCACAGAGCCACCCATAGCCACCGCATGACTTTTCTGCCTGTGTCTCCATCACAGGGTGACCGTGGCATGATGGGACCCCCAGGTGCTCCGGGACCCAAGGGGTCGATGGTAAGGAGTAAGTCTACATCCTCCTACCCTCTCCTGTCCTCAGCCAAGGTGACAGTCCCACTCTTCCTCCACCTGTCACCAGCCCTAGGGCCTCAGGATGACCAGCTTCTCCTTTCTCCCGGCTTGGGCTGCTTGGCTATGAGGGACTGAGGAGGAAGAGGTTCCTCTGATAGCTCCTCTCCTTTTGCGTGGCAGGGTCATCCAGGAATGCCAGGTGGTGTCGGGATTCCCGGAGAGCCTGGACCCCCGGTGAGCAAAGCCCCTGTGCCCCAGAGTGCAAACTCATTGTCCAATGAGGGAGAGTCAGACCTCAGACCCAGCGTGCAGTCCCTCTCCACCACTGCCCGGCAGAGGCCCTTGAACTTTTTTGAGCTTAAATTTTGCACATCTCAAAAATAGAGGAAATTATCATGGTCGTGCTAATGTAGTGGCATGGGTTAAAAGGACAGTAGCTGAGACATGTTATAGAATGATGTGTTTTGCTCAGTACACAACAGATGTGACCTTGTCCCTTCACTCATTCACTGGGGAGGATCCCAGAGAAGCAGGTGCCAAGCAAGCAGGGATAGCAGGTGGCCCTGCTGTCCCGCAGTCCTTTTGATGAGGTGGGAAGTTCTTGCCATGCGGTTGGGGTCAGAAACTACACCCTGGGCTCCCATGACATGTTTTTTTGTCCTGTGCACAAGGAGGAGAAGTCACACCTGGCCTGGGGCTGGAGGATCTGAGGATGGGGAAATAGGCCTGGAGGGCAGGAAGCAGGGGGCCAGAGGACTTGTGTTCTGGCTGGTGGGGAGGTGTGGTGTCCAGGTACCCAACTTGGAATCTGAGGGCCCAGTTCCGAGGCCCCAGAGCTGCTGTCCACCTCCCTCCCTGTATTGAAGGTGAGGGAAGGAAGCTCGTCCCAGGGAGGTGCCCAGGTCTCCTGAAGCCTTCTCCTGGGTTCGTCTGTCTACTCAGTGGTTTGGCCCAGACTCTGTGAAATCAGACTGTCACTCACTGCGTCCAGATCTCAGAGTTGCCGCTGGCCCTTCTTTACAACAGGTGGGCCTGGTCCTTGAATTCGTGGGGCTCCTGCCCCCAGCCAGCTGCCTATAGTCTACACAGAGGCCCAAAAACCCACTTCAGAATCAGATCTGTGGGAGTCAAGTCCTGGCCCCTACTCTCTCACTGTGGGTGTTGGCAACGTTGGCGGCCGTTGTGGGCCTCGATTTCCTCATCTGTAAGTTGGCATAGGGCCACCTTCCCTGGGGAGCACTGTGGGAAGTAAGTGGTAGAGTTGTGATGCCCAGCTGGCAAACATCCTGCATTTCCCGAGTGCTTAATAAATGGCAGCGAGGCTTGGGTGGGTACAGAACTTTCCACCTCGTTGGCTCACTGGATAGTGCCATCTACTGATGCTGTCTAACCCCGTTGGCTTTTTCGTATGTTTCCAGTCATTTTAACATCCATGCTCTGCTCCTACCTACTGAGGCCATTGAGAGTGTGATCCCTACGGCTGGGAGTGGGGGTGGAGGGACAGGTGGAAAGGGTCTGAGACCTGCCAGTGTCATACAGTGGTCTCTCCGGGTGCCCCTCCTGGTCTGACCTCTTGCTTGAGCAGGGTGAATACTGCCTTGAACTAAGGACCTCTGGGTCATTTCACCTTCCCATTTTATGGGTAAGGAAACTGAGGCCTACAGAACTAAATAACCAGAAGTGGGTTTGAACCCAGTTCTCTGGAGCTGCAACCAGGCCAAGTGAGCACCGCTCTCTTCTGCATGGAGACAGCTCCTAGCCCTTTGCAGCAGCACACTCACACCTTCTGGGCTGGAAACAGCCCATCTCACAGCCTTCACCAGCCGGCTGCCAGATCTGCCTTTTTATTGGGCCAAGGTGGTGGACAGTCTGCTGCCTCTGCCAACCAGAAGTCAGGCTGGGACACAGCCCACCTCAGCCTCCAGCAGAGTGTCTGCAGAGCTCCGTGGGATCTGAGGGCGCAGCAAAGGGGGTTGGGCAGTGCTCTGGTCTGTGGCAGGGTGAGACCATCCCCTCCTTGGGAAAAGAGCCTGCCAGTCCGGGAGCTGCTGCTGAGCCAGAGGCCCCTGCAGCTGTCACAGGGCTCCCGCTGGCCCTGGGATGAGGTGGCTGCTTGGTGGTTGCCAGCTCCATTTGCCCAGGGGGCCATTGTTCACTTGGATTTCTGAGGACTTGGCAGGTGCTGAGCCAGGCCAGGTGCTGAGAATTCAAAGCACAAAGCCGCCACCTCTCAGTGCCTGACTCTCCGGGACTCTCCATGCCTCCCGCCATCTCTCCTTGTCCCCTGCTGGTCCTCCATGGCTCTCCTTTGCTTCTCCTATCATTCCTTCATCAAACCAAGATAAAGGACCTTGTCTCCAGAAGGGCCCTAGCTCTCCTGCCCTGACAAAACCTAATCGTGGTCACATTTAGTGTAAGGGCTGGGGTGGGGACAGAACATGGGAGGCTGCTGGGGAGAGAAAGGGACATGAATGTATAGGGACACTCTTTTAGACATGGCCCAGTAGCCCCTCAGTGCTGATTTTGAGAGGAGGAAGGAGGTGGCTCACCCAGGAGGCCTCTGCCCACCCCCAAGATCCCAGGAATGCCTGGGCTGCTGATCTAGGGCAGCAGCTGCTTCTCCCCCAGGGCCTGCCTCAGGGAGGGGCGCTGTGTGTGACCCCCTAAGTCTGCCCCACACCCCTAGACCCCTGTGTTGCTCCTGCCCCCTAAAAACAGCTTCCCTAACTTTTCTTCCCCAACAGGGCCCTCGAGGGTCACGAGGCCCACCAGGCATGCGGGGAGCAAAGGGACGCAGGGTAAGTTGGCCCAGACCCCAGGGCAGATGCTGATAAGTGCGCGAGTAAAGTGGGGCCACCTGCAGAAGACCTCCTTCTGGTCCCTGCCCCCTCCCTGGCTCTGGGCTTTGTGACTTTTGCAGCACCAGTCTCACCCTCAGCCTGCTGCGCATGTGGGACCTCTCGTTCCCACTGCTGTCTTTCGAGCCTACTCCTGAGCCTCAATCTTGCTGTCAAAAATGGACTCTGGTACCAGGGCTTTGTTCATTCATTCACTCCATCATCCATTCAATTACCATTTATTTAGCATCTACCTTAGGATACTCTGCCGATATCATGCAGGACAGACCAGGCATGCCCTGCCTGCCTTGTGGCCCAGGGAACAGGTCACACATGATGCGAGGCAGACACAGACCATAGAGCAAAGGGCCATTGGCACATGGATGATGGGAGCGCTGGCCACTTAGAGGCGTCTCCCCTTAGAAGGGGAACCAAGGACAGCCTAGGAGAAGGTGTCTCTTGGTCTATTACCAGATTGCAGGAAGAGAGGCTGGCAGGGGAGAGCCCTACGGTGAGGGGAATGCTGGCATGCTTAGGGTTCCCTAGTCAACAATGACCAGGATCACACTTAGCAGGCACCATGCCAGGCAAGGTCTCCAAAACCACAGCTATGCCTTAAAGGTAATAGGGAGCCACAGCTGGTTTAAGATACGAGATGGATTGAGCACAATGGCCTGGGGTGATCACTAATACTCTGTGCCAGGCACTCTCACATGCACTAACCCTGGTAGGTAGGTGCTATCTTTAGTCCCATTTCACAGATGAGGTAACAGAGCTTCAGAGAAGTTAAGTCTTGTCCTCAAGTTGCACAGCTGGAAGTGGCAGGGCTGGGATTTGAACCCAGGGAATCTGATGCGTTTGCATCCTGAATTCAGCCTCCTTTTCAATCATGTAGGTGGATGGATGGAATGATCTCCTGCCAACTGGTACGCAGATGCCAGGGCACGCGTCCTCATTGTAAAGAGGAAACAAGACAGCAGGGGTAGCCCGGGCCTGATATCCAAGCCTCATGTTGGGGAATCTGTGATTATTTTGGCTGGAATTCAACTAGTTTTAAAATTTCCCTTGCACCAGATGGCCTGAAGCAACAGCCCAAGAGAGGAAAGATTAAGAGGCATTCCTGTGGCCACTGGGGCCTGCCCAGTACCCAAGTCCTCCATCTCTACAAGGGGACAGGAACCAAGGGCAGCCGGGTTCCCCTGGTTCTGGAAGCAGGATTAGCTGGCAGGGGAACCTCAAGGTCCTTGGCCGCTGCCTCACCCCAAAAGGAAGCCCAGCCCAGCTCCACCAGCCATCTGCTCCACCCTTCCCAACAGTGGCTTGAAGAATTTCTCCCCTACTTGAGGAAACTCAGGCTCCTGACTGCATCAAAGTCTCTGGGACAGAGAAGAGCAGGGGGACCTGAGCCCTGCTCCTGGCAAGGTTTGGCAGGAATGTAAAACCTGCAGATTGTCCCGAGGTCCTGCCTAAAGAGCTTCCCAGGGCCACTTCCCAGATGTGCCTGAGTGTGGGGACCCAGAGAGGTGCCTCTGCTCATGTAGGAGTTCGCTTCTAAGCAAGCCTCTCTTAGCTCCAAGCTCTCCTCAGGCCCTTAGCAAGGCCTCGTTGCAGTCCTGGCCTCGGTTCCTCAGGTGCTCCCTTTCCCAGGGTCTGGCTTGGGGAGGGGGGCAGCGCGAGTTTGACTATAAACATCTTCCTTGGGGAGTGGAGACAAGTGGCAATTCACTGGTAGAAACCCAGGACACCTCCAGTCTTGGCCGCCCCTGGTCTCATGGAAAAAGGAATGGGACCAAGCGGGGACCCGCAGGACAAGCTGCTGAGTGGCCAGAGCAATGGGTGATGGCGACTCTCACATATGTTTCTGCGTAGTGGGCTGAGAAGGAGACGGCTGGTGGTCCACTGCCTCTGCCTCCCTCCAGGCAGAAAAGATTGGTCCTGTTTCCCCCAAGCCCGGTGCTGGCTTCCCCTGAGCTCAGCAGGTGTAGGCCCTCTCTTGAACAAAGATTTCAGACCTTGTCTTCTCCAATGCCCTGCCTGGGGCAGGCTGCTACAGGCTCTGCCTTGCATACCGCCTGGGACAGGAAGCTCACACTCATCCTGATAAACAGTGACAGGCCATACAATCAAATGGGCACCTAGCTGACTTGGGTTCAAATCGTGACTCTCCCCCAACAAGTTGTGTGACCACAGGCGAGTTCACTGCCATCTCAGTTTCCTCATTTATAAAACAAGGGTGCAGCTCTTTCTGTGAGTGCTGCTCCTTCCTCCCAGAGGGGCTTTGAGAGTCTGCAGCGGTCCCAGGCTCTCTTGTGGAGGCTCTGGCCTCCGTGGATGGGGACAGTGCTGGGAGGGAAGTGCAGGCACAGAGATGCCGTAGGGGTGCCCTGAATCACACAGCCCTCTGTTCCCCCACAGGACTCTGTTTTGCAGTAGGGGCTTTTGCACTGAGCTCTGCCCCAGCCTTACTTACTTACTTATTTAACACAGATGTCTTCCTGTTTGTTTATATATTCTTTAATTTCTCTTTCAACGATGTTTTGTTTTGTTTTTTAAAATTTTCAAATTTGTACCAGCACATGTTTGCAGTAATGAAACCCCTTGTGTGGAGTTTGTATGTATAGCCGTCCTCTTCCTCTCTCTCCAGCTGTTGATCCCTTTTTCCATTTGAGAATGATCTGTCTCCCTACTTCCTAGTATCTATTTTTAAAAAATTGCCCAGGAAGAAAAAAAATCTTATGCCGCTGAGCTAAATCCCCAGCCCCAAGAAAAAAAAATCTTACACAAATGTTTCAGTTGTAAATTTATTGAGACATGAGATTCTTGCAAGTTACCTTTGGCCTCTACATTTGTAAGAGGTGCTCAAAGTGCTGGCTTCCAGACATTTATTAGTATGGGGAACTGCTGCTCAGTCATTGAGATTATTACACGTGTCTTTTGTCCTTGGTGAAACTAAATATCCGACACCCAAAGTTAAGGGAAGAAAAGGTTTATTTAGCTCACAGTTTGTAGAAGTTTCAGTCCACAATCAGCTGGCTCCAAGGCAGGGTGGCACGGCAGACAGGTATTGCAAAACAGAGACAGTCATAGCAGGAGGAAGGTAGCAAAGCAAGCAAGGGGCAAGAAAGACTTTCTGTCCCTTGTATTTTATCCAGCCTTCTGGATTAGCACGGTACCAAACCAGTCAGTGAACTGATTTAGGAACACTCACCCCTAACCCTAGCAACCTTAATGCTGGCACCCTTAGTCCTAGTGTCCTTAATCCTAGCATTGCACCAAGAATTAGTCACACACTTGAAATCCAGCCACCTCTGAAAAGCCCCACCTGAGACTGCATGAGGCTTTGGGGAGACATCTAAACAGACACCACAGCAACATGCATTTTCAAATTGCTCTGTAAAGGCCGGCAGCGTAGTGGATTTTCTGCAATATACAGTATCCTCTTGGGTCTCCCATACAAGTAACACCACTTTGGAAAAAATACATTATTTTTATTTTCCTGAAGTGTGTATACATCTTTTTTAGTGAACTCTATATATTTATTTGTTGGATTGGCTGTTTGTTTGTTTGTTGTAATTTTTGAGGCAAGGTTTTGCTAAGTCACTAAATTACCCAGGCTGGACTCAAACTTTTGGTCCTTCTGCCCCAGCCTCCCAGAGTGCTGGGATTATAGATGTGTACCAGCATCCCAGCTTCAAGATCTCCTTAAACAGGGTTATGCATGTACCAGCTTCATTCTGGAAGCTGTGCCATGCCTCTGCAGAATGACCTGGGCCATCACTGCAGGCCAGTGACCTACCTGCCTTTGGAGGCAGTGGGCAGGCAAGGGGAGGTGGTGGGAAGGGGAGGGTCCCAGGCTCTGGGCATCGTCACCTACCTGGCTTCTACCCTGAGAGAGATCTCTGCTGTCCACCATACCAGAAACTTCTTACTATTCCAGGGCCCCCGAGGACCAGATGGACCAGCTGGAGAGCAGGGGCCCAGGGGCCAAAAGGTACTGACCCCTGTGGGTTGCCCTACTTTACCCTAGTTTCACTGGGTCAGGGGGCCCAGCACCAGGAACCTTAGGAACAGAGGGAGGCTGCGGGGCCCATTCCTGAGACTCATCCACCACCTTCCTGACCCCTGGAAGTCCCGAGCAAAAGAACATAAAGGAGGGACAGTGAGAGCGAGGGGGGTCATCATGCCCTGGAATCTTGGGAGCCCAAGCTTCTCAAGCTGCCTCTGTTGTCCTGTCAGTAGGAAGAGGTCCTTGGTTCTTGATCCCAGGCACCTAGTCACTGTGGGAAGCCACACTTACCTGGCCTTGGTTTTCCCAGCTACACAATGGGACAGTGGGGATCACTGCTCTGGCTTCTTCTCCTGTCTCCTGGGTGGGTCCCTTCCAGTGCAGGGTAGTCCCAATCTCTGTCCAGCTTTACTTCTCCACTCCCACAGGGCCCTGAAGGACCTCGGGGAAGACCGGGGCCACCTGGACAGCAGGTACGTGGGACAAGGACACACTGGCTGGCCACTGGACCCCCATCCCCACCCTGTGATGGGTGCCTCTAATGACCCCCAAATGTGCTTCCAGGGTGCAGCTGGTGAGCTGGGCCACTCAGGGCCACCAGGCTTTCTGGTAAGTAGAATCTGTTTCTGCGGTGCCCAGCGTGGGACTGGGGCAAGCTGGGGCAGAATAACTCAGATTCCCACCTGCAGTGGAAACCTCACACCCCCAACCCAGAACCCCTTGGGCGTGGCTTCCACACCAGGGTCTCAGCCTCAGCATCCATCTCAAGGCTGCAGAGGGTCAGGTCGGATGCTGAGACTCTTCAAGCACTGCCAAAGGTCAAGGAGAAGGGCAGAGTGGAGAAGGCCAGCAAGGGACTGAGGTCACCTGTGTCTTTCTCCGCAGGGCATCCCAGGTCCCTCGGGGCCCCCAGGCATCAAGGGCCTCCCAGGAGAACCGGTAAGCTCCTTTCCCTGCCTCTGTGGCATCCTTCCCCTGGCAGGCAGGTCTAAAAGGGGCCGCCGACTGGGTTGTGGGCTGAGTGGTCAGACTAGGAGAGGCATTGGCAAGGGACAGTGCCAGGGCTCTGCTGCCCACCAGGCTTTGGGTGGTGGTAGGGGCCCTCCTGCCTGATTTCTCACCAGTGAAATAGGCACCCGTGTCCTCCCTTGCCATTCTGTCGGGAGGATGACATTGGGAAAGGTAGAGAGGGTGCTTGGCACAGCGAACGCAGAAGGAGGGAAGGAAGCAGGGAAAGGAGACGAGGAAGAATGAGCCACCAGCCAGCTGGGAGCCTCAAGGGGAGAAGGGCTGTGGGAAGCAAGAGGAGGTAGCCCCGAGGCCCGGAGCCCACTCATCCCAAGGGCACAAGAGCCTATGAAGGTGACGGAACAGAGGCAGTGACTGCATCACCTCGCCCTTCGAAGGAGGCCCAGAGGGACAGGTTTGGGAGACAGCCTAGATGCTGAGGAGCTCGTGAGGAGGCTTCAGGGAGTGATGGTGACAGAGATGCAGAAGAGGGTGGCTCTTGGGGTTCAGGAGGAAACCCCAGGACCATTCTCCACAGAGCACAGGTGCTGCAGCACCCACCTCTGGATTCTCAGGGAGCAAGGAGGCCTGGGGGGGCTGTGGGTGGAGCAAAGCAGAGGTCACAAGGGAGCAAGGCTGCAGAGCAGGGATTTCTGCACAGGGGACCCCCACTGGGCTTGGGTAAGGGTGAATAGGAGCAGGCAGGTCGCTGGAGAGCCTTGGGAGTGGATGAGGAAGAACTGCAGATGCCAGGCCCCTCCCCCTCGGTGCGACTGGGGTCCCTGGGGTTGGGCTGCACGATCCCCAGTTCCCTTGTCCACTGCTCCAGATTGCATTATGGAGCCTCAGACCCCAGAGAGGCCCAGGCTGGTGTCTCACAGTATGTCTGTCTGTCTGTCTGACTGTCTTGCAGGGCCCTCAGGGACCACAGGGGCCAATTGGGCCTCCAGGAGAGATGGGACCCAAGGTGAGTGCTGAGGGCCCTGTGTGTCCCTAACTGCTTTAGTCGGGGGCGTGGCCTGCCATCCCCTGTTCTGGCCCAGGGTAAGAGTGGAAGTTGCTGAGAGAGTAGCCCATGCTGGGGCACAGGGCCAGGACCTGGTGCCTGGGTGGGGCAAGTAGTGCCAGGACGCTCGTGGAGGTGGCCAGTGCCTCTGAGGGCATCACTGAAAGTAGTAGCCTTTGCTTGTCCCATCTTTGCTGAGACTTCACCCAGCACAGTGAACAGGACCCAGCCCACTGTGGGTCACTGGGCAAAGAGCCAGTAGGGGTCTGAGACAGCTGGCACATCCTGAAGGAAACTGAGCTCTGGAGATTATGCAAGGCCACGGTCATGCCCTGGTGACAATTCAGGACCCTCCCACACTCATCACCCTGGCTCATCCATGAGAGAAGGCTGGAAGCACCCAGCCCCAAGCACCCACTGACATCCCTCGTCCTTATGTGAATTATGGATTTTCCCCCCGTCCTGCCAAGGGGCTTCTATGTGGTCAACCCCACGCATGGGGAGGGGTGGGTCCTGGGCCTCTGCCAGCGTGGATCACTGCCGTCCCCCCAAGGTCCCAGTCCCAAGTTCCTGGAGCTGCAGCTGTCTTCCACGTATATCTTCCCAGCATATCTCTGGCCTCTCGGACTCTCTTTTCCCTCTTGACAACCAGGGCTGGCCCTTGGTATGCGAGGGACCCAGAGCCTTTTCTTTCCTTGCAGGGACCGCCAGGTGCAGTGGGAGAACCTGGCATTCCTGGGGAAGCTGGGATGAAGGTGAGGCGGGATGAAAGGCGAGAAAGTGACTTGTTGAAAATTAGCTCCCGGCTGGCAGCAGTGTTCTCCTCACAGAGAGGAACGGATCTTTCTTGTGCCTGGGATAATGGGTTCTCTGTGCTCTTGGCTGAGGGGTGGGGCCACAATGGAGGGCTCCCCTGCCCAGAGCGCCCACCCCAACTTCTGCCCAGCAGTGTTTTCTGTGGCGCCTACCTGCCTCCATGCCTGGGTGGCTGCACCTGCTGGCCTGTGTGATGCCATCGCACCCCTGCCCTGGTGTCCTTATTACCTGCCAGGAAACAGATGCCAGCTGATCCCTGGGCCTAAAGCAAGCTGCTCTCCAGGGCGTCTGGAAGATGATCCTGTCTTGTACGGGTCCAGGAGCTGATGTCTCCTGCTAGTGGCCCAGGACATTGCAGAGGTCTGGCCCACGAGAGTCATGCAAGGGCTTGTGACTTGAAGCAGATCACCCTTCTAGTCCTACACTGTGACACTTGGCTCAGTTTCAGAACCTTTGCTCAAAGAACAATGAAGAAAACAATGCCCATGTGTCAGACAGACAGAAGTGGGTTGTTCTGGCCGAGGCCAAGGGATCGGAGCTCTTCCCCCTCTCTGTGTCCCCAGACCCTAGCAGAAAATCCTAGGAGGTTGTTTGGGGGGCTCCCTGAGGGAGCAGGTAACATTCAGCCTTCCTCCTCCCAGTCTCTCTCCAAGTCTCAAGGGAGAGTAAAGATGGTATCCAGTCAGAGCTGCCATCCTGCAACCCACACTACCTGGTTAGAGTCCCAGTGTGTCATTAGTCACATTACAGTATGGGCTTGCTGTGGAACCCCAGCCTCCCATCTTCCTCTCTGGAAGAAGAACACCTTTTCTTCCAGGTGTTAGGGAGGTCACACGTTCATTTTTAAAAGTACTTAGAACAACGCTGAGTAAGTGGTGGCATGATGGCGGTTGTGGTGGCGATGGTGGTGGTGGCAGTGATTATCGTGCTGGCCATGCTGTTGGTGGTGCTGTTTGTGATGATGATAGTAATTATGATTGCGATGGTGGTGGTGGTAGTCGTGGTGATGGGATGATGTGGTGCTGGTGGTGATGGTGATGTGATGGCAGTGGTGGTGCTGGTTACAGTGACCGTGATGGTGATGGTGGTAATTAGTACCATGGTGGTGGTGGTGGTGAAGGTGGTGATTTTTTCATCCTGCGGTGAGAAGCCCATGGCCAGAGCTGACTTGGTAGAGGGACTCTGGTGTTCTGTAGTCCTCAGGAAGGACGACCTTCCCTAGTTGCTCTTTCGTACCCCAAATCAGAGCCAATGGGAACAGAAAGTGGCGGGGGCTGGAGCTGGCCCTGCCCACCCCCATGTGCTTGTCTTTGGCTTCTTGTAGGGTGACCTTGGACCCCTGGGAGCCCCTGGGGAGCAGGGCCTCATTGGGCAGCGGGTAAGTTGAAGCACATATACTCTCCTTGGGAAGTCCTGAACATATGTGGATTCTGGGGGAAGAGAGGAGCTTCACTCAGTGTCCCTGTGCCTCAGTTTCCTCAGCTGTAGGAATCAACCAGGAATGTCCACAGCCCGGCCCAGTCTCTTTGGTGGCCAGCATTTCCACAATGTATGAAAGCATGCTATGGTCCAAACGCTGAGGATGCACTGTATGCTTGTATTCCCTCTTACATGTCAGTTCAGAAGGCTCTGAGGTGACCTGCAACCAGAAAGTGGCTTTTTCTAGATTAACCCAGGGCCCGAATGTATTTCACTTCCAAGTGCTTTTATTGAACAGCAATCCTCTGCTGTCCCAAAAGAAACCCACAAAGCTTGTCTTACTCTAAGAAGCTCTGCAAGGCCCCTGTGTCCACCTCTCCCAGCTCAGTGCCGAGTCCATTAGGTCCTTGCCGCATCCTTAGTACCTGTAGGTAGAGAAGGGAGGGTCTAAGAGTGATAGGTAGTGCAGGTCTCACTTCAGGAGTACACAGGTCTGTGACCCAAGCATCTTTGTTTTTCATCTTTTCTTTGCACTGCCTTGTGTTGCTTGTGGCTCAAAGTCTGCAGAGATTCTGTGAATTAAGACAGAGGGAGAGGACAAGGCCACACAGCCTGGAGCTGGGGCCCTGAGATGGCAGGGCATAGCGTCCACCAAGCTTGGCCAGTGGTCTTCTTAAAAGATGGTATGAAGAAGGATCCTGAGCTCCATCAGGATCCAATAGGAAAGAAAAGGGCAAACACTCAAATATTTCAGCTGCTGTGTGTCAGGAGCCCAGCAGGAGAGTAGCAGAAGGCCTGTCTCATGGAGCTTATGGTCTAGTGGATCGATTAGTGATGTCTACATGGGTGCAATAGGAGTAGAATGTGCACACCTGTCACTTCCCTGAGGAGTGCAGTGAGGTCCTGCTCCTGGTCCAATAAGATCTCAAGCAGCTGTCATTGTGAGGCACTGGCATGGCCTTAAAGCAGCCTGGGAGGAAGGGGTGTCAGCCCTATTTCCCAGATGAAGAAGTCCATATCCTGTGGACTGAGTAGTGTGCTGTGGTCAGATGGCCAGTGAGTGGGAAGCCAGAGTAGTGCTGAGATCTGCTGAGGCAAAGCTGGCACTTAACCAGTAGGCTGCTCTGCCTCCCCAGCAGACAGAGCAGCCTGTGGTCTGGGAATCTGTGTGTCACTTTCTGGAGAGCTGAGGGTGAGGCCTCAGCCTTCTGCTCACTCATTCTTGATTCATTCATTCATTCTGGTTGCCTTGTGCCTGTGGTGGCCCAAGCCTGTGGGTGCCCTGCCTAGGGATCTGCATGGGGTGGGGTCCTGCTGCAGGGTGGGGAGGGAGGGAGAACACACGGCACTGCCCCCCATATCTCCTGCCTTTCCTATTGTGCTGTCCAGGGGGAGCCAGGCCTTGAAGGAGACAGTGGCCCTGTGGGGCCTGATGGACTGAAGGTAAGCGCTCTTCCGAGGGAACCTTGCAGAACTAAGTTTCCTCCCATCACGGTCTCCCACACAGCTCTGTGGTCAGCCTCCACTCCCAGCAAGGGAGGGGTGGGTGTCAGCACTGTCCAGCAACCTGCTGACTGTCCACACCAATGTCAGCTTCTCTGAGCACCTAATCTGTGTCAGGACCTGAGCTGGGGACATTGCTAGCTCTCACCTTCCAGCATCCTGAAACATCAGGAAATGATCCTAAGCTGGTGTCCTGAATCACTAATTAGGAATTCGGGAAGACTAAGCCCAGCGGTACCAAGTACCATACTGAGCGCTTCAAACATATCACCTCCATCAGTGCTACGAGGGAAATTTCATCTTCAGATGAGGAAACAAACTTAGTAGGGTTAAACAACTCCCCAAGGACGTGTAGCTAGGAATCAGCACATCCAAGATCTGAATGGAGGCCTCTGCGTGCTGTGCCACAGGGTGCACCTGTCCTAACGGTGAGGTGCAGAGGCTCATGGCGAGCACAGAGCGCTTCATTCACAGGTCGTGGCTGGGAGTGCAGGGGCTGAAATGTAAGTCACGATCTGCAGGTGCCAACGCCTGCAGGCCAAGCTCAGCCCTGACGCTCTGTCAGCCCCACGGGTTGGGTGCTCACCTGAGGTGCAGCCTTGCAGGCCACCTCTCCAACTAACCAGTCCCCCGCAGCCCTGGCCTGACCCTGCCTCCATCTCAGGCCCAGCCTGGCCCAGACCCATGGTGGACCTGCCCTGTGGTCAGCCTCCCAGCCCAAGGTCCTGAGTGCCACGCCCCCAGTCCTGGGTCTGCTCCTGCTGGCGCTTTTTCTTGCAAGGGTGAGAGCGCCCCCTGTCGGTACCCTGTCTGTTTTTTCTCCTCCCAGTCCTGCAGGATTCCAGGATCCTGCTGGAGTCCTGTTGGGACTCGGAGGATTAGTTGGCCTTCCACATCCCTGGCCAGGTCCCATCCACTGTGTGGGGATGGTGACAACCCTTAGGGTCAAATGCTTTGTGTACTTGCTGTGTGCCAGGCGCCACACACCTTAAAGGCCTGCACCTTTTCCTTATTGCTCTGGTCCTCTCTTTTTCCCATTTATAAATGGAGAGGCTTGAAACAGGCAACTGTGAAGTTCTTCAGAGCACTGGCAGGCATCTAAGGATTTGGGGAGCCTCCAGGTACCCCCAGAACCTATGATGCCTGGAATCCACAAACAGCCCCACTCTGCTGTGGTAGCCCAGGCTGTGGGGCAGGGGCTGGCCTTCTCTGGAACTCTGCCCATCCCTGAAAACCAGCCCTACTGCTAGGAGCAGGCACCCTTTTGAGAGCCAGGGCCATGGATGGCCAGGAAAGACAGCCAGGAGCAGAGTCCTGGAGCCAGACGAGGCTGCAAGAGCATGTCAAGTGCGGTCCTGTTTTCATGCCTGACTGTGCTTGTAATCTGAGAATCACAGAGGGAAGGGACCTTGGAAGCCCACCTGCTGCTCAGGCCTGCTTTGTACCAGCCCCCCCCAAGCTGTGTGAGCTGTGTCTCCAGGCTGAGCTGGACAGTGCCTGGCCACTGCCCTCCTGCCTCCTGCCCCTGCGCACAGAGATGAGCTCACAGCAGCCATGTCCTCCAGAGTCTCCTCTCAGGCAGGCCAAGCCCCAGCCTCCTGCGCCGGGCCCTCTGCGCCCTGCTCTCCCCGTGCACTGGTTATCTGTGTCCTTTGTAAAGTGTAACACTGGGAAGCAGAACTGGCCAAGCCCCCCTCTGCTTTTCCCTGCCTGCCTCCAGTGCATCCCTTGCTCATTCATGTGCCCAGCTCCTTTTGTGGCCTCCTGTTGAGCCATGAGTATACTTGCCTGAGGCCATCGAGTCCCCTCAGGTGTGCAGCTGCTGCCGAGCTGCATCTCTCATACCTGCTCTGCCCTCAGCCTGTCTGCTGCCCCCAGGAACGTGGGAGGTGGTGGATGAGCCAGGCAACTCAAGGCACAGGGCTGATTTTTCCAAAACCTCTCGCTAAAGCCAGTTCTCACGGAGAACCATGAAAGCCCGTGCCGTCACCCCCAAAGCCCATGCTAAAGGTTCCCTTCTTGGGATAGAACCTTAAGCGCTTGCATACCCTGCAGTCCCAGAAAGACCACAGCGTGACACCCCCAGTAGCTTCAAGGAGAGCATCACTAGGGCTTATTCTCTGAGGAACCAGTGGGTGTTCAAGCCCTTGCTGCCAACTCCAGCTCCTCTACAAGCTTGGATCCTTTGGGTCAAATGATTAAACTTAGCCCTGCCTCAGTGTCTTCATCTGTAAAATAGGACAGAAAGAGACTCTGCCTTCTGTGAGGCTCACTTCCCTGAGGGTTGAGTCTGTTGATCTACAAAAAGAGCCAAAATTGGCCCAGACCCAGGAAGTGCTATGCCCATGCTGGTAAACATCTGCTTGTCCTACAGCAGCGGGATGGTGGCCACACAGGGCAGGCATTAAGGACACTGGGTGGGACTTGCATGGCAGAGCACCAGGCCTTTGGGCCCAAGCTTCCTGGTGACCAGCTGCATGGCCTGAATAGGGCAGTGTCCTGCTCCAGGCCTGGGCCACAGCCATCAAAGCCTGGCCTAGACTTTGTCACTGGTACTATTGTAACTAGGGTTGTGTGAGCTTGGGCTGCAGATGCACCTCAGGGAAGCAGATGGAGCTGGCTCCGAGGGGCTTCTGGGGCACATTTTCTTCCTCAGTCAGACTCTCACTCAGTTCCCGTCCTCCCTGTGTGTCTCAGCTGGGAAAATGACTGTCTCCGAACCTGGTCCGTTCTGGGAACTCCTGGGCAGTCTGTGATCACATGGTGGTGTCTGTCTGAGCCCTGCCATGGCCCCACTGCAGGCAGGGACAGGGAAGCGTCCGTGGCTGCGATGTTTCCTGGGGCAGCCAGCCCAGCCCAGCCCTGACACTGGGCAGCTCAGAGACCTGTTGGGAAACCTGTTGGGTGGCTGTGGATGCCACGCAGCCCTGGGGCTTGGGGTGCTTGTGACCCAGTGACTCATCTGTTGTTTCTCTCTCTCTGCTCCGCCTGCCCTCCTGACCAGGGGGACAGGGGGGACCCAGGGCCTGATGGTGAACGTGGTGAGAAAGGCCAGGAAGGGCTGAAGGGTGAGGACGGGCTTCCTGGGCCCCCAGGCATCACTGGCATCCGGGTGAGTACAGCTGTGGGGCTGCTAAGGGCTGGAGGGGACCCTCACGCCTGCTCAGGTAGCTGGGCAGGAGCTCTTGACAGCAGCCACCAAAACTGTGGCTCCATCTGTGAGTTCCACACAGCACCAATCTATGTCTCTGCCCTAGTCAGCCACCCAGCTTCTCCATCATCCTCATTCCTTGGACTGGTCTTCTCCACTCCCGGGTCTTTGCACATGCTGTTACATCTAAATCTTTCCCTTCTTTCTCTCTATCACCTGCTTCACTCCTCTTGGCCCTCAGCTATCCTCACAGCCGTCACGCACTTTAGAAAGTCACCCTTGGCCCTGGGATAGGTCCCAAGCCTCCAGAGATGTGGAGCCTTGCGGGTATCTACCCCAAGGCCCGTGAGCAGGGAGGTAACCAAACTGTTGATTGCAAAGCCAGAGAATCTCTGCTGTCCCACCCCAGGGGAATCTACTCAGTCTGAGCGTCTTCCTGAGCCAGGCACCTGATAGGAAGGGTGAACTAGGTTCCTGCCCTTGAGGGCCATGGAAAGGAACTATCCCATCTCAGTGTCTGTGGACAACATGCCCAGGGCTCCCCAGCACATTCCTATTTGGTACTGATAGCAACCCCCAAGGACCAGAAAGCCCAGAGAGGTCAAGGAATTGCCCAGGCTCACACAGTAAAAATAGGCAGAGCTGGGACTTGAACTCTGGCCTACTTGAGTCTGCACATCCTGCCCTCGGCTCTGACCCAGCTGGAGCCCAGGCCCTGGTCTCCCCCTGTGTCCAGGATTTGACTGATGTGTGGAACATGACTTTGCAGAGGGGGGTGGTAGGTTCTCACACCTGGGTAGGATGTGCATCACCTAGGAGCAAGGGACCAGCACCTTGCAGCTAAGGGGCGCCTGATCCCAGGGTGCCTGCAGGGGTGGGTGGGGCGGGGCCTTGCCTAGGCATCTCCCTCTTCCTGCCCGAAGCAATTTGCTTGTGACCTGGACACCCACTTCCCTCCAAGCCAGCTCGCAGCATTTGCTTTCCCTCTGCAGTGCAGAAAGAGTAACCTGGGATGGATCCAAATTAGCCTGCAACGAACCAGTTGTGGGAAGATGTTTGTTTCCTAAAAATAGAACTGAAATGCTAATCCCCTGAGCAGCTGTAACAGGATGAGCTCACCACAGAGCCAGAGAGGAACACAGCGCTTGGTCAGACTGGCCTTGCTGGAGGCTTCCCCAGGCTTGACTCAGTTGCAGGGAAATGGACCAGGGGGAATTTAGCAGGAGGGGCCTGACCCTTATTCTCCATCAGTAATTTGCTGTGTGACTTTCCACTTGCCTCTGGCCCTCTCTGGTCTTGCCTTTGGTATAATAAAAATGGGAAAAGAATGTGTGCTAAGGTCACCTTGAGTTCCAGTATTCCAAGGACCCTCTTTTTAGTGAGTTTTGAGTACCGACTGTGGAATGGGGAGTAACTGCACAGGGACATCTTTGGAACCAGAATCCAAGGGTTGAATCCAGGTTCCTGAGGTAAGCAGCCCTCATTCTCTGTGACTTTAGGCAAATCACTGCCCTCCTCTGAGCCCTGGATTTCTCATCTGTAAAGAAATAGGAAATAGGAAAGCACTTTACAAAATGCAGTAGAAATATAAAAGACTGTCTTTAAGAGTTTAGAGGAGAAGTTTGGCTAGAAGTTGATAGTGACAGTGGTGATGGTGATGGTGGTTGTGATGGTGGTAATGGGGTGGTGGTAATGGTAGGGTGATGATGATGATGCTGGCCATGGTGATGATGATGGTCATGGTGATGATGATGGTGTTGGTCATGGTGATGATGATGGTGTTGGTCATGGTGATGATGATGGTGATGGTGATGATGATGGTGTTGGTCATGGTTGTGATGGTGATGATGGCGTTGGCCATAGTGGTGATGGTGCTGGAGGTGGTGACAGTGATGGCATTGGCCATGATGCTGATGGTAGTGGTTCAGGTGATGATGGTGGAATTTGTGGTGGTGACAGTGATGGTGCAGTGGTGATGATGGTGGTGATGATGACGATGGTTACAGAGGTAATATTAACATGGTTGTGACAGGGGCTATGGTGATGGTGATTTTGTTGGTGATGGTGACGCTGGTGGTGTTGGTCACGGTGGTGGTGGTGGTGGCATTGCTCATGGTAGTGATAATGGTGGCAGTGGGGTGGTAGCAGTGTTGATGGTGGTATAGTACTGTCCTTCGTGGTTCTTATCTGCTAGGATGGGAGACAGTATCTGGGACAGACGCATGCATGTACATAAGAGAGAGAATAAGGGACTTGCATTTAAGTCTTTTTGGCATCAGGGCTGTGGGGCAAAGTCCTCCCACTGTGTGTCCTGGAAATACCCAAATATTTAAAAATAGAATTTGCCAAGCCACCCAGGCCTTTGCAGAAATGCATCTGCACACATGGCGCCATGTGGTCAGCAACATGCCACACAGTCATAGGCCAGGGTCTCCCGTATCCGTGGTGGTAAACATATGGCACATGTGCCACGCTGGCTCCATTTTACCAGTGCGGCTCTAAAAGATTCACTGTCCCTGCACCTAGATGATCTTGCCTAGAAACGTCAGAGCCCCTTCAGTGTGAGTGCACCCTCTGATGTGCCAGGCAACGTGTTTGTCAGCTTGTGTCCCCACCCCTACATGACCAATGACTGCATGGAAGGGGTCAACCATCTCCATCCCAGGCCACTGTCTCCCCACTGGGTACCCCAACCATGGTCCTCAGGGTCCCCTCATGGAGAGCCATGGGAACTCGTGGCACCTTGTCTTGGGGGAGGCCCAGCCTCCAGTCCCCCAGACCATGGATCCTGGGTCTGTCAATGCCTCACCTCACTGGTCACTGGTCACTGGTCACTGGTCACCTCAGTCCACTGGCAAATGCCACCGCCACCATGTTATGAGGCTGGCACAAGAGATCCTTCAGGCAATGTGCATCTGTGCCTCTCTTCCAGCCTGGCGGCTGGCTGTAGACAACACCTTCATCTCACTGAGCCTCAGTCTTTTTAGCTCTTCAGTGGGATAAATAGTTTCTTTCTGGGAAGAATCCAGTGAGGCGCCCAGCCTAATATCATGGTTACGATCATGGTTGTTGTTATTTTATGATGGAAGAATCCAGAGACCGTGGGATCATTTAGTCCAGCACTGGCCAAGGGAAACAATATAAGCCACATAGGTAATTTTAAATTTTCTAGTAGCCACAGTTTAAAAAGGTACAAAGAAATAGGAGAGATTAACTTTAACAGTATATTTTATTTAGCCCAGTAGATAAAAAATATTATCTCAACATGTAATCAATATTAAAAGTCATTACTTTGATCTTTTCCATTTTCTTCTCTTTTTTTTAAAGGCAGGATGTCACTATGTAGCCCCAGCTGGCTTTGAACTCAGGGCAATGCTCCTGCCTCAGCCTCCTGAGTGCTGGGATTACAAGTGTGCGCCACCACACCTGGCCCCTTTCTCTTTTTGGTACTAAGCCTTTTAGATCTGATATGTCATTTATGCTCTCAGCACATCTCAATTCAGATGTAAATGTTTGCTGGAAAGACTTATCTATATTTAGGCTTCACAAAACATACAGTTGAAAATGTAGATTCGTAAACCCAAGCCGTTTGAAACGTACTTAAAAGTTTCTGCCAGTAGTCAAATTCAATATGAGCTTTCAAATTTAATTTTAAATCAAAACTAAATAAAATGAAGAATTAAGTTCCTTGGTCATACGGGCCATGGTTCAACACCTCTGATGAGCCCAATCCAAGACCTTTCTAATCCAGCTGGGGAGACTGAGGCCCAAGGGACTGGTCAGGATCACATGAGGACTCAAGCAGCAGGATGTGACAGTCTATGCCTGGCTCCTAGGGCCACGTCCCGCCTCCCTGCCGCCACAGCACAGTCTGACAGGTGCTTACCTTGAGATACAGAGTCTTCTCCCACACCCGGGCCCAAGTTCTTTCCAAACAGACATTTCTGCCTTGTGTCGCATCAAAGCTGGCCGCCTGTGATTCCCGGGCATTGGCCTCCCCAGAGAACCTGGCTTCAGAAATCTGCAGCCAGGAGTCCAACTGCCTCTTCCTACCCTTGTCCCACCACAGGTTGTCAGGTGATGGGGACCGTCCCCACCCTCACCCTATCATTTGTACTTCTGTTAATGCAACCAGACGATTAAATCAAGCCATCGTTTTAATACTCATCAACAGCATAGATGTTCTTTCCAACTCCTGAGACTCACAGTCAGAAGGTCCCTTCCAGACCAGACACACTGCCTGCCCTACCCCGTGCGTCCCAGCCTGGTGGGCTGAGGGATGGCACTCTCTCTTTTCTCTGTCTCTTACATTCTCTTGCACACTCACCCACCACTGAGTAGTTTCCCTGTAGCTGTAGAGACAAAGCTGAACCCCTCTCTGACAGCCAGGGCGTGCTTGTGATGGAGGCGGCACTGGAGACTGTTATAGAAAAAGGAGTGGCTGCTGATTTACAGAGAGCTGTTTCAAGGATGCCCCTGGGTGGCTGGCGGTAACCATGACAGCAGTAGAGGCCACCCCCTTTGTGGAGGCCCAGTGCTCATTATGGCCGGGCACTGCGGTCACAAGGGTCACAAGTCTACTCCTGATCCCTGAGCGAGTCTTCAGCTCTGTGACGTGCCTGTGTCTCCCGGATGAGGCTCCCAGCATGGGGACTCAGGTCACGCTCAGGGTTGCGTGGCTACCTGGTGGCAGCATCATTTTGGAGTTTGGAAACCCAGAGCCACCAGCCTGGCCCCTTCTGATACGCCTCGATTTGCTCTCAGCTCGCCCCTTTTTCCCTTTCCTTTCAGGGTCCTGAAGGAAAACCAGGGAAACAGGGCGAGAAGGGCCGGACGGGAGCCAAGGTGGGTGTCCCCACCCGCCACGGTGGCCTTTGTCCCCACCCTGTCTCCACCAGCCCAGTGACAGCTTTTCTGTCCCTCTGCAGGGTTCCAAGGGCTACCCAGGACAGCTGGGTGAGATGGGCGTCCCTGGAGACTCCGGACCCCCTGGCACCCCAGGTCCCAAAGGGTCCCGGGGCAGCCTGGGACCAGTGGTGAGGACCTGACTGGGGTGGGAGGTGAGGGTAGGCTGGGGGACCTGGGACGGGTTTGGCACCAGACCCCAACTGTGAGCCAGATAGTGGTGTTCATTATTCAGCCACCTCCTGCCACCCATGGGTCCCTTAAAACGTGCAGAAAGCTGCAGCCCCTGGACACGGGAGTACACAGAGGCGCCATTTCTCACTGTTTAAAGGGATCCTGGGGTCCCAGATTAGTGAAATCTTGCTAAATGACATGGGGGAGGGAGGCTCCAGACCCTTGAGACTACTTTTATCCAACAAGCAGTTTTCCTGCAGGAAACAGACATGGGGGGACCTGGGCCAACCACTGCCAGCGCCTCAATGACACTAAGGGTGTCCCAGTGCCTTCTTGGGCTCCCTGAAGGCCAGAGCCCAGAACAGGGTGACAGCTGCAAGGAGGAGAAGCCTTGGGAGGCTGAGGTCTTTGTTGCTCCTGCAGTGTAAATGCACACGTGAGCACAGGCCAGAGTGGGATGGAGTGAAAGGATTCAGAAGGGCGGGGTTTGGAGTCTCCCTTTGCTTTTAATGACATTGATTTAGCCCTAAGTCCAGAAGTTTTAAATTGCAATAAGGACTCTGTTTAAATAGCTCCTGAAAGTGCTAGAAATGGGCCAGCAGTGTCCTGGCCCAAAGGAGCAGGACAGGGGAAGGGCTTGTGGGCTGGCAGCTGGGGAGGAGATCCCCGCCAGGATGCCTGCTCCAGACCACCGGGGTCTCTTCCCTCCAGGGCGCTCCGGGACGGATGGGGGCCCAAGGAGAACCTGGCCTGGCTGGTTACGATGTAAGTGGAAGCTGCCCTCCCTGGAACTCTGTCCTGCAGCCGGGCTCTGCCCCCATCACCCCCAGCTAAGGGTCTCCCCAGGACTCCTGAAGATGTGGGCCTCACTCTGTCAGGGAGCTCCTGGGCCCACACCTGAGGGTGGGGATGGGGGACCACGGAGGAGTGGGTCACAGGAGATAGTACCAGCACCCGTCCTGAGCCACTGGAGCCCCCCTGCTCCTGGTGGGTGCTCCTTCAGCCCTACCCAGAGCTGCAGGATATCCTCAGGGAGAGAGGAGCTCAGCCCAACAGTGCGCCCTAGGGTCCCCCTTGAGGTGGTGTCTGTCCTGCTCCTGTCCCTGTCTGCCTTGGACACAACAGCAGGCTGGCACATCAGCTGGAGGTGTGCTTGCCTGTAGGGCGTGTCCGGAAGCCATGCTCAGAGCCTCACGGAGAGGTCGGGTCAGAGCTGGGACCCAGTGCACAGCCCAGCACCTCCGCCTCTGAGTTCCTGTCCGGTGCCATTTGCCCTCCTGGGCCCTCACTGTGCCTTACTCTCTACCTTGTTTGTCTGCAGGGACACAAAGGCATTGCGGGACCCCTTGGGCCTCCTGGACTGAAAGGCGAGAAGGTAGGTGTTTGGGTCTGGAAAAGCAGCTGTCGGAGGCCAGTAGGAATGAGCCCCTGAGGTCCTCAAGGCTGAGCTGGCAGCCCGATGGCAGCTCACCCCCTACATACACTGTGGTGGACCTGCGTGGTCCTGCGCCCAGTGTCACTAAGGCCATGGGCAGCAGTCAGGAGCTGTGGGACTGACAGCCATCACTGTGTGTGGGTGTCATCTTCGTGTCCAGCACTGGCTGAGGCACAGACGCCATTCCAGCCTTTAGGGGTCAAGCAGAAGTGACTCAGTCATGGGACAGCTGTGTCACTCCCTTGTCTGTGTGAACCTGGGAAAGGAAGATTTGCCCACAGATGAGCTCAGTCAGTGTGTGCTGGGGGGCAACGCTGGGAAGTGGCACTGGAGAGTGAGGAGGCCCAGCAGCCTCACCAGCTGGGCACCAGGCTTGGGACAGGAAGCAAGTTGTCAAAGGAACCTTGGTGATTGGTGACCCTCCTGGTGCAGAGGGTAGGCTGAGGGCCCTGGGTCACATCCCAAGACAGTGCCCAGTGACTCTGGAACCAGGTCTCCGAGTTTCCTGTTCCTCCCCTTCCCTCCAAGGCTCACAGTAAGGAACGCCTGCCCCCTCACAGGCTGCATGGTGTGCGTCCTGGCCCAGTTCCATGGCCTCCCCAGGCTTCCTGCCGTTTGCTGAGTCAGCATGCCACTAACTAAGTCCCGCTGTGGCTGAATCTCGATGGCCTGGCCGACATGCCCTCCCCTGCCTGGGGGAGTACGGATCTGCCCCACAGCTCTGCAGTTCCTCTCATCCTGCAGGAAGAGCCCCCAGTCCCCAAGGCTGGCCCAGGGAGGGGCCAGGAGCAGCCCCAGAAGCTGCTGTTGTCACCTAGGCAGTCCCTCTTTGATAGAAATGTCACTATGGGTTGCATGGTTGTTGTCACACGATGAACAGCCAACCACAAAGTGGAAGGTGCTGGGAAGGGTTGAGGACCACCCCCTGAGGCCAAGACCCACTCCTGCCACTTCCTTGAACTTCTCCCGTAATCCTTGCCATCTCCCGGCCATGAAGCTGTCACTGTGCTACAGGACGGGGGCGGGAGTTGGGGCTGAGTTCTTGTGGTATCACGGGCTCGCCTGGGACCAGTGAGACAGCAGCAGGGCCGGGCACAGGCTGTGTCTGGCTGATGCCAGGCCCTGCTCCCCGAGCCATAGCCAGACCCTGTCTGAGGAGCCACGGTGCTTGGACCTCCCAGCATGGGACCCATGTCCATGAGGAGGTGGCAGAGTGTGAAGGGATGAGACTGACAGCAGGCTGCGGAGGGCTTCCGGAATTAAAATTGCACCCCTGACCTGTAGCCGCCATGACATGGTGTATGCTGCAGGAGACTAGAAGTTCCTTCCAGCCCTGATTCCTAAGGAGCCTTCACTGAGACCCTTCACTCCTTGGGCCTCAGTTTCCCCATCTGTAAAGTGGTGACAACTCCAGCAGCATAGATTCTGTGACACACTGAGGCAGACTTTATGACGCGTCCAGCACAATGGATGTGCCCGGTAAACACTGACACCTCACCCTAAGGCCCCTAGTCCCTTGCCACTGTCCGCCATGAGACTAAGGATTGCATCAGTGGGCCACAAAGAGTGGCGGGTGGGACAGAGAGGGATTCCCTGCTCACAGGGTCACCCCCTTGCTACAGCTAGTTCTGGGCCTCGGGCCGAGTCCTGCTTGCGTGTGCCACTGCCCACAGAAGCCACAGAGCCCCGAGCCAAAGTGCTGCGGCCGCCAGCCCTCATCTGCTGGCCCAGGCTCTGTTCCCTGCCCTGCTGCCCCAGGCCTCCCTGGAGCTCTGTGGGCAGCAAGGGTGCCCGGTTTGAACCCCACCCGAAAAGGACTCCCTTCCCCTGCGCAGGAGATGACACTCGCTTTTCAGACTGGTGTCCTGAGCCCCGAGACTCTGCCCTGGGCTCTCCCACTTACACCTCCCTTCTGCTGGCCAGGTGCATCCAGCCATCTGTCCTGCCCCAGACCAGGGGCTATGGTGGTCTGAGCGAGGGGCTCTGCTCTAAACTCTGCTCCTTTCGCAGTGTCCTTGGCCACATCCATGTGACACATGCACTGCTATTACCCTTATCAAGGATGGCAGTTCAAATAGCCATCTGCTGAGGGCCAGCAGCGGCTCTGGGCCTGCCTGAGCCCTCTTCCCACTGTGCACTGACTGACCCCCAGTTGCTGCTGATATGCGCCCTGGGGCAGCTCCAGCCTTCTCTGGGGCTCCTAGCAAGGGGAGAAAGTGCGTCCTGCGGTGCCCACCTCCCCCTAAGAAGCTTCAGGACAGGGATTTTCACTGAGTCGCTCTGAGCAGCTCCTGTCGCCTCCCTGCAGCTGCTCTGTGAAATGGGGATACCAAGGGGGCTGCTGTGAGTGTTCTGAGTGCCTAGCCAGCCACTGTGGATCAGACTCCTAGCTGCTCCTCTGTGCCCACATCCATTGGCCCTTCACCCCCAACCCAGCTGAAAAAAGCAGCTGAGAGATGGGAAGGGACATAGTCCAGGGGCTCAGGGAAGTGCAAAGAGCACCGTGTTTCATGATACTGGTTCCACAACATACCTGGGTCCGCTTCCTGATCTGCCTTAGTTTCCCCATCTACTGCCTCCCGAGGCCCAGCATTTCTGAAGCAGGAAGCCCCAGTTACCCAGGATGGGTGGCTTTTCCTAAAACTGATTCTGCGGGGTGTGGTGACACACATTAGTAATCCTAGCACTCAGGAGGCTGAGGCAGGAGAATCACCTAGAGTTTGAGGCCAGCCTGGGCTACATAGTGAGTTCAAAGCCAGCCTGAACTACATAGTGAGGTGCTGTGTCAGGAAATAAAAAAAAAAAAAAAAAAAAACTAAAGGTGGTTCTGTATTCACAGGGAGAGCAGGGTGAGGACGGCAAGGCCGAGGGGCCCCCTGGGCCCCCTGGAGATCGGGTAAGGCCCCTTTGGTTCCTGGGCTGGATGGCGTCCAGGTAGAGTCAAGGCCTCCTGCCACATGGGCAGGGAGGCCTGAGAGCCCCCAGGGAGCTGTGCGCCATGTTATGCTATTGTCCTTGTCATGTAGGGCCCCATGGGTGATCGAGGCGACCGTGGGGAACCTGGGGACCCTGGATACCGTGTAAGTAGAGCACCTTCCCACCTGGGAAGGTGGGTGTGTCCTGAGAGGACACTGGCAGCTGGACTCAGGACACAGGCAGAGGAGGTGGTCAGGGAGGGAGATGCGCTGAGCCTGGGTCCATGGACAGTTTCCTCCAGTGTGGTCCTGGGCAGACTCCTTCTGTCTCCATCCACAGCTGGGAACAGCCGTGCCAGCCACCCAGCCCCACCATGCACTTACCTTCTTTAGTCATGCTGGGGGCATCACTGCTGTGCCCCTTCTGCAGATGAGGAAGCTGAGGCTCAGAGAGGGACAGTGGCTCAGGAGCTCTGGGCTGTGCCCTGGCCCCAGCCCCCTCCAGATGCCCCCCTCACCTGTCTCTCTCGATTTCCAGGGACAGGAGGGTGTGCAAGGCCTCCGTGGAAAGCCTGGCCAGCAGGGCCTGCCCGTGAGTGGTGCTTCCTCTCCCTTTCTCCTGCCCTGAAGTGGGTGGAGCAGGGATAATTAAAGAACCAGCCCTTTTAGTGCTTAAAGGGACCCTCCTTGCAGTAGGACCCGGGAGGCAGCCCCTTCTGGTCTTTCCTGCCCTGGCTCTGGGGGTACTCCCATAGCCTGCACCCCCCCAAACCCCTCCCCACCCTCCCCCTCCAGGCGGAGAATCCTGGGGCTGCCTTGTGTCATCTCACCTTGGTTTGCAGGGGCATCCGGGACCCCGGGGGCAGCCGGGACCCAAAGGATCAAAAGGTGAAGAGGTAAGAGGGAAACTGAGGCGGAAGGAGGGAGAAAGGCAGGAGTGGAGGCAGGGCTGGGAGGGAACCAAACCTCTACCCCACGCTCTGTGGCCTGTTCTGCTGGGGCTCAAGGAAGGGACCGCCTGTTGGAGGTCAGCCAGGGGGATCAGGGCCCAGGGACCGGGCTCAGGGGCCAGAAACAGGCAGCCTTCTGTCTGCCATCACATGCTGCAGGGCCAGAGAAGCTGGAGAAGGGTTCCCAAGGCCACAGGGCCTCTCTCCCCTGCAATGGGGCCAGATAAATGCCCTCCCAGCTATGCCCACCTCCTCACCCCCTGTGGGGGGGACACTGTCCAGAGCCTCGTCAGCAAGGAACGGATTGGGAACACAGGACCCAGTGCAGTGCAAGGACAGCCCTGGCTGACCTCACAGATGGCCCTGACCCTCGGCTCCTGGGCCACTATGCTTGGTCCCTAGTGAGACCTGACTCTCCCCAAGGGCCACCTTTGCTTAGGGCCCACACCTCCTCCAGGTAGCTTCTGATGCTGGCCTTGCTTTTGTTTTTCTAGGGCCCAAAGGGAAAGCCAGGCAAGGCCGGGGCACCAGGCCGGAGGGGGATCCAGGTGAGTGGCACAGCTGTTGCTCTCCCCCAGCCCCTGTGCTTCCTGGAAGCCCTCACTCACGCTGCTTCTTCTATGCCCCCAGGGGCTGCAGGGGCTGCCCGGGCCTCGGGGCGTGGTGGGGAGACAAGGCCCCGAGGGCACCGCTGGACTGGATGGGCTTCCTGGCAGGGATGGCCGAGCAGGACAGCAGGTGAGCAGGCTTGGGAGTGGCAGAGCGGGACAGACGTGAGGGTGACCACCACTGGCTGATGGCCAGAGGAGCAGGCAGAGAAATGAGTGGGGCAGAGCCAACGTGGAGAAGTTTCCTAGGATGCTCTGGGGGAATGGCCCCCTCATCCCTTGGGGCCTGGCAGGCAGTCACTGAGTCTGACCCCTGCCCGTACTGGGCTGGAGCTCCTTCCAGCCCCCACTCACAGACCTGCAGCTGCTGCCGCCTTGGGTCCAGCCATCTGACAGAGGGCAGGTGTCACATCCCTCCCCTGCTCCATCCCTGTGCACTGCAGCTCCGGCTACCCCACATCCTGGGCTGTCGCCTCCTAAAACCTATCCTGGCCTTTGCCCGCTTTCTTCACAGGGAGAGCAGGGAGATGATGGGGACCCTGGCCCTGTGGGCCCTGCTGGGAGGAGAGGAAATCCAGGTGTGGCCGGCTTGCCTGGAGCACAGGGACCCCCAGGATTCAAGGTCAGACTCTTCCTAAGCCACCTACCTGCCCTCCTCCCTATCTGACAGCCCCATGTCCCAGGACCCGTGCGGAAACGGATTCCACCTTGTTGATCTTTCTTGGGGGTCCTAGCCCCCCAATCTTGACCCAGACTTAAAGGATAGTCTTTCCAAGGGTCTGCAAACACTGCCCCCTACCAGACGGTGGGCCCTATCTTCTGCCGCTGCGTTGTCCACGTGCGCCCTCTTGTGGGCCTTTGTACAATAACAAGTGTCGGATTCTCCCAAGGAGGCTTCATTGACCAACCTGGGTAGGGAGCAACAGAGGAGGAGGCATGTGGCAGAGGGGCTGGGGGTGCTAGGGAAAGAAAGGAGACATCTTCAGGAGGCTCAGGCATAGCTCAGCCCCGGTTCCCTCTGTCTCCAAACGTCCTGAGTTTTCAGGGGGCTCAGAACCACTTCATGGCTTGACTCATCATTTTTTTTTTTTTTTTTTGGTCTTTTTCCTTTTTTTTTTTATCGGTACCGGGGATCGAACTCACGACTGCCTGCTTGCAAGGCAGGCGCTTATGCTGCTGAGCTAAATCCCCAGCCCTTGACTCATCATTTTGGTGTGTTTGTTTCAGGGTGAAAGTGGGTTACCTGGACAGCTGGGCCCTCCTGGAAAGCGGGGGACAGAGGGCGGAATGGGGCTTCCTGGGAGCCAGGGGGAGCCGGGCTCTAAAGGCCAGCCGGTGAGTAAGTCTTGGGGCCTGGGATGTGCATACCACACCGTGCTGGCCACTGTGACCCAGCAGATTCCCGCCCTCTGGGAGCCTCTGAGTGCCTGTAAACAGGAACACGTTTGCTAAGGACCTAGCGACCCAGCCTCGGTGAATGGGGTTGCTTTTTGGGGATCTTTTCTTGAGAGAGCTTTCAGACAGGTGTGTGGGGGTGCAGGGCTTGCCACTGTCTTCCCTGAAGGCCTGGGCCAGGAACTCCAGTGTCCCACAGGGAGGCCCTGAGCTAGACCCTGGCAGAGGACAAGGTGACCGCTCTTCTCGTTCCACCTGCCCCATGGTCTCCCGTTCTCCTTGCAGGGCGACTCCGGTGAAATGGGCTTCCCTGGAGTGGCCGGCCTCTTCGGACCCAAGGTACAGGCCCCTGCTTGCTGCTGCCTCTGTGGGGTCCTATCCACCCACCCTCTTACCTGTGCATTTCTTCATTCCACAAACGCTCTCAGTGTGGGCTGGAAAGAACTGGAAGTGGGGCTAAGCCTGCTGGCCTGGCTCTTCCTTCCTTCTACACGCCTAGGCTCCCAGCCCTGCTGTCACCTGCTCGGTGCCTCAGACTGTCTGGGTCCCTTTAAGCCTTGATTTCCAAATGGGAAGAGTAAGAGTGGAAGATCGTTGGCAAAACTGAGATCAGAGGTGTATGCTGCACGGTGCGCAGCTGGAGTTGCTAAATAATTGGGGACTTTGGTTTCTCTTCCGGAGCACTCTCAGGCAACGCCTCCCCTCAGCCTCCAGGGGCCTACCCAGCAGCTCCTTCCGTTCCCCACAGGGTCCCCCTGGTGACACTGGCTTCAAAGGCATCCAGGGCCCTCGGGGGCCTCCTGGCTTGATGGTGAGTTCCTCCCTGTGTACCCTAGCAGGGTCAGTCCCCGAGGCTGACCAGCCTGCAGCTGGTGGGACACCTGTCTCTGAGACTGTCCTCAGAACCCTCTCTCTCCTCTAGGGGAAGGAAGGCATCATTGGGCCCCTCGGAAGCCAGGGACCCTCAGGACTCCCGGTATGTGCAGGGACGGGGAGGAAGGTAGCCTGGTGCCTTTATCCTCGCTGTTCCAGATCATCTTTGTGTGCCAGGGCTGCTCCAGGCCTCAGTTTCCCCATCTGGGAAATGAGACTTCCCCTCTGAGCCCTGTCTGTAATTTGTCGCAGGGTCGGAAGGGTGACAAAGGCAGCCGAGGGGACTGGGTGAGTACAGGGGCTGAGGCTGTGCTATGGGGTGAGGAGGGGTAGGTTCCGGGTAGCTCAGCCCTGGTCCCCTAACTCTCTGTCCCCCCACTGTATCTCCCTCCAGGGACTGCAAGGTCCGAAGGTGAGTGGAGCGGGGGGGGGGGGGGCAGGCTGGGTTTTCCTCCTCTGTGACGATGACTGTCCCCAGAGTGTCCTCTCCTCTGGACCTCATTTGTCCCATCTGTACCCTCTGCACCAGGGGAGCCATTGTCCCTGCATCTCAGGCTCCCTGGGGAGACCAGCTAGCAGCTGCTTGCTGACCAGGCCTCACATTCTTCTCCTGTTCTTCAGGGTCCTCCCGGCCCAAGAGGGCAGCCCGGACCACCGGTAGGTACCTGCGTGCCAGGCCATCATGGACCTAGGGCAGCTGGAGGGCTCCGGACCCTGAACCTTACAGGCCTCCAACACTTCTTAGAGGTCACAGACTTCTGGGAGGGGGGTAGGGGCAGCCAGGCCTCCAGGAGGGCAGAGACCAGCATGGTAGCCAGGGCCTGTCCCTATCTAAAACTGACCCAAACTTCTTCTGCAGGGCCCTGCAGGACGTCCCATCCAGCTTGTAAGTTGGGGAAGATTGTTTTTGGCCTGCTTGGGAGGATCTGGGCACTGAGGGTGGGAAAAAGCCACCGAGCCTTTTCAGGGCATGGTAGTGAGAACACCCAGCTGGACCTGGGGACACCCAGGTCCTTTCTGTTCCAGTCCTGGGGCCCCAGGGCAGGAGGTGGGAAAGCCAAGTTTTCTCTGGACGAGCCCATGATCCTTTCTGTGTGCCCCCACACAAAGAGGGGTTCTGAGGTCCCCCATCTGGGATTTTGGCCTAGAGTCAGGCAGCAGGCAGATCGAGCCTTGCCCTGGGTATCATAATCCTGCTGAGAGCGTGGCCTCTCCCCCTAGCCCAAGGACAGCTGTGTCCCCGTGTTACTGTACTGCATGATCATGGGATCAGGCCAAGATGGCATCCCAGGGCAGGGATCCATGGGAAACTGAATAGTGAAAGAGCCCTTGGGCTGGGGCCACTCCAAACCTCTGCTCCTCTTGTCTCCGCGCTTGTCCTGTCTCTTCCGCCATCTACAAAGATGCTACTCTTTGTCCCTAGCCTCCTCCTCCTGCAAGCCTGCCCTCATCTCCTCATGGATAGAAAAAGAGCCCTCCAAAGCCCTACAATATGGAGAAGGGATTTGGAAGTTGGGGAATAACAGCTAAAGTACCCAGGTCATTACTGGCCAGCCACCATTGGCAGTGCTTTTCCTGTGTGAACTCACTGAGCTCCTTCAAGCAGTTCTGGGTGGTTTTATTATCAGGCCTGTTTTCAAGACAAGGAAACTGAGACAAAGAGAAGCTGAGTGGCTGGCTCCAGCTGGGGCCGATCGGACCGGGCAGGGCTGGGATTTGCCCCCCAAAGTCCCACCCCAGCCCCTGATCCTGGCTTGACTTACTGCCTGGATTCTTGCCGTCTCTGAGTTCATGGAAGGACCATCACAGGATCTCTGCCAAACCAGCGCCAGCCAGGGGGTGCAAGTGGAGCTGAAGGCAGCACAGGGAAGCAGCAAGAAACATGAGTCTTGTGGGGTCCTTGAGAAGCCCCTCCCGCCCCAGCCTGGGGACCAGAGCAGCTGGCAAGGTCGCCTGTCGTCGTGCTGACCTGTGGGTTGGGGATGGGCTGTTGAAGAAGCTAGAGGGAGAAAGGGACAGGGTCAGCTCTGACTCTGCCTGCAGAGGGCGTGTGGCTTGGCCAAGATCCTACCAGAGAAGCTGGGCAGGAGTGGGTGCGCGGGTCTAGAGCTCCTGCTTTTGGGGATCCTGCACAGCAGCTGGGTTATGTCCCTTGTCTTTCCCTGCACAGCAACAAGATGACCTCGGGGCAGCTTTCCAGACGTGGATGGACACTAACGGAGCGCTCAGATCAGAGGTACCAGGGGCTCCATTCCCAGAAGAAAGAGAGACCAGTGCCCACCATGTGGCCCTGCACCAATGTCTCAGAACCTCTTCTCGACCTCCAGCTGGTCACAGATGAAGGAGCTGTCATAGTTACTGAGGCTCAGAGCGGGTAACAGCAAGTACAGGGTCACACAGCCAGTGTAGCCAGAACCCGGCCAGAAGCAGCCTGGGTACCGTGTGACCCTGAGGAGCAAGGAGCTTATGGTCAGCGCTTTGAGCTCTGCTGAGACCCTGGCCTGCACTCCAGGCAGAAAAGGGCCTTAGGTGTCCTGCACCTCAGCCCTGTCAAGAGGGAAGTACTTTTGCAGCCTTGGCTCCTTCACATGGTGGGGAACTCACAGTCCCCGGATCAGACCTCCAACCAGCATTTTGTTAGCTCCCTGTACTGGGTGCCTAGTGCACAGTCCAGGGAGGAAAAAGCATGCACATGTCCCTTGCCATTCATATAGGGCAGCCAGCAAAGGACAGAGAGATGCCTAGGGCGCAAACAGGGTAGAGGAGGGAAGTGTTTCCTTCCACATTTGAAGGTCAGTTATGCTGCATTCTGGGGAGAGCGCCCCCTGCAGCAATTTTATAGCATTACTACTGAACACAGCTCTACTAGGGAGGTTAAGGCAGGAAGGTTGGATGCTTGAGGCCAGCCTGGACTACATAGTAATTTCAAGTGCAGGCTGTACTACATAGTTATACTCTGTCTCAAAAAAAAAAAAAAAAAAAAAACCAACAAAACAAAGCATCTCTATTTATGATGCATTTCTCCCCCCTTTTGCACATTTTATTAAGTTATTGACCACAGAATTCAGTGTAATTTATTTCTTGTGCATGTAAAGGCTAATTGCTGTGGTAATGGCAGTCCCAGACTGCCGCCCTGGACTCTGCCATTTTTCTCTTCCACATATGACCCTCTAATTTGTCACATTCTGTCAGGGAGCTCTAGCCAAGGAAGGCAGCACAGAGAATTGTGCAGGAGACATCTGTGGGCCAGGCTCTCCCATTGCATTGCCTAAAACAGTCCTGTGACCCCCACCAGTGGCTAAGGATGCTGTAAGGGGGCACCATGTGTCCAAACAGCATGCACAGGTAGGGTGAGCATTTCCAGTCTCTGACCCACATATATGCGGACAACACACATCCGTATGCATGCACCTGCACATGTGACTCCTGCCTTTGACAGGGGATGGGAGGAGGCTTATTTAGCTGATTTGTGGCTCTGGAAAGAGATGTGATATCACATAGCAAGACAGGGCACCCCAAAGGCCCTGCTCTCCAGCACCCTGCTAGAGACCTGTCCCTTCTCTGAGCTGAAACCCATCCTAGGGTGTGTGCTGCTGGTCCCAGTTCTGTTTTCTGGTGCCTCTCAAGAGCCCCCGATATCACCCAAGGGAGCCCAGAAGGGACTGGAAGATTTTCAGTTTGGCTCCTTTCCTCTTCTGGTTTCTCCCCGTAGCACTGGGTCTGCTCCCCAGTGTCTTATGCTTCTGCTCTGCCTAAGTCCCAGGGTGTGGTCCTCCCTGTGGCAGAGGACCTAGGCCGACCTGTGACACCCCCACCCATTATATCCCTGGCCCCAGTTTCTTTATCTGTGAACTGAAGAGAGACTCAGCCCTGGCCAGCCAGGTGCCTGGATGGGGGGGGTGACTCAGAAGTGTGAGCACTTGGGCCCTGGACCTTGACCTTGGGCTGGCCCTTTCTGTGACAGGGGTATAGCTATCCGGACCGGCTGGTGCTGGACCAGGGAGGGGAGATCTTCAAAACCTTACACTACCTCAGCAACCTCATCCAGAGCATTAAGACGCCCCTAGGCACCAAGGAGAACCCCGCCCGGGTCTGCCGGGACCTCATGGACTGTGAGCAGAAGATAGTGGACGGTGAGAGCACCTGTAGGCACCCTGCCCAGGCTGGGGTGGGCTAGGGTAAAGGGGTGGTTCCAGGAAGAGCTAAGGCAGATGGAGAATTGGATTCTCAGCACATCCTAGCCTCAGAGAGAGACACATGGGTGAATATTCATTCAACAGTCACTGAGTGTGTGTACTGGGCCTTATCATGAGGATATTGTGGGGGACACAGAGGAGTGTCCTTCCAGAGCCCACAGATCCATAAGCTGGGGACAACCATTTCAGTGCACTGACACAAGAACTCCCCAAGGTTTGGCAAGAGAGCCCCAACCCCAAGGGCCTTCCTGGATGGGCCCAGATACACCCTCTGTCTGCCCCTCCCTGAGTTTTCATCTGCAAACTGGGATGTACCTCGGCACGCCTGTGCCACCTCACATCCTCTGTACTTGGAGCTGGGTCTAGATGGCCAGGTGTCCCCTTCTCTGCTGCAGTCTTTCGCTTCCCGGAAGCCCAGCAGAGGGAGCCAGATAGAAGCAAAGTGTCCAGCTGCCAGGCAGAAGCCTGAGCCACCTCCCATGGAGGCCCTGGCATCGGAGATACTGTCCCACATGATGCTTCATGGTTCCTTGGGGCAGGCAGTCTGGCCTTTGTCAGCCTTGGCTGCTCCTGACAAATGGACACATCTTGGGGCCATAGGGAAACTTACATGGGACCTATCCAGGGAGCCACCAGTCACTATCTCTGCCCAGGCTTCCTTCTGTCACTGGGGTTTCCAGAACCTCATTTCTGCTCACCTATGACTCCATGCCCAAACAGCACAGCTGGTCACAAGGGGCGGGGTCCTTCTGCCAAGCCAAGTCCTGCACCTCCCCAGTGACTCCTGCCACACCTGCCGTGCTGCCCACAGGTACCTACTGGGTGGACCCGAACCTTGGCTGTGCGTCTGACACTATTGAAGTCTCCTGCAACTTCACACATGGCGGACAGACCTGCCTGAAGCCCATCACGGCCTCCAAGGTGCCCGTTGCCCCTATTGCCTGCCACGCTGACCCTCTTCCCATCTTGCCCTGAGCCCCAACTAACCTAAGCTCTGTTCCAAGCCCTGCCTTTCTTTGTGTGTGGCCTGAGGAAAGTCACCTCCTTGTTTCCAGGCTGCATTTTCTCTTCTATGAATTGGGGATGGATTGGGCTAATCTGTGGTTTCCAAGCCCCCTTAAGGTTTAATGTTGCCTGTAGACTCTCCCACATGCATCTCAAGCAGGGTGGCTACCATATGGGCCTGGCCTGGGGAGCTGTGAGTAAAACCCTGGGCTATACAGAGCTGCCCACACCATTGCTGTTAACTCCTGTTCACCACCCACTGGCCACCTGCCTATCTCTGGGCGGAGCATGTGAGGTGGTGCAGGGCAGAGCAGCAAAGTGACCCCCAAGACCATTCACTTGTACCATGGGAGGGGGACCTGGCTACAGCAGGACCCTGAAGGCTCCAGCCCAGGGCCAGCAGCATTCCCTGTTCCAAGAGGCTATGAGACCAGCTTGCACAGATCTGTTTTCCTGCCTTTCCAATGGTCACACATCAGGGTGCGTGGACGGGAAGAGCCCACCTGGAAGGGGCTCATCCTGTGTGTGCTCGCCGTGTCCCTCAGGTGGAGTTTGCTGTCAGCCGGGTACAGATGAACTTTCTGCACCTGCTCAGCTCCGAGGTGACCCAGCACATCACCATCCACTGCCTGAACATGACCGTGTGGCAGGAGGGCCCGGGACACACCCCCGCCAAGCAGGCTGTGCGCTTTCGGGCCTGGAACGGGCAGATCTTCGAAGCCGGGGGTCAGTTCAGGCCAGAGGTGTCTGTGGACGGCTGCAAGGTACCTGCTGGAGCCTCTTGCGGGCCTCTGATTCGGGGACACGGGAGAAAACTTGTTTGGAAAAACTGTTCACAACAAGGTTATGCGTCATAGTCTTATGCCTCAATTAGGGTTTATAGGTATGCTTTTATCTTTATGCTGAATAGTTTTATTAAATTGTTTTTATTCACTGTCCCCTCTGGGAAACTTCTCAGGGATAGTCTGGGCTGGTAAGAAATCTATGGCCTCTTTTAAGAACCCTTGCCAATACTATGGCTATTTCTTCTCTTTAGGCCCATCTTGGTTAGGATAATTTTTTTCTCTTAATGTTCTTGGGTGGGTTTGGGGGGAAGGGAGAGAGAGCAAGCTGTCATGAGGCAAAGACCAGTTTCATAAGATTGAACAACACTGATAACACATGGTGTTAGGATGTGGGGAACCCAACACTCGCTTAGGAAGCAGTAGAAAAAACCAAGAGGTAGGGGCTTTCTGGAGAACAACTATGCATAAATATACATCCAAATAGGTCTTAGACAGATCCAGAACCTCGGTGTGCAGTTATCCTTTGATCCTGCAATTCTACTTCTAGAATTTATTGTAGGGAACGAGTTAGGAGTGTGCACAAAGGTGATGTTTTTTAAGCATCACAAGATGCTAAAATATGCAAACAGCTTGGGTCCACAAACACAGGCCATTGCCACAGTGAAATGGCACATGGCCTTTCTAAACTGGGAGGAAGACTGGTGGGGAAACGCACACAGCAGGAGATGAGAGCCATGAAAACTTACACGCACCCTTTTCCTTCTGCCCAAGGTCCATGATGGCCGTTGGCACCGGACACTCTTCACCTTCCGCACGCAGGATCCCCAGCAGCTGCCCATTGTTGGCGTGGACAACCTCCCTCCTGCCTCATCAGGGAAGCAGTACCGCCTTGAAGTTGGACCCGCGTGCTTCCTCTGACCTCTGTCCTCCAGGCTCCTCTAGGCCTTATCTGGGAGAGAAGGGGAAGAGGAGGCAAGAGGAGGGTACTGAGGGGCATGTGGCCCCAGAAAAGGCAACCCCTCTGCCCAAGGAGCCTTAGGGAGGTCCCTGCTGTTGTCTGCTCAGTAGGAGCAGGGGGGCAAGGGGAGGCTGGGCACAGTTTTTCTTCAGAACAACCAATCCCAGCTTAGTCCCAAAGACCAACCAAAGAACCAGCCAGAGTAAGCTGGGCCTGCAACCCACCTGAGCCCCATGGCCTGTCTCCAGCTCTGTGGCTGCCCCTTCCCTGCCTGGCTTCTTGCCCAAAGAGCCCTATGTTCAAGCCAGTTTGAGGGAAGGGGGCATCTTGTCAGCTGGTCCCTGCCAGGGAGCTTTTGATGTGCAATATTAGAAAGGAGACATGAAAAAGGAGAAAAGGAAAGAAAGAAGTATATATATTTTTTTTATTTAAACAAATACAAAGAGGGTGTGTTACTATTTTTTTCACCTGGGAAAGAAGTGAGAGGATGAGAAAGAGCAACCAGGGGATGGGAAAAGGCGAGATCTTTGGGGCTGGGGGAACTCACAGTTTGCTACCTCCCACTGTGAAATCGCTGGTGCTCGACATTGTCTCGCATAGTGTATGTGACTTTTTTTTAAGGAAAAAAAAAAACTATTTAAGATTCTGAAGGTGCTACTATTTTGCCACAGACTTTGAAGAAACTTTTTGATGTGGGACATCATCCACATCTTTCTCTGTCTTCCAAGTGATAAAGTTCGGGGAATCTTTAAATTTTCCTAGCATCACCCTTGTGCTCATCAGGTAATCTATGAAAGAAAAAAAGGGAGGAGAAAAAGAAAAAAAAAAACAAAAACAAAAAAACAACCAACTAAACAACAAAAAAAGCAAACAAAAGATGTTACCAGAAACCAGAGTAAGGATTTCCTTTTAATTTATGAATTTTGAAATATCTATCCTTTTCTGAAGCATTCTGACTTGGCCTTTCCCGTCCTGGAGGGAGGTCCAGCTTGCCCTGGAGGTGCGCTGGGAAGAAGTGTATGGGGGAAGCCTGGCCCTTGCAGAATCCAGTTCCAGGAGGGGCAGCGCTGGACCAGAGCAGGCCTGGGAGGTGAATGTAAACACACCTGAGCCACCATACAGGGCATCCTGCAAGGTTCTGTCTCTCAGGAGCCCATCCTGTCCAAACAAGGTCAGCACCCCAGCTTTTTCTCCCTGGTGTTAAACTGTACAACCTTAGTGTCATTAGCACCACGTGTCAATTTGGGCTGAGGAGAAAAGAATAATTATGGGTATCTCAGTGTTCTGTGTGACAGTGACACCCGGTGCAGTCTGACCTGTGTCACTCTATCTGCAAACAAGGCAAGGCCTCCATTGGAGTCCGAACTTAACTATGGAGTTATTTTTATAGAAGGGGAAAAGTCACACGGAAGTCTCTATCTGTGTAGTCTAAAGTTGTGTCTTGTCAGGAATTGGGTTTGATTCTCATTATTTAATACCTCGCTCTGGCCCACCATCCCGCACACTCCGGCCCCCACCCTGCGCATTTTCCTCGCAGCTTGGGCCTCATCTCCGAACTTCCTTCCCCACCACCGTCTCTGCCTGGCCTCCATCTTGTCTTTGGATTTATCTGCTGTCTTCTTTATGTCCCTTTCCAAATGTCAGTATGTTAAAACCCCGATGGGTTCGGTTTCTCCTTTTCCTTTCTGGATTTTAAATAAATATTTAAAACTGAAGCAATGGAATGAGGTGTCTGTGGCCCTGTGCTTCTTCATAGAAGAGAGGGGTGGGCAGTGGAGGGACGGAGCTCTGAAGTTCTGGTCTGCAGACTTCCTGGTATTAAGCACCAGGAATGTTTTCCCTCTTCAAAGGAGGAAGTCAAAGTGTCAACAGGCCAGCCTGCAGGGGGAGGAGCCTCCCTTTCACCTAGCTTTTCTATTTTGGTTTGGGATTTGTATCACTAGTAACTGCTGGGCAACTTAACACCAGCGGAACTGAATCAGCACCGTGCTGAGCATAGGTGGCCCACCTGAGGACTCACTGTTGTAGCTTAAAAAAGGAGAGCTGAAGAGGAAGAGTAGCAATGTGGGTCCTAAGTGTTATTTGGAGCCAAAGGTTCTCCTGGAGGAGCCTGTCACACTGACTCCCCTGATATGGACTTGGTAGTTCTCATCATCAGAGGAGCTCAGGACCTCTGTGTCACTGAGGATGGCTGTAGTACTTTTCAGGGGAGCCCTGGTTCTTATGACTCCATTGCAGAACCCTCAACCTGCTGGCACAGCTCCTTCACCCGCCAGCACAGACTTTCTAGCTTCTACCACTGACCTTTGAGCCTTCATGGTGCAGGTCTATGAAACAGACTTGCATGAGTCATTGTTGTGGGCTCTGGGTCTTCAACTGAACTCATGCAGATTATTACCATGGGGTCCAGGCGCTTGGCTGCATTTTCTAGGACTTTAGTGTTGTAGATAGATTTCCTGCACTTTCTTTGTATTTGACTCCTTGAGTAACTAGGCCCCATGCAATACTGTGAGGTACTTAAACTGAGGAAAGTTGTCGTTTCTCTGAAATTTACATTTATCTGGGCATCGGAACCCTCAGCTTCATGTGTTTTCCTGCATTCGCAGGACACAGTATGAATCAGAGCCCATCTCTTTCATCTAGGAGAAAGGACAACTCACAACCTTTGAATTCATACTGGGATTCAATGCTTTAAAAGCTTGTGCTGCATTTCTGGGTTTTAGAGCTCATACAGCTCTGGGGCCCCATCTGTCCTCACCACAGCACCTGCCCTGGACGGGGAGCTTTGGAGCTGTCCTTCCAAGGCTGTAGGAGCCACAGTACCAAGCCCAGGATGTGGAGGAGGACCAGGAATTCCTGTGTCCATGCCACTTGATCCCATCTTTCCTAGGGGGCAGCTGAAGCCCTAACAAAAGCCTGAGTCTTAGGAGATCCAAGGCAAGGCAGAGCTCAATTTAAAGCTGATTGCTGACAGCACATTAAGTGCCTTGCCCCAGCCCTGCCTGTGATAGCTACTGGAAGCTTGTTACAAATGCAGATTCTCAGCCTCACCCAATCCTACTGAATGGCAGTCCCCAGGGCTCTGCATTTCTACCCGCTGCCCATCCAAGTGCCTGCTAAAGTGCTAAGACCTGAGGTGGTGCACTAGTTCCGAAGGCTGGAGAATGAGGAAATACAAAAGTTCTTTTTGTTTCTTTGATAGATAATCAGAAATGAAATGGAGCCGGAGGAGCCCATTTCCTGAATCATTTCCTGAGATCTGCAGTCTCCCCAAGAGTTTCCCCAGCTGCCCAAGTGGCGTCCTATTATATAGATGGAAATGAAACCACAGCAATGTCTGTTTCCCCATAGAAAGTTCTTGGGGACAGGGGACCAGGCTCATTCTTTGCTTCAGGTACGGAGGACAGAATGTGAAAAGCACTCGAACTTGGCCTGCACCCCAGATCATAGGCCTGTGTGACCTGCCCAGTGAAGACCTTGGGACAGGGCCAGTTCATTCCTGGAAGGTGTGAGGGTAGGCTTTGGGGGACAGAAAACAGTTTTCTACCAACCAGCAATGTCCAGTTGCAAAACCAGTTGTCATGAACTGGCTTAAATAAACTTTTGGCTGGGTCACCTCCAGGGGAAAGTCTAGGCCAGCTTGTGTTTGTCCACAATAAATCAGTGCCACAGCGGACAATCACATCTGTCAATAATCAGCAGCTCTCAATAGGAAAGTAGCCAAAGGTGATGGCGCATGCATATAAACCCAGCACTTTGGAGGCTAAGACAGCAGGATGGCCTCATGTTCCAGGAGAACCAGAGCTACATAGGGATAAGGGAATGATAGCAGTGCTGGTTAGCTAGAGTGAGGGCTGCAGTTCACCATAACAGCGCGGAACCGACAAATGGAATAATATTCAGCTATATCTGGACCTTAAACCTTCAGTTCCACATTGTTCAGACCATTCAAGACCACAGTGGCTGCAGTCCTGGCTCACTGACCAAACGCCCATGATGTGCTCAGTGTGACAGGCTTTCACCTCCCACAGGACCTTGTGAGACCCATGTGCTGTGATTCCCACTTCCCAGACAAGAGAAACGAAGTCCTAAGGGGCTACATCCCATTTACCAAGATCACAACACAGGATTTGAGCTTGAGCGAGGCTTCTTGTGTGTTTCCTGAGCCCAGACACCAAGCTCCTGGTGGGGCGGACTCTGCTTTTGGGTGCAGAGACAGCACGCGGTGAGTTGGTTCCGTGAACAGAGTTGAACCCAGGCCTCCATGCAGAAAGGCGTGAAGTGACCTCTCAGGAAGGAAATCACTGTCGAGTGGGAGCCGCCTCCTGCTTACCCAAAGCTCAGCTGCTCAGAGGCCTTTACCAGGTCTCCTGGCCTCTCTGAGCCATCTGTCACCCTGTCTGTATAAAGGGAGGAAAGATCACCTTTTCTCAAACCTATCCTAAGCATGCTTTCTCACTTTGAGGCCTTTAAAAGTGATTCAATCTGCCATCGGGTGGTGCAAAGGCTGATGAACAACACAGGAGTGTGTAAATTTAAAAATTTAATACCATAAAAGACACGTTGCCCTTAATTCCCCCAAAACATTGACCTTCACTTCAAATGCACATATTCTGTTGTTCTTGCCACCTTCTAAATCAGTTCTGGAAGTCCTCTTTCATGAGAGTCTTTGTAATGTGTGATAAAAAAATATAGTGCATTCTGCGGCCATGTGTCATCCTACAGGAGGGCAGGCTTATAGGAATATTGCAGCCAGTCCTCATCCAGCTGACTCACTGGACCTGGCACCATGCAACTGCTGGCTCCTCCTCAAGGTCAAAATGACCAGGAAAGGTAAATACTTGGATTCAATCCAGGATATCAAGAAAACCCCAACAGCACAACTAAAAACACTCAGAAAGAGGATTCCAGAATTACTTCAGAAAGTGGCAACCCTGATGGTATAAGTGTGGTTAGAGCAAGGAGACTATCCTGAGGGGCATCAGTGGCTTGATGTCTTTGTCTATAATTTGGAATTTCAATACGCATCGAGTTTCTTGATCACATCTTGCATACGGTTCACCCTGGGGTTTGCCTTTCTCCCAACCAGCTTGACAGTAAACTCATGGTGATAGTGGTCATATCCATGGACCTGACAAGGACATTTATCTTATTTGAGAAGTAGATCACAAATATGCACTTGTGGAATTCTTATAACTAGCTACTGAAGTCAGTACTATTATCTCCACTGGGAGGGACAGATATCAAGGTGCAGAGAGGTTAAGCAACTTGTCTTGGGTCACAGAGCTAACAAATAGCAAAGCCAGGAGAATGTTTCACCCTCATCCCTGACTGCCAGGATGACATTTTTGTGTCTTTCTCACAAACGCTTGACATTGTGCCAGGGCCAGATGGAGAGACAGGTTGGCAATGGTGGGCCAAGAACTTGAATCCCTAAGGGCACTCAAATGCCCAGAAATTCTGTGGCCTGGTGAGTACTGGGTCTCTCCAGGAACTACAATCCATGGACGGCCTCTTGGGTAGACACTGGGACCCTGCAGGGCCAGCCTAAGTGCTGGACAGGCACTAGGACCACACGCCCTCCCACAGAGTGGCACCACCTGCAAACACAGTCTGAGCCCTAGCTCTGTGCCCATCCCCCACACAGGCCACCCCCACACCTTGTATTTGTGCTCTAGAACAAAAGGAACACACAAACCCATTATTATAAAGAAATTTATTATGAAGACCATTTGGCAAAAAGCCAAAGTGTTTAAATCAAGTCGAAACCGTAAGTTTTGGGGATCCAATTCGTTCATTCATAAAACCTTGTCCAAAAGTTTCATATGATTAAAAATGATTCATTCACCAAGAATTTAGTTCAGTAGCATAAATGCCTGCCTGGCAAGTGCAAGGTCGTGAGTTAATCCCGGTACCAAAAAAAAAAAAAGATTCACTCAACCTTTGGTAGCCAAGGACAGGAGCAGATTCAAGCCCATTGTAGGTTCCAACAACCTATCCAACATGGTTTTTCTTATATAAAAACTCAAAATATACTTATATATTTTTCAGCAAAATAAAAGATAAACAAATAGGAAGTAGGGAGAAGTTCAAATTACACCCCAAATTATCTATTCCATTGTTTCAAAAATGTTACAACAGATGAAACAATTTGTTTTCATTTATACTACTAGTAGGTTCTGTTAGTACATTGAAAAAGAGAGTATTCAGCAATTATCTGTTTGTCTGCTTTTTTGTACAACAGAGTCTGTTTGGTCCATGATTTATACTCACAGTAATAGTTTGGCCATTCTTTTAAGATTTTCACACACGGTGTTAGCAATTATTATTCTCTGAATTGTGGTGAAATTTTGTTTTATTTTATCACAGAAGTCTGAAGAGAGCTTTCTATGTTTTCTTGGTTAATAGCTACCTGTAATACATTACATGAAAACAACAACGAACTTAGGGTAGTGGGAATGACTTTATATTCCAGTTGTTTCTCAGCTTCCTTGTGCAAGTGTTACAAGCCCTGCTGGCTGGGACTCAGAAAGGCTCCCTCAGCCAACCGTGCCTTGCGAGACGGGGGACTGACTCACAGGAATGGAAACAAAGTGCAAGAACTTATTGCGCTTGAGCTGAGGACAAGATATGGGATGTGAGCTAATTTATCTGTTCTCTTACTTCTGCAATCAGGCAAGTCCTCCCTGAGCCTTGGAGCAGGAGCTGTCTCCTACATCAGGGGTGGCATCTCAGCAAAACCTTTGGATCTTTGATGGGTTCAAAGACAGAGTGCCAGAGCAGGGAGTTGTTCCCCTGGGTCAGCATCAGTAATGCAAGTTAAGGAAGAGGATGTTTAGGGCTGTGGATCCCTTGGTCTAGAACTAGGCACCACATCCCAAGAGTTGGGGGAGCTTAAGTGTCATTTAATAGACTCTGTGTGTGTGTGAGTGTGTGTGTTGTGTGTGTGTGTGTGTGTGTGTGTGTGTGTGTGTGTTGGGAGTGAGGGTGTCTCTGAGTCCCTGGGTTCCAAGTAGGAGCCTCAGTTGTCCACATCTAATGGTGGTGCTGTCCCACACAACACCACCTCCTCCATAAAATAAACATGGCCTGGACTCTGTTCCCAGCATCATCTCAGGCCTGGGCCCATGCAGCTGCCACCCCTGGCCTCCTAGGTCTCCACCTGACATTGACCCTTGTTTTTCTCTCCACTGCTGACTGACAGATTTTTCAGAGAGCAAGGTGACCCTCCACACTGCAACTTTTCCTCCTCTCTGCAGCACCTGTGAGGCCCATAAAGATGGGGCCTGCTGCCACGATGGTAGGGGGGCTCCTGCAGCTCCTGTGAATTCTGTTTTGGACCTTCCCACCAATCCTGTCACAGTGCTAGCTGCACAGGGACACAGGTGCCTGGGTCTGAGTGCTCACACCTGCTCTCTGCCCTCCTCATCAACACCGTGTTGCCAAGGTCAAATCAGAGCTGTGTTCAGTCAGAACGCAAAGGAAGGAGGAGAGAAGGGAAGCAGGGAGGAAGAGAAGAGGAGAGAGGGAAGGAGAGGGGAGGGTAAGGGAGTGATGATGGGAGAGACAGAGAGAGAGATAGAGAGAGAGAGAGGGAAGGAGAGGGAGATGAACAGGGAGAGGGGGAGGGAGATGGGAAGAGAGAGAAAAGTCTAGTTTAGACAAGGTCATGAAGAAAGATGCAAGAGCCTTAGTGTTTTGGATTGGTCTTATATTTATTTTTTCCATTTGGGAAGAGAACTTTTAACAATGAATTTTAGGGAATTGGAATAAATAAAGTGAGAGGCGCATATGTTAGGGTCATGGTTCAGTGAGTTCTCACAGATGCACACCTGTGTGACCCTCCACCGGGATACCACACTGCCTTTTGAGAAGTCCTCTTGGGCCCCTCCACAGTGAAGCTTTCCCCAGGCACCAGTGGTCTGCTAGCTGGTACCACAGGTGGTCTGGGCTGCTCTAGAGTTTCACACAGTGGAATAACCCCGAGCCCGCTCTGGCGTGTCCCCCACTCAGGCCTTGTGCTTCTGCACCTCTCCATGTAGTACATGGCATATTGCTGAGCCAGCTCTTCTCAATGCTGAGTTGCACACTTGTGTGAAGATGCCACAACTGGCTTCTGCATCTTCCTGTTGATTGGCTGTGAACTGCTTCTACTTCCGGGCTCCTATGAATACTGTGGCTGTGAATGTTCATACACAACCTAGTGTGGAATTGGAGAAGTCACTCTGATGCTTCTCATGAGTAGGAATATTAAACACCCAATGCTATAGACACAGAGGTGGGCTTCCTGGCACACTCATGGAATTCTAGTGTTCAGGAGGCTGAGGCAAAAAGACCACCATGAGTTAGAGTCCAGCCAGCCGATGTAGCGAGTTCAAAGCCTTCCTGAAATACACAGTGAGATATTTCTTAGAAACAAAAAACTAAACAAAACAAAAACCTATAGCTGTAATGGACATAACCGAAGTAAAATATAATTAGTGAATGAAAAGTTATGCATTCTTAAACTCTAACCAATCATTAAAACAATAAAGATTTGTTTGGGACATGGATCAACTCCCCATGGTCAGTGTAATCCCTACATATTGCAAACATGTATCACTAAATATGAAACCAATAAAAATGAAATCCTAACCACAGACTACCCGGAGACACGAACATTTCTTTTTTCTTTTGTGAGTCAAGGTCTTCCCATGCAGTTCAGAATGGCCTTGAGCTCACTTTGTAGACCAAACTGGTTTCAAACTTGTGATGTTCCTCCTGCCTCAGCTTTCTGAGTGCTGCGATTACAGAAGTGTGCTACCAAGTCTACTAACATGAAATCAACATAGTATATGTGAAATCAATAAGAATGTACAGCTGTAAGCACCCCATGAAAGTAGTTGTTGATTGTGTTTGTTCCTATAGATAAAGACGCAAGCCCATGAGGTTGAAGGGCAAAGGGTAATGAAACCCCTCCTTCCACTGTCACCCAGAGTGCCGGGCACTGTCCCAGGCCTGGGGGTGTGTAGGAGAGAGGAGGAGGCCCCCACCTGGTCCAGGGCAGGGTGGGGGGGGGGTGTGATGGTTTCCCGTTTCCCATTCTGGGAGAAGAGTCTAGGAACTCACTCACTGAAAAAGACATTGGACTTAGTTGCATCGTTTTGGGATTGTCCGGGCCTCCAGGACCAAAGAGGATCCCATGAAGGTTTCTGTGTCACAGTGGGGAGCACACACAGTTGGATCCAATTACACTCGTCCACAGTCTCCACCTTGACCCCTAACTGTTTTCCCCAAACAGCAAAAATCGCCAGCCTGGGAACTCCCTAAGAACCTTGCATGTTTGATTTTTGGCTGGGTCCCATTCCAGTCTTGCAGCTCCGTGGGACAGCATTCTGATGCGATGGCAGGGGAAAGCTGAGGACTCCATAGGTGACTCAGAGCACACCAGCTCCTCACCCACCTTGGCCTGGAATAAGGCAACTCTGGCCCTGGCAACTCCAGCTCAGTCTCCGAATCAGACCTTTGCTTCCCAGTTGGCTGTGGGGAAAGAATTGTGCAAAGCATTTCCCAAGTGCAGGCTGGGTTGTATCACAGGCCAAAGCCCCAGGCTCCACAGCACCATCCCACCTCCCTATAAAGGTCAGTGTGCCCTCAGCGACCTGCTGTCCCCGGCTCTACGTACATCCTGCTCTCAGCATGGCGCTGCACTGGGCCTTGGAAGCTCTGTGCCTCCTACCACTGTTGAACCCAAAGGACCCAGCTTGTGCCAACGTCACAGCCATGCCCATCACCAGTGCCACCCTGGACTGGGTGAGTTCTAGGGCCATCACTGCCCAAGAACTATGGCCTCACGTCCCTCTCTGAGCTTTTATTCTCCTGCTGGCTGGGTCCCCTCTGCTCCTGGCTCTGTGCTTTGTCTTCTTGGGGATGGGTGGCATTCTGACAACCCTGGGGGCCTCCCCTGCCTTCAAACTCAGGAGCTCCGCAACAAAGACCCTACACAAGGGACAATCCTGTGGTAGGCATGAAGGGGCTTCCCTGAGGGCCATCGGAATGAGCTCTGGCCTGTCCAGGCCTCAGCCATGCCTCGTTCTCCCTGATGCCTCAGCTGAGGAAGCGAAGGAGGGGCTCCCTGAGGTTTCTTTGCCCTGAGCTCCCACATCTGCTACTGCCCAGCTCAATCGTAGGTGGTTTTATGCCGCCGGTGCCTTTCGGAAGCCTGAGTATAAACAGGAGGTTCAAGCGTTGCAAGCCGACTTCTTTGAATTTAACACACACCCCAGGGAAGACACAGTGACACTCCAGGAGCACATGACCGTGTGAGTTCACCTGAGAGCCCAGGCACTGCCCACACTTGGAGGGGACACTTGGAGGGCCCTGCCTTGGCCCTGTCCAGGGGGGTGCCTGCTGCTTCTTGTCCTCCTGCTTCTCACACTCCTCTCCTCCTGGTGTCTGACTTCAGCCACGACCACTGCATCCAGAACTCCACCTTACTGACAGTCCAGAGGAACAATGGAACCTTGGCCAGAACTGGTGAGGGCCGACCTAAAAAGGACTGGGACCTGCAAGGGGCCAGGAACCAGGAGACCATGGCTGTCCGATCCCCAGATGTGCAAATTGCATAGCAAGCTTAGTAAAGACTCCCACCATTCCAGAGCCTTTACTGTGTGCCAGGCACTGTTGGAAGTGCTCTCAGTGAGCCAGTCCACCTACTGTGTGCAAAGAGCTCTAGGAGGCATTATTACAAGGATCAGATGAGGAAACAGAAGAGAGACACTGAGGAGTGTTCCTGAGGTCACACAGCTTGTCATTAGAACCAGAATTCAGAGCAAATCTGGCTCCAGTCCTGCTGCTCTCAGCCAGCCTTGAAGATCCTGTGGAATCTCAGGGTGGAAGTCTATGAGTTGGCAGGAGGAGATTTCATCCACGTCCCCACTGTCACTGAAGCTGGCACACAAACATGGGTGGGACTAACTGATACCTCTTAGCATGGCTGAGGCTCCTCTGTGGGCCTCATCTCTCTCACCTGTGAAATGGGGCACAGCTACCATCTGAGGCTCCTACCATCCCCTGTGTCTATAGTGCCCAGCATGGGGCCCTGCTATGCCAGGGATCCTGGTGCCTGGTAGTGAGTACAGGGAGCTGTGTAATAGACCCTTCATGCCCTTAAATTGTTTCACTGGGGTTCTTTCTCCTGCAGTGAAAAATGAGTTGCACCTGGCCCACCTGCTGCTCCTGCGGGACCCCCACAGCTTCATGCTGGGCTTCTACTTGAATGATGAGCAGAACGTTGGGCTGGCCTTACACAGTAGGTGCTGGCCCTCCTGGCCCCAGCCTGCCTGCCCCCGTCTGCAGCACTCTCACCCCGCTTCTGCATTCCCCTGCAGCTGACAAGCCGGAAGCCACCCCTGAGCAACTGGATGAGTTCCGGGAGGCCATCAAGTGTGTGGGCCTGAGCACATCAGAGATCCTCTACGTGGACTGGAAAAAGGTAAATGCAGGGGCCACATATGGGCCAACCCCAAGGCCCAGAGAGGGAGAGCTGTCAGCCTTGCAGCACTGACTCAAGCACTGACTTTCTTGCAGAGTCTGCTGAGATGCAGACATGTGGGGTTTGAGGAGAGGGCCTCGAACCCTAATCTTAACACTAACCCTCAAGCCCTAACCCTAATCCCCTAGGGAAGGAAGAAAGATCCTAGGACAGGTAGATGATCTGGGGAGAGACCCTCCTGGGAGTGACCAATTGTGATCATATACCAAAGAGTTTTTGTCACTCTCCCTGTTTTTGCCATCTGGACTTTGGGGAATGTGTATCAAGATTTGTACTGTTGGGGCTGGGGATTTAGCTCAGAGGCATAAACACCTGCCTTGCAAGCAGGCAGTCGTGAGTTCGATCCCTGGTACCGATAAAAATGAAAAAAAAAATTAAAAAAAAAAAAAAGATTTGCAGTGTCACTCAAACCTCATGCGAAATCCAGAACCTCAGTCCTGCTTTTTGTGACACATGACAGTGACCTGTAGTATGGTCTCCTCAAGGTTTTTCACCAAACTTAGTTCCCTGCACAGCTGTGTCTGCTAACTCAGTGCTGCTGAGCGGTGGGTGACCTTGCTTTTGTAGAAATGCAATGCTTTCTTGACTCTAACAGTGAAAGTCTTTACCCCTGCATGCTGGACTGATGTCCCCAGGCCTGGGGAACAGCATAAAAAACGGGCTGGCCACCCTAACCTTCTGCTCCAGTCATTCCCCGCCTGGGGAACCTGGGACAGGTGCCCGGCCGCTTCGAGGTAGACTTGAGGGATGCAGCCGAGGCAATGTGAAGGCATCACCAGCTCTGGCTGGGGTTTGAGCCCCAAGTGGAGCTGAAGAAGCTGTGGCTCAGCGAGCGACACCAGCTGGGCCCAGGCACACCTACCAGCCAGCAAGCTGGGACTTTGCCTTGTCCCAACCAGCTCCCTTCTCTCCTGTCTCCTAGAACAAGTGTGAGCTGCCTGAGCAACAGGAGACCAAGGGAAAGGAGACCTAGGAGGACAATGCTGGGCAGCTCCTCGGGGTATTGGCAGCCATCACCCCCTCCGACCACTGTGCCTCTGCTTTGTCTCTGCATCAATAAAGGTCCCACAGGGGACAGTCAGACTGACAGTCATTTGTCCACTCAGTCACTCACTCATTTGTTCCTGCGTGGGGCCCAGGCTGGGTGTGCAGAGACCATTTAGCATTTTATAAAGGACAGGTAAAAGCCTGAGGAGGATATAGACAAGGTTTTACAAAAAGATCCATTTTGCAGAATTTTATCAAAGTCTGCCAGATGGTACCTTAACAATACTTCTTCCTCACCCTGTCTAAAGTGAGATTAAAAACCACAGCAACCACAAGTCAAATAGTTCACGTGAGCCTAAATGGAACACAGATGAAAGAGGAATACAAAATCTTGTTCACAAGAGTACAATGTCCCTTTAAAAAGCATTATAAAGTGATTTTTAAAAGACGCAAACCATGGCAAACAAGAGTGACAATCATGATTACTAATATAATTCACCAATCAAGGAATCAAAGTGAACTCTTATCTCCTGTTAATTAGTTGTTATTTTGCAAAATGCAAAAAGCTAAAGTATTACACTCCCGTCAGTGAGAACTATTGTCTAGTTAGCTTGGGCCTCCCACAGTACAGAAAAAGATCAGAGGTTTGGGCCTCAGATGGGGAGAGGAGGAGAGAAATTTGCAATTCTGTGGGAGGCAGACTAGAGGGGACAGAGGAAAATGGAAGGTTTCTCACTTGGGAGAGAGTTATGGAGAGCAGCTGGATCTCTGGTGGATGTCTCCGGTTGGGGCCCAAAGCCATAAATGCGAGCCACCTAGCAAGACAATTGTCTTTATGATTGGTCGCTAAAGGAAAACAGCTTTCCTGGAGGTAATTATTGAGATCAGCATTGGAGTTTTAAAAACACAAAAAGCAGGGACTCCTGCAGGGCCCAAGGTCTAAGGATGGTGCCAAGGTGGGATGGAGGTTCAAGAGGACTGAGAGCCTCTGGAGAGAGAGAGCTTGTCTCCCTTCTGGGTTTCAGCTGCAGATGTAAGGAACAGCCAGAGGCAGAAATCAGCTGAGCCCACCAGGGTTGTGTTAAAGGCAACGTGGGTTGGAATTTATTATGCTTGGGTGCAGGCAGACAGAGGGCAAAAAGGCTGTCTGGAGGGAATAAAAAGAAGTGAGTTCTTTTAAAAACTGAAATTGAAAGACGAAGAGACATTACTTGGGAAGATAGGAGTAAATATCAATGGTCCAAGTTCTCTGGCTGCTCGCACCTCAGCAGGCAAAACTCCAGTGTTGAGTTTTGGGTGTCTCCAGATACCCTGGGATGTTGAGGTTCCTTTTCTTATGTTTTCTTCTCGGTTTTGTGACATCCTGTGTTTGCAGATGACAGCGTCAGTGCTAAGCTGAGATGCAGCTGTGAACAGTGACTGTGAGGGCAAATAGGTTGGGTGCTGGGAGAGGCAGCTGAATTCAAGCCTTACACCGGTAACTCGTGTGTGAAAAATAATAAAGCTCCATTTACTTTTGAGAAAACAGGGTTTCTTACCCTTCATGCACAGGGCTGGGTTGAGGGGCGGGGGATTGCCAGGTAGGGCTCGCTACGGTTCTGTGCCCCCTTTTGGGTATACAATTTGACCACATCACCCCACCCTCACCCACCTCTCCTCAGGCCTCCATCTACCTCTGTTTCAGCCTGGTCCTCTCACCCCCAGCCACCCCATGTGCCCTCTGTCTTTAGCTTCTCTTCACCTCGTCCTCTCATCCCTGGAGTTGTCATTCCTTTGCCCGTTTGCTCATTCCTTTGCTCAGACACCATGACTTTCTCAGTTTCTTGCTAATGGACGAAGTGAAAGCACCACTCACTTCCCCTCTTTCCCCTCTGCTCTGCTCTAAGCAAAAAACAGGGAAAGGACCCCTGATGGGGTGAAAGGAGGTCCCGTGATCCCACCGACTCCCTGTGAGCCATCACAGGCACTTTGACCCCCAGGCTATCCCAGGAGTGACACTGAAGGGACAGTGATGGGGTCCACGATACCTGAGGTGGGAGAGCCGGTGCTTGGGGATCTGGGTGAGGGGTGACACTCGGCTGGTTTCTGAGCCCACAAAACCACTGTCTGTCTCAGGAGAGGCTATCCAGGGCTCCTGAAAGAAGCATTGTCCCTTTAAGTCAGAGGCATGTGCCCAGGCCCCTGGGAAGCCCCTTCTTCTCCCAATCCTGGCCTGGGCTCACATTCCAGAGGCCCCCAGCTCGTCCAGGAGAAGGAAGCCAGGCCAGGGGTGAGGGTCCTCAGGCCTGCAGGCCCAGGGCCAGCACGAGCTGATGGAGCTCCACAGATGGAGAAGTCCCTGAGAAGGTCTGGCAGCCTTGTGGGTGGCAGTCTGAGCCCTGGGAGAGCCACCTCGGCAGGTGAGAGATGCAGAGCAGAGAGGAGAGTTCTACTCCAAGGTCCTGAAATCCAAAGCTTGGAATGCCGTGGTCTCCTCTGCTCCCAGAAATCCTGCGATGCTTATATCAGAAACAAAACTCACTGAATACACACAGGCTGGCCTTCTGGGTCCTATGCAAGATGCAGAGACACAGGCACTGTCTTTCTGGTTCTGTGCAAGGGTCCCATGCAGGGGCCTATGCTGGGTCCTGACCAGGGCTGGTCAGGACTATGGTATGTGTGTGTGTATATGCATTTTCTTAACGGCCTAAGACACATATCCACAGTGGTTGGTGGCCTATGCTATCGTTTGAGTGATTACTGGCAGCTGGGATTTCCAGGTGGAGAGAAATACAGCCACATACTCAGCCCTCTCTTTCCAGATTTAGTACCTCAGATGTCCCTTGGCTTCCACCTGCAGCCTTCAGGGTTTCCCTTTACTGTCACATCGCAGTTTTTACTGTGTTGTGATGCTGGGATTTGAACCCATGGCCTTCACACTGAGCTACATCTCTAGTCCTATTTGTTCCTTTTTATTTTCAGACAGGGCCTCCCTAAGTGGCTGAACTGCCAGGTTGGCCTTGAACTTGCTATCTTCCTGTCTCAGCTTCCCAGAGGTCCAGGCTCACAAGCCTGTGACACCATGCTGGTCTCACATTTTTAATAAGGACACAGCCATGTCCCTTTTTAAGACCTCATGTTAATTTGACCACACCTGCAAAGACAGGGACTGATGAGGAGACACATCTTTAACCACATCTTAGGGGAACAGTGGAGCCCAAAACACAGAGGCCAGGACACACTGAGGTTAAAGTGCAGGTCTCTATTGCAACTACTGTAGTAAAATGTTCTTGAATCTTGTCAGTAGTGGAATTTAGAGCATTGATAGCATCGTGTAGGTGACTGCTCCCTAGCCTCATAGCATTGTCACCACCCCAAAGGAGAAATTTTTCCACAGTCACTTCTACTTCTTTCTCTCTCCCAATCTGGAAACCACCTATCTGCTTTCTATCTCTAGGGTTGTGCTCATGTTGGACATTTGGCATAAATGGAATCATGTGACATGTGACTGTTGGGGACACAATGTTCGTTCACTCAGCATCAGATCATTCAGGTCATCTATACTTTATCATATCTCAGAACTTCACTCCTTCCTCCGGCTGGGCGGTGCTCCATCTTCTCACTCTGTGCCAATCCAGTCCCCATGTGCTAAAAGGGCCCAGGTGTGCTGAGGCCAGGTAAAGAGGCAGACAGATCGAGGACTGCAGAGTGTTGTCTCCTGGGGGACCTAATGTGGCGGTCATGAGAACAAGGGGTCCCCACAATTTGTGTCAGAAAGAGGAGCACATGGGGCTGGGGATTTAGCTCAGCAGCATATGCGCCTGCCTTGCAAGTGTGCAGACGTGAGTTCAATATCCTGCACCAAAAAACCAAACAAACAAGAAAAGGATACAAACAAAGAGGAACACATATGAGTTGGGGTAAAAGTGACTTCATCCAAGCTGCAGGATTACCTGGTTTATCCGAAGAAAACATCGGAGAGTCCTGGGGCAGACTCCTGGTGGCAGGGTTCTCAGTGCCCACGTAGCCCAGAGTCCCCAGTTCTCCTCACGCCAGCATTTGTGCCAGACTGGGAGCTCTGGAGCCATCCTTCCAGACTGCAGGAGCCACTGCAAGGAGTCAAGGATGTGCAGGAGGATCAGAAATTCCTGTGCTCACACCACTAGGCCCCATCCTTCCTGGGGGGCACCTGAAGCCCCAACAAATGCTTGAGTCTTAGGAGATCCAAGACAAGGCAGAGCTCAATTTAAAGCTGATTGCTGACAGCACATTAAGTGCCTTGCCCCAGCCCTCCCTGTGACAGCTGCTGGAATCTTGTTACAAATGCAGATTCTCAGCCTCACCCAATCCTACTGAATGGCAGTCCCCAGGGCTCTGCATTTCTACCCCCTGCCCATCCAAGTGCCTGCTAAAGTGCTAAGACCTGTGGTAGTACACTAGTTTTGCAGGATACTATTTCCTTGTCCCTGGGAAAATACAATATTACAATCTTGGGAATGGGAAATACAAAAGTTCTTTTCATTTGTTTGATAGATAATCAGACATGAAATGGAGCCCTTAGAGCCCACTTCCCTGGTCATATCCTGAGATCTGTCATTTTCCCATCTTTGTCCTGAGTGGCTTCCTATTATATAGATGACATTTAAAGTCACAGCACTGTTTTCCCATAGAGTCTTTGGGGACAGGGGACAGGGCTAGTTCTCCTCTACAGCTACTGGGGGCAGTATGTGAAAGACCCTCAGACTCGTCGTGGCCTGGCCACCAGCTCATGTGTCACCTGGCCAGTGACAATGACTGGGGCCAAGCCAGTTCCTTCCCAGCAAGTGTGGAAGTATGTTTGTGGGGACAGAGAGCAGCCCTTCATAACTGGCAGTGTCCTGGTTCTCAGTGTCCCATTGCACAATCAGGTGCCAGGAACCAGCAAAGCAGACTCCCCAGTTTGGGCAAAACCAGGGAAATGCTGGATCTGGCTGTGTTTGTCCATCATGGCTGAAGTGTCACGGTGGACAGTCACATCCAATGACGGCCAGCATCTGGCACTGTGAAAGTAGCCACATGTGGTGGTGCAGGCCTGTAATCCCAGCACTCGGGAGGCTGAGACAGGAGAACAACTCCATGTTGAA